AATAAACAACACTAAATTTTTCTAACTATTATATCAAAATTTACTAGAATTACTACTGCATCTTAACCTAGTTCGCACGTCCTTGACACACTTACCCACATGGGACATTCATACGAGTCATAGTATTCATTTTTCCATCATTCTTTCATCTCATAAAACATATTTATTTATTACATTAACATATCTATCAAAATATTACATTTTTGAATTTTATTCACACTTTTATCCTCACACTAAAAAAAAAGGATTAATTTATACTTGACATATTATCTTTATAATTAAAACTTAATATTAACTATTAATAAATCTTATTTCAATTGAAAATAATTTTTTTCAGTATATTATATCTAAACTAATTTTCCCTTAATGTCAAATTTATTACCATCATTATTATTATTATTATTTTAAAAATTAAATAAAACGTTGCTGATATTTCGAAAATGTCAAAAGTAATAATATGTAATACATACAAGAAGATTGATAATTTTTTTTTTTTCATCTTGTTAACAAAGATAAGGATCTATTAAATATATATTCAAATCATAACTGACAGAAATATATGACATTATATTCAATGATTACACAGACATTAGTATAAATAATTTTTTGTCATATTCGTTTGTATAATGACACAATGAGTTAGATTTTACTTTTAGTTTCGAAAATGGGGAATGCAAGAGTAGTGGGGTATGCAATGGGCCTTGGCACACTTCTCACACATAACGTATAGAAATACAAATGAGAGATGAAAAATAAAGAAAAAATAATAATAATAATAATAATAATTTAAAAAAAAATTTTGATTTAAAAATATTTTTACAAATGATATTCTAATACTTTCTTAAATAGGTAATTGATAATATATAAACAATTATTTGTAATAAATTATTTGATTCATTACGCAGTAATATATAATGAAGGATTATATCTTTATTATCGAAGGACATGATGAGTTGATATAATCCGACCTACATGAGGAAAAAAGTTCTCTGGCCCAGAAATAACTTGAACGATGATAATGACGGTATAATTTTACGTAAATACGGGTAAAGGACTTGTTGCCTTGCTAATCATGTCGATCAAGGGGTATTTTATCATGCCACGACCCTGACGTGAAGGAAAAACAAACATGGAAATCCAATAGTATACCAATAATCCTCTTGAAAATGAAAAGTTTTTAATTATCTTACATGATAAACCAACTGTAATGAAATAAAAAAAAAAAAAAAGTCAATTATTATAAATAGATATGACAGTTGATAATAGTGATTGAATGAAACGAATGAAAGAAAAAAAATTAAAAAAAAAAAAATCGAATCTATTAATTGAATAAAAGTTGAGTTAGGACAAGTATTTAATAGTTAATGTATTTATATAATTGACGATTAGATATTATAAGAGAAATTGGATATAATAAAAAAAAAATAATACTCTTTTCGCGTAATTTTGGGTTTTTAGGTCACTGCTTTCACTCTCATTTGTACCATATCCTTTAGTTCGTGTGCCTAACTTCATCGTGCAGATTTCCCTTTCATTTTAAATTTACATTAAAAATTTTTAATTAACATAATTGTTTAAAATATTTATTTATATTGAATTAGATGAGAATAAATATCAAGAAACATTGGATTTTTGAATGATAAATTTCATTAAAGTATTTATATGTTACGGAATTATCAATGTTTGTCTAGATTTACAAATAGATGAGATATATTATCCCTTCTTTAAATATAAACATATTTATTTAATAAACTTATACAAATGTTATTTATTTATTCAGTCAATTAAACTGTGTATATATATTTCAAAAGCATCAAAAAAATACAATCATTTCAATTTTATTTTCTATTGATTATTTAAAATGCTGACTAAATGAGTATGAAAATTTTTCCGAAATCAAGAGTGAATGAGTTAAAAAAAATATGTATATATATATATATCATAGATTTAAAATGTAAATAGAAAACAGACGAAGGATCGGCGTAAAGTGTAAATGAATGAAAAAATTGCACGGAGGATGAGGAGGAGATCAAGCAAGTCGCAAAGCTGCGTCATATTCTCATCGATCTAGGTCAGTGGGTCTCCCTACTACTGAAGGCACAGTCACACGATGCTCGAGTGCAAGTGAAACAGATTCGAGGCATGCGCATATAAGCAAGAAAAAGATAGAGATTAAGATATATAAGAATAAGTAGTGGGGAGGGGGGAGGGGGGAGGGAGAATACGAACGCGTCATGAAGAACCGGGGAGTGCCAACGGCGTTATTGTTGACCCATCAGCCACAGCCCGGTTGGTTAGCGTGCCTTGTCCAAGTCAGGCATCTCTTGCAATTCATGATATCTTTGCTCTTTAAAAGCAAAAGTCATTTTTTCTTAATATTCCAAATTATTCAATATCACAATCATCTTTTCTCCCTACTATCAACTCAACCATTCTTAAATTTATCCGAAATTTCTGATACACTCTTTATTTCTTCTCAAATAGCACTATAAAAAAAAAGGTATGACCTATTTCTCAGCAGTAGATATAGTCAAATTTATTTAACCATAATTATTCATTATACTTCTTTACTTCCGTTTCTATCTCTCTTTCTGTCTCATTATTCATTGACTGTTTAAGACTTGAATTTTCGTCGAATATGATGTAATATTATGTAATCTTTTATTATATATTCAAAATAAAAAAAAAGATAGTTGTCCGTTAAAAATATTGTGGGTGCCGATTGTTCTTTAACACAGTTAACTTTCACTTGATATAAGTGTCAACTAGATGATTATATGATGTTTCATTTTTTTTTTATTACAATTATTATTAAATTAGATAAATAAATGATCTGAAACGTTAAAAATAGAATAGAATTATTAAATGATTAATATAAATAAATGAGATATTTAAACAGTATGGGTATATTTTTAGTATGAAAATAAGATAAAGAAGAAAGTAACAAAAATGACTTTCCTTTTCGCAAAATGTAGATATGTATAACTCAAAATTGTCCATGCTCGGACAATATTTTTCCGGCCGACATAGACCTGGTTCTGTAAGTAGGTCATCCCTCCTCCTCATGTCTCTCGATCCCGTGTAACCTCTCTACCCCTCTCTGTTTCCCGTCTTACTCTCCTCCTCCTCCTCCTCCATTCCCCTTATCTTGTCGCGCCTCCGCTCAGGCACCTGGCCGCGCATTCTGGCATGCGCCGTTGGATCACTTTCACTTATTCCTTATTCCTCTCTCTCTCTCTCTCTCTCTCTCTCTTTTCTTCTTCTTCTTATTCTTCTTCTTCTTATTCTTATTCTTCTTAATAATGTTTTTTCATCATTACAATTAAAAAATATATTCAGTTAATTCTATTATCTTTGTGTCTATGATTTTTCCACAATTGATATTTAGTCATTTAAAAATGTTAAGTCAAATTAATATTTATATGATGAATGTTTAATCGTAAATGTATAATGATTTGAAAATTTAAAACATTGAGAACGCGGGAAATAAAATAAAAAGGAAAGGGAAACATTGAATTTCGTATAGTTAAGTATACATTATCGGATACACAAAGGGATAAAGCGGAATAAAGAGAAAAAGAGCAAAAGAGGTAGCTTTAAAAAGAAAGAGTGAGAAAGAGAGCAAAAGTGTGAGTGAGATAGGTAAATATGATATGTCTGTGTGGTTACTTACCACTACCACTAGTGAGTCAAAGCGCACCTCTCTGTGCGTCGCTCTACTGTCCACGCTGCGGTGGTATAGGGTATTAAAGAATAGTGGGGAAGAGGGCGGGCCCTTCAGGAGAGCAACGAGGCGAGAAGACAACTAGTCGCACGCAGATTGCCAAGTTGCTAGGTCATATCACGTCAAACTTATCGTTAATTCACTTTCTTTTTACTTCAACTCATTCTCCTTCCCTTTGAATTTGATTCCACTCTTTAGTAATTTGTAGTTATAGTGTCAGTTTCAAAACACTCAACGGTTCAAATCCATTTGATTACAACTCAGTTGCGCCTTAAAGTTTGTCATTATTAATCGAACCAGCGTTTATTTGTGTATCAAGTGACTGTGATACGGATTACAGTGAAGGAAAATAGAAGAAAATTTATTGTGTATATATTTATATAAATATTGGTTTCTATTTTTTTTTATTTTGAATTAAATTATTTATTTTTTTAAATAATTCATTATTAATTACTATTGAAATAATTGTGAAATTAATACAATGGTTCGGACGCAAAGATCGATCCTTGTGACGCGCGTGGTGAAATGGTTTTGTCGGTGAACGGTGGAAACCAATATTATAAGTAAAGGTGCTAGTGAAGAGTGTTTAAAGTTTCGTCAGATATATTTACAAGAAAGGAAACAAAAAAAAAAAAAAATAAGGAGGATTATTTAGTTTTGACATTTGCTCATTACTTTTTGTTTTATATAAATATAATTAATATTTATGATCACTGCAATACATCAAGTTTCAATAGTATCAAACTTACTATAGTGTATCTATATGTGCCGCGTGAACTTAATTATTAATTACAAGGTGATATGTTATTGGACATGGAACAACACTCGGGTCTGATGTCCCTAAATATGTCACCGTTTCATCTAAGTCCCCAAGGTAGCCCTCACGGGCCCGCGGGTGCTCAACAACAACAACAGCAACAACAACAACAACAGCCACAACAACAATCATCTCAATATAATTCCTCATCTTACAGTAGTTGCGCACAAAGTCCCCCAACGACAATGTGCCAACAGCAGTCCCAACATTCTCAAATCCCGTCCAATCACAGTCAATCCTCACAGTCAAGTCAATCAGGCCAGAGTGCTAATGTACTTGGTTTTGAATCTGCATTTTTTGATGCAATAGCACTTGAAGAACGTTGTCCAATGTGTGGTGATAAAATGTCCGGTTATCAATATGGTTTATTAACCTGTGAATCGTGCAAGGGGTTTTTTAAACGTAATAATTCGCCTTGCAGTAATAAGAAGGTCTACACGTGTTTGTTCTCACCAACAGGAGGTGGTTGCGGCACGTCTACTAGTGGCCTAGACACTGGTGGAAGTTATGGCGGTAGTGCAGGAACAAATGTTGGCGTTAATGGCCCCAGTAACTCTGGCAATAACACAAATGGTAATACAAATAACGCGACTACGGCTGGAAATGGAAGCAATAATGGCGCTGGCGCCGCAACTAATGCTACCAACCAAAATGTAGGCAGCTCTGGACCGGTTACTGCTACCAATGTATGTCATCCAAGTCTTGGACAAGTTGGTATCGTCACAGGTTCTGTTCCAGGACCTTCTGACTATCCTGATACTAAAGACGTTATTGAAGAATTGTGTCCAGTTTGCGGTGATAAAGTCTCTGGATATCATTATGGCCTCCTAACCTGCGAATCGTGCAAAGGCTTCTTTAAACGTACTGTCCAAAATAAAAAAGTTTACACGTGCGTTGCTGAGAGATCTTGTCATATTGATAAAACACAGAGAAAGAGGTGTCCTTTCTGCAGGTTTCAAAAGTGTCTGGAAGTTGGAATGAAACTTGAAGGTGAGTTACATCTATTGCTTCTTTTTTTTTTTATTTCTTTTCATTCAAACTCCAATATCACAATTAGGATACTACTATATGATATTTATATTTATTTTCACACCACTGGAAATTATTTACAAACACAACTAGTAAAATAACATTTCTCTTTGAATTCTAACATTGATGTTAACATTTTATTTATAAACTAGTCGTTTTATTTAAATTCTTCAATGGACAAAAGACTATTATATAATTCAACATTATCACTTTTTTACAATGATAATATATGTTTTAGTTTCATTTTAAATTAATGACGAACAGACTATTTAAAGTACGGTCTCTTTTTTTAAAATCGTTAATACATTAATGAGTTAATAAATGATATCAACTTGTATTACTAATAATTTTTCCATTTTAATCTTCTAATAAATATTGTCATTTATTTATTTACCATGCTCTAATTTTTTTTTTTTTAATTTTTTCAAAGTATACTTTTATCTAATAATATGGTATCTATTAAATATAACTTAACGTAAATGAAATGATAAATTATCTGTCCACATTGTAGTATAACAACACACATTAACATCACATTGACTATAATATTTCTAAAATATAAATTTGCATATTTAAATAAAAATTCAAGTATTATTGCTTTCATTCTATATTAAATTATAATTACATTCATTATCTGACCACGAAAATATTGAAGCTAATTTCAAAATAATTTGTACGAGTAGTTCGGTATCAAAGTGTATTTACATTATTTAGTTTAGACAATTGCTTAGAATAGTTTAAATTCAATGAATACATGTGATTATTGATCATCGGAACAGTATTCACAGAATATTACAATATTCAATGCTGTTCATTTGTTAAAAATCAATGTCTGATGAATGCAAAAGATCGTAAAATTATTGATAAAAATATTATTCCAAATTTATATAATCATTTTAAAATGAACCTTCTTTTTTTTTTTCACTTTTTGATAATGAAGAAATATAGTAATGTAATAATGAAAGAGGTACATTTTAGAAATATTTACATTCAACAGTAAAAAGTAGGTCTAGGCCCTCCCAAGGTTTAAATTATTATATACATAATCAATCTCTTGGATAAGACAGACAAAGAAAAAAAAAATGAATATACTATGTTGCAATCATTGCTCGAACGCAACAGACTCTTGTGGCGCTGTTAGCATCATCGACAGATTGTGAAATACTTCAACCAAGTACTGAGTTAACTTTCCAAAATCGTTTTCGTGTAATTATTTGACGATGTTCATAAACAAAATATCTTTTTTTTTTTTTCACCTGAAACAATTTATTAAAAGTCACAACAAAGAGAATTATCACGACAATGTATCTATCAACATGTAATGATTACCAATAGAGAGAGAGAGAGAGAGAGAGAGAGAGAAAAAAAAACCATCCTCAAATATTACTTGTCATGTTTGATCAAATATTATTTAGCCAATACATGAATTTATGAAACGATTTCACTGAAGATTGTGATGATATTTTGACGGCAAAAGTATTGTCCCTTTCAGTCTTACTTTTGATATTACTACATTCAAATGTGTATTTTAAATTCCATGAAGCAGTCGCATCACATGTGTACAGTTGAGTTAAATGAATTCGAACGGGTATCGAAAGTGAAATGATGACGCGTATGGCACGCCTCATAGTATTATAACGTCAACCTATATATATATATATATATATTGATGCAGTATGGTGTGTATATAGGTTATGATACTTTGTTTTCACTCTACTTTACACACCAAATTATTTCAATATAAAACAATGATGTAATTTTTTATTTAATACAAATACAATTTGAAGAAATAAAATGTACACTGGCTTGAATGTGAGTAATACAAAAGTATGTAAATCTAACCTAAATTAGGTGTTATTTTGATTTTTATTATGTGGTTATTAACATGTTATTTGTAAAGTAAACAATTTTAATATAAACTTAGATTCATCATCTTTTATCTATTTTCATTAATTTCATAAAGTTATTAAACGAAATAATGATGTTATTAATTGCCCTTGATGACCACAATTTCAAGGTTAAAGTCTGACATTGGCTTACTAATCGTTAATACAACTTCACGAGGCTTTGATGATTAATCAAACTTTTCCCCTGATCTCGACCTTGACAATGGAGATAGAAATGAAGATGATTAAGACTATTTTAATTGTTGTTAACTTTGATGTAGACATAAATATTGTTTATAGAAAAATTTTTAAAACAAATAGTCAATTAAAAATTATTAATATCAAAATTGTTAATTGTTTAGACACGTGGCTGTTCATTCAAAAATGGTATTTTACCGATCAGTTTATAAATCACTGGAGACTAATTTGTACCACATGCCGAGCATGACAGTAAACCCGTAGTGTATTCCAATATAAACATTTATCACCTTCATAATTGTTAGACTAGAAAATTCCAAGGTTTGGACCAGTTGACCCGCAATAAAAGTGAGAGTTTACAGAAATGACGAAAAGTAAAATAATCTATGTGCATGTCACCCGTGACGGAACGAATGTTGACAAAACTCTACCAGGTAGAAGAGCCTACCTGAGATGGGAAAAGAATAAATAGAGACAATAAAATAAATGTAGGTAATAAGACTATGTATATAATAAAAGTAGATTTCCAAATGTTTATAAGATACAAAACTATACCATGCTTAATGTGTTAGTAACACATTTGTAGAGATAAAATAGAGTAGTTGAGAAGAATAGACAAGAATACCTGCTGGGTTTTGTAAAATAAACTCAACGTAGGACAGTAATGGCTTGGATCTATTTTAGAAATTTACGAATTTCATAATTATCGTATAATGTCGTAAGACTTGGTGTGCCATACCTGTAGACAGTTGCTGGGGTACTACCTCTCGCATCGTGTTATATTGGGTGAGTCGACGGGCAGAGAGGTAAACTAAACGTGAGTCTCTGACTCTTACCACATGACTCTCCCCGCAGGGATTAAGTGGGGGAGAAAGGTTAGATTAAAGCCGTAGATATTGTGTAACACCCACGTTCTGTTCATTTTTTTGGTCATCTTTGTTTTCTTATATTCCTGTCATTGTTTTTGCATTCAATTCCTGTAGTTTCTAATGTGTTACTGTTAGCAAGCACTCGTTCATTAATTTTCTAATTCAAATATTCGCGTGACCTAGTTCAGAAGGCGTTGTGCCCTATTTTTGGCAAGGAGGTGTTATCATATCAAAAAAGGTGATGCCACACTGCTTTTCTTCTTTCTCTACGCCTGGACACCAATGTTCATGGATGTCAATTGGCCATTTTGCTATTTTTTGGGTTGATTTTGGCGTATCTGTTAAAAGATACGGACATCTGAAACTTTTCAACGAAAATTGGGACAGAATAAAGCAGAGTGGCATCACCAGGGGTTGCGTGGGCAAGACAAAAATTATATTTTTATAACTGAATTTTTGGTAACAATGAATTACTTATTTATTCATTATCTCTTATTATCTATCTCTCTTCAATTATTGACATATTACAAGTTTTACTTTTCTTTGTAATTTACCATACAATGTAATCAAGAAACATCAACTAAAATCTAACTTAATTAGAAAGTGTTTTATATTTTTGACAGTATCATACATCATGTATGTTTTTATATTTAAAAAAAAAAATTTCTTTTTCATTTATTTCATAAGAAAATTTTTTTTTTTTTTCGTTAATTTATATAATTATCAAAAAATGGTTCATTAGTTTTTATTAAGCTGCTTTTATTTATTTTTTATACTTAGTCTAATTGAATTGTTAAGACAAAATTCATATGATTAATTAAATAAAGTCATAAACTTGAATAATAATTTAATTAAAATGATGATACCATGTCATACAATCTTTTATAAATTTATATAAATATTATAAAAAAAATTTAACTCCAAACAATTGTTTTTTGAATGGATAATAGTCACGTGTGTAATGTCTCGTTTGTATTATGGTTATTGATTAATTAATGAGAGTAGGATATTCTCAATGTTAGAAAATAACTTTAATAACATTATGTAATATATTTATGTTAAATAATAATATAAATATTATTTATTAAAAGTGATATAAATAAAGAATAGTTATCGACAGTCGATGAAATCGAGTGGAGGATATACATAATTAAGTTCAATAGTAAATTAAGAGGAGAGGGCAATTGTGGTGGTTGTGGCGAAGGTACATGAGAGTACGGTAGTAGCGGTAAGGTGGGACAGGGGAAGTAGTCAGAAGTGGACGGGCGAGCAATTCAACCTCCTTTCACTTTCAACGAGTATCATACTGACTTGAGGAAAATACTTTGAAAATAGGCAACATTGCAAAAGGTTTTACGGCGTGTGTTCGATACCCTATAAACAATCTTAATAAATAATTTTTTTTTTATACTATTTCTTATAATAACAATAATAATTATTATCATATTTTATTTAAATAATTATTTTTAATAATTCTTTTTTACAATGTTTTATTCTTGATGATTACTTTAAAATTTAAAACAAAGTATTCAGTTGAAGACAAATTCACTCATTAACTATTAGATTTTGTAAATTTAAAGAATTAGTATACATTTTATTATGGGAATAACTCATCTTGTGTTCAATTTAATGCTTAAGAATGTTCAAGGTTATTTTGGAATACGTTAGGTATTCAGAATCTTCAAGTAGTCATGTAGATCATTACCAAAGGCAAGAACTGTCTGACCAATAAATGACAATACTACTAGCAATTCTTTTAGTAACTTAACAAGTGATTAATCTTTAGATTATTTAATTTACTTATTTTGATATATAATTAATTTGATTGAGATAGATAAAAAAACTAAAGATAATATTAATTTTCACTTGAAATAACATGTTGATATATATAATATCGATTTTATTCTATAAAGTAAAAAGTTACTTGAATTTTTCATGACTTTTGAAATATTTTCATGATTTTTATCATCCAGACAGTAGAAAGTTGGATGAAATAAATATTATTTATCTACATTTGTAATTTTTTTTTTTTTGTTTTCAATAGCCTTGAAAATATCCCAAGGTCTTCTATGACGTATTTTGCTTTAATAACTCTTTTTGTTTTTACATTATTATTATTTCATTGTAATCTATGGAATTAACAGTTATTTTTCATTAATTGAAATAAAAACACAAATGATCTTTTTTTTTTTTTTGTTAAGTTTAATATAAAATTAGTAGATTAAGATGAATGAAAAATGATAATTCAACTAATAATAATAATTATTATGATACAGCGGTGAGAGCAGATAGAATGCGAGGTGGAAGAAACAAATTTGGGCCAATGTACAAGAGGGATCGAGCGCGAAAGTTACAATTGCTGAGACAACGTCAACTGGCAATGCAAACGATAAGGGGTAGTCTTGGTGATCCATCGAGTTATCCATCAGCAGTGACGCCATTTTTACATATTAAACAGGAGATTCAGATACCTCAAGTTTCAAGTTTAACATCATCACCAGATTCAAGCCCATCACCTGCAGCCGTTGCAGCTGGTCTAGTAACGACGCAAACTGGTGGAAATAATAACAACAACAATAATAATAATAATAATAACAATAATAATAATGGTAGTAATAATGCTGGTCAACATCAATTAATAGCACCATCGTCACAACCAACAATATCGGGTGGCAATCATCTTTATAATCCCAATCCAAATCTTGACGGCAAACTTTGGGCCGCTAATTCCACTACCTCCAGTCCCAAGGCCTTTAACTTTGGTGAACAGTCGAGTCAGGCGCATGGTCCTAATTCTGGCCCCACGCCTGCTGCACCTCCAAGTTTAAAAACTAGTCCAATGATAAGAGACTTTGTGCAATCTGTAGACGATCGCGAGTGGCAAGAGTCACTCTTTGGACTACTACAGAATCAAACGTATAATCAGTGTGAAGTGGACTTGTTTGAACTTATGTGCAAAGTGCTTGACCAGAATCTCTTCTCACAGGTGGATTGGGCGAGAAATTCCGTTTTCTTCAAAGATCTCAAGGTTTGTTTTCTTCATTATGTTTTTTTTTTCTTTATTTCAATTCAATATTCCTTTATTTAATGTGAATATTATTAATAAAGCATAAGACTTATTACTTTTAATTATTATGGAACATTAAATAGAGTTGATTTAGTGAAGAAAAAAGAAAAAAAGAAAAACAAAAAAAAGATTAAAACTTGTTTTAACTAGAACAGCAAAAGAATTGTCTGTTATATTTGTTTTTAAAAATATAATGTTTTTGTGAGTATATGTATTTTATTATTATGTTAGACTGAAATATCTAGTTGATCATTCAACTGAATTGCTGAGCCATAAGAACTCTCTGGACGTGAGGTAACTACTGGCGTTGCACAATCGCTGAATGATTTCAAGCATCGCCTCATATCTAGGTCACAGCAACTGCCGTTTCTAGGTTATTGGTAGACACTGGCTGAAACTATTTTTTTATATACTGCTATTAATTCTTTTTTTCTATTCATTTTTTACTAATCAATTGTTAATGACAAAATTTACTCCAAAATGAGTGTATTGTTCTTCAAGTATTATCTTTTGTAAAATTTTTAAAATATCAATTTATATTTCATGTCAATGAATTTGAACAAAAAAAAAACACATCAATTGATCTTTTTAGTTTCAACAACAATTTAAACGAATATTTTACCGTCTTTTCTACCAACAATTATACTATCAGTTAATAGTCAATGGTAATTTATCATAATCAGCATACTATCTACATATAAATACTCTGTATCAAATGGCACGTGTCATCAATATCACCCTCTTTATAATAAAAATATCACAGGAACTGTGTAAATGTTAGGGTAAAATAAAATCAATTTTCAAAATAAATTATTGATAATAATAGTTTGAAGTTTAGGAAAAACCAAAATTGTTCCAAGGAAAAAAATTTGACAAATATTATGATTTAATATAAATAGTATTTTAGCAAATTTATTAACTACCAAATAAATAATTTTTTAGGTCGATGACCAAATGAAGTTACTCCAACACTCTTGGTCGGACATGTTAGTGCTCGATCACCTCCATCAAAGGTTACACAATAACCTGCCTGACGAGACAACGCTACACAACGGCCAAAAGTTTGATCTCCTCTGCCTCGGCCTACTTGGTGTACCTTCCCTAGCAGACTTGTTCAACGATCTTTCCCAAAAACTTCAAGAACTCAAATTTGACGTCTCGGATTACATTTGTATCAAATTTTTGATGCTACTTAATCACGGTAAATATATCAATCTTTTAGTAATTTTAATTAGTTATATATTTATTAAATAGATATACTAAACGTTAATTAAGAAATAAATGATTAAAATGAATGCTTTAATGAAGAGTTATTAATTTTGAATCATTCATTTGTTTCTATATAATCAACGTTTGTTTGGAGAAATTATAAAATTTAAATATCAAAATTCAGATGTACGAGGATTGGTTAACAAGAAGCACGTTCAGGAGGGTCATGAACAAGTTCAGCAAGCTCTTCTGGATTATACTATTACGTATTATCCATCTGTACCGGTAAATATATTTATTGTTAATTTTATTTTTTGCCTCTATTGTGTCCTATTATACATTGTTTGAGTTTTTTTAATTTTAAAATTAAGTAAATAAAAATATTCATATTGGATACAAAAATAAATAAAATTTTATTTTACAGGATAAATTCAACAAACTGCTAGCAGTATTACCAGAAATTCACGTTGTAGCAAGTAGGGGTGAGGATCACCTTTATCAAAAACATTGTAATGGTGGTGCGCCCACGCAAACATTACTTATGGAGATGCTGCATGCCAAGAGAAAATGAAACAATTTAGTGCCGTGAATATGTTTTTTAAGTTCCGGTGATTATTAAAAAAAATTAATAATAAAATGTACATCAAGCATCATGTACCTCAAGTACCTAAAAAGAGTGACAGTGAAAGCTATGGAGCTACTAAATAACATTTTTAAGTAAATAAAAAAAATATTAAAAAATTACTAAAATTAACAAAAGAACATACAATTACTCAAAAAATATCTGGCTCTCTTAAATTAAATGATGACATCAAGATGGTATTAAAATGATGAAGAAAAATGAAAGAGTAGTTCGAAAAATAATTTTTGTTTTTATTTTTTCTTTTCTTGTAATAAAAGAGAGTTGCAGTGTAAATTACGTCAAATTAGTATAAGATGAAAGAAATAAAAGAGATCATGTGTATTTAAATATATAAATATATAGTAACGATATATTTTCTATATTTGATGTTGAAGTTTTAGAGATGTATCCACGGGTAAAATAAAATTGAGAAAGATAATAATGTTGATACTGCAAAAAATGATACAATGAATAAATAAATTAATTTATATTTGATTAAATTTGAAATCTAATATTCTCATACGATGCGACACATTAAATTCACCCAGATAGTAAAAGGTATGAATATTAAAACTAAATAAAGAATTAAAAAATACAATTAATGCAAGGAAAAATAAGTAAGCGAGATGCCTTGAAAACAGTACAAAAGCTGGTTTAGATGATGAAATTGAAGAAAAAATAACAAATAATTAATTAAATAATTAAATTTATTGGTCAAAGGGCAGGCAACTTTTGTCTAAATAGTAAATGCTATTTTTCTAATAATCTAGAAGAAGAAATTTATTTTTAAGTGAACCACTGAAGCCTTGCTCTTATGAAATCAAATGCTGATAAAACTTTTATTTTTTAAAAAAGAAATATATCAAAATATACACCGGGACTTTAATCCTCTTTCTTAATTTATTTTCTTGTTTCAAAGCCATTTGTGCTAAAGCAAGGGATTCAATGGGCATAACTTAGAGAGTTAAACAAAAAAAAGAAAAGAAAAACTCGTAAAATTGATACGGAAACCAATAATGTCATTTATTTTAAGTGAACGCCACCCTCTTGGATCAATCTTTCAATATAACTACGATATTTATTTATTTCTTTTCTTTTTTTTTTTTCTGTTAATTTTTATCCAGATTAACATGATAAAAATACAAAATAAACTTATTTTAATTTGATAAATATTAAAATTAATAAATTAATTAAGAAAGGCATGCTCACGTTGCGTGTATTTTTTAACCACGCAATCCAATTTTTAACGTAAAAAGAACTTGAAAAAAATTACTTGACAGAATAAGTAAAACCGAAATGATAAATATTAATTATATTTGCATTTTTTTTGACACTCTTGCACAATGAGCAGGGCTACGATAATTGTACATAATAGTTAACACATTCCAGTTATGTTGTATAGAATTAATGAAGCAAAAATAATAACGATAATGTTTGAATAGATAAAAATAAAATAATAATAATTAATTATTAATACATTGAAATAAGTAGAAGAAAGAAAAAAAAGATAAAGGAGAAATCATGTTAAATATGTAATTATGATATTTTGTGTATAGTTTAATAAAATAAAAAATATATATTTCTGTTGCTTACAAATAAAGAGAAAAAAATGAATTATTAGTTACTTAATGTCTTTACTAATTTATAAAAGAATTTCATTTTTATTAATTAATCAATCGATTAATTGTAGAACATCTTTTTTCTCATAATTTAGGTGGCGGAAACTGATTTAAAGAAAAAATCAATCAATTTAAAAACAGAAAAATAATTTTAAAAGAAAATATTTTAATACTTGTAAATTGTAAATTATAAAATAATAAAAAAAAATTTTATTAAAGACAAAAATGAATCAAGTTCAAATAAATAAGCGTATCTTTGGAGCAAGGTTCATGTGGTCTTATACTACTAATTAATGTTAATGTATTAAAAAAAAATTGATACATATATAAAAATTGATAAATTATCATTGTTTCATTAAAGCATTGTTAATTATTCGAAATGTTTACTAAATAATTATAATAACAAATATATTATGTTGAAAAAAAAAAAAAAACAAATTCATATATAAATGAAATCATAAAAAGATTTGTGGAGAAATTGAAATTAGTTATTTTTCACCAAGCGTTTAATAAATATATCAAAATATTTTCAATATCGTAAACATTTCTCAGTGCTGTAAAGGCTATATTCCGACACCAATATTATCTATAATAATTAAGAGTGTCCATGTAATAGATGAGGTGTTAATTGATAAAAAAATTAACGACAAAATTATTAATATTAATACAAAACTGATAATAACAGTAATATTAATAATAATGAAAAAAAAAAAAAGAATAACAACAAAATAAATAAATTAAATATGATAATTATAAAAATCAGACGATGCAATGTGGTGCATATTAAACCGCGGTGTGTCTAAATTACAACGATTCTGTACGTTAAAAATTTGCGCGCACTAGGAAGTACCTGAACGTGTTTATCTTATGAGGCATAAAAGAAAAAAAAAGGTTCGTTATATTACTAATATCATTCTTGTACTAGTGTATATAAAATTTAAATGTTTAACGACATATTAAATAATTTTTTTTAATTACTCGGATATACGTACACAATAATGTCATAATGACGCACCACTGAGCATTGTCATCTATTTTTTAAATCAAACCGCTTTGTTAAATAGGCTGGACCTAAATACATACTAAATATGTAAATAAATCAAGAATTTTCGAAATTTAATTCAAATAATCTGAACGAAATTATAAAAAAAAAATTATTAATATATATAGAAAAGCATTTCTAATATTTAATCATTTTGAAAGTCCCAAATTCATTGGATTATAAAATATTTCATATTAAAAAAAAACAAATTATATACTTTAAATTACTCTCAGTTCTGATAAATTTGATCATTATCTACCTCATTGTCCATAAATATTCTCTAATACTTAATATTTATTCATCTTTCAAAAACTTTATGATTATGCTGATCTTAACAACATAATTTATCATTGAATTTTTCAACATTTATAAAAAAAACTTCAATTTTAGTATAATTTAATTTTGTAAGTTTTTACTTATTTTATTTCACTTTCTTTATAAAGTAATACATAATCAGATAAACAGTTATCTAATATAATAATTTTTTGTTGATTCGATAATTTACTTGCTTCACAATTTTTTTAAATAATATCATATTTTTATCGTGATTATGGTGAAAATTAGCAATTAATTCAACATCAATTCGGAATGTGGTTTGAAAAATTAAATTTGAAAAACAAAAATTTTTATTATTTCGCAAACTTTAAATAATAATGACGATATTGGGAAAGAGGAATTGGACAAAATCTAATGATATACATATTAAGTAAGTTATTACACTGCCGTTAAATATTGAAAGATTATCCAAAAGAAACTAAATTCATTTATTTTCAAAAAATCCATCGATTGTATATATATATTATTGACTAAAGATAAATAACAATATTTATTTTTAGAAAGTTGAGCTTTTCCCACTGTTTCATTGTCATTGACCAAACAATCTTCCTTTGAATATTATTTAAATATCACATTTTCTATTTCTTCAATTTTTCTTTTTTTCCAATAAAATAAGTCATTTAAATATTTATGATACAATTGTTTATTTTGTTCTGTTAAATTGGTGCAAATTTTTGTTTGCAATTAATTTATACAATAATAATAATTTTTTATATCTTACATCGTTAAAATAAATGTATGAGAAGAAAACAATATTACAACAGGCTTTGAAAGTCTTTCAAGAAATATTTAATTATTAGATCAAAAAATGGCTTTGCTCAAAATAATAAAAATTGTAAAATATTCGTGTAACGAATCAGTCTCAATAAATGGTATCATATAAATTTTTAAAAATAAGATTTGAAATATATTTTATAATTAATACAGTAAGCATTGAGAATGAATTGAAAAGATGGTAATTAAAGAAAATCAAATTTCTTTAAAAAATAGTACTTTGTTGTTTGCAGTAAAACAGTGGAAAAAGTTCAAAACATAAAATAGTATCTGACTTTACAATTTAAAAAACTGTATAAATTAAATTAATATCAGTTCAATTGTTTAATCTTGAGTATCTCATCATTTTATATATAATATATATTATATTGTACATTAAATATTATATATAAAATGTAAAGTATTATGCATTATAATTACAAATTTCCATAAATTAAATATAATTAATTTCTAGTTAATTGTATAACAAGTAATTTTAATTGAAACTTAATGTGCATCTGTTTTTAAAAATTCTTCATAAGATTTTTCGTCCATCAACGTGTTAATTTCCGATACATTAGCCATTTCAACTTTAAATAACCATCCTTCTTTATAAGGAGATGTGTTGATTAATCCTGGTTTATTTTCAACTGTTTCATTTTTTGCAATTACTTTTCCAGATATTGGACTCATTATTTCTGAAACTGCTTTTACAGATTCTAAAGCTCCAACTTCCTCTGTACCATAATTTAAAAATAAAAAAAAAATAAATAAATTATTATTATCATTATATCCATATTTATATTTTAAATTTTTAAAAACTCAGTAATGAATATTCAATCAACAATTAATATTTTTTTAAATAATAATAATAATAATAATATAACTGGTAATAATAAGATAAAATTAATGATATAGAATTATAAATATAATAAATTTATTTTTCATTATATTACCGTTTTTCTTTACATCTAATCCAACCTGAGGTAATTGAACATAAACAACATCACCAAGTGCATCTTGAGCATAGTCTGATATTCCAACTGTAGCAACTTTATCATTAACTTCTATCCATTCATGACTATTCGTAAATCGTTTTTCTGTTAATCAAAAAGATTAAAATTATATTAAATATAATGATGTTAATAATAAACAATTATTCAAAGTTTACCCGCCGTAAGGATAGATGTCGTTTTTATTGTTCTTGAATATCCAAGCTCAGCTATCTTCAATTGCAAGCGTAGACGTTCTTTTACACAGACGTTTGTAATAGAACGTAAACCATTTTTGGAGACTTGAAATAGTAAATGAGCCATGACGTTTATTATTTTGATGTTTAATATATTCACTAAATATTTTTAATTCTATTATTGTTGATCGAATTTGATTTTTTATTTCAAGAATATTTTAAAATATCAAAATGAAGTTACTTGTATCGTCAATTAACACTCAACCGCGTGACTCAAGCGAATGACGAAAATATATCGAGTGCGATTCGAATGAACAACTGTGTATTTTAATTTTCCAATCTTTGCTTTTTTTTTTTTAATATTATTTACGACCTTTCTTATCAATTTCATAATCAATCTATATGGATATTATTTGAAATTTTTTTATGTAATATTGCTAAATAAAGTTATGAAATATATCTTATTGCTTATAGGACAAATGATAATTATGAATTTTAACTTTAGTTTGCTTCTCTTTTTCGATATATCAATGTTTTAGGAAATATGCATGAATAATAATTAACGACATTTATTCTAATCAATCAACAATATATCAAATAGGAACAATTTACCCAGGTCAATCTTTGGGCAATCACGTGAGGTCACTAAAGTTCATGGATGTTATATGACTTATACAGATAAGTAAAATTTTTTTAATACAATTTTTTTGTAAATACAATATATTTAATAAAAAAAAAGAATGAATTAAATTTTGTATATTATTTATGTACGTATGCATATACATATTTCAAAAAATACACTTGAAACTGGTAAGTAATTCTGATGTGATAGAACTTATGATAGTAAGTGTGTAGATTACTATCTTTTAAAGATTTAATAATCATCATCATTATACGAATCCTTTAAAGAAATGTTGAAATCTTAATATGTTAATTTCTTTATATTATCTTAAAACATATAGAATAAAAAAAAAACACAAATAATAATTGAAACTTTTACTTTTTATTCTTAAAAAACTTTAACGTAATAACTGGAATTATAAAAATAATTAAAATAAAAATACTTAGTACGGATTAAAGACCAATTGTGTAAGATCGACCATTTGGATTATGAATTCCTACATATGTTGGTTTATTAATACTCCATTCGTACCAAACATTTTTAGGGCTACAGTTTCGCCAAAAGTGTAATTCAATTACTTCACCTGCTTTCACTTGAATTGGTTCCTAAATTTGAATAAATTAATGATTATTAAATAGTGCTTTAAATAGTTGGTAAATTTAAATTAACAAATAAATAAATAGTTATAATTATACCCTTATTGGGAAAAATATTGGAAACCAACTGAGCATTCCTGGACTGTGAGTCGTTGGTACAATACTAAGGACGATATTATCAAATAAAATAACATCAAAGTATCCAACAAAGCCGTGCAAAACAGAATTGGCTTTCACTTGAAAATTCTTCTTTGCATATCGTGAATTATTTATCACAGGATCTAGCGAAGAAAACAATATTATTAACATATCTTTTAACTTATTGATAATATTTTCTAAAATATTTACCACGATTTGGATGTTTAAATGTAAAAAGTGGTTGTTCTTGAGCAATGTGATATTTATTATGTAAATAAACCACATAAGGAGTTTCGAAGTGAGCTAAAGGATGTTTATTTTTATCATCACAATGTTTAAGTTCGTTAAAAATTTTTGATGATTGTACTGGACCAATATATGATGTATATGCTTCGGGAATACTTATTCCATCATCTATAATTAAATTGATGTATAAAAATTTATAAATATTCATATTAAATAGTATTCATAAATTAAACCAACCATTTAAAAATTTTTGAGCACCGTCAAGACATTCAGGAGACAATTCATTATCTCCAAAAGATCCCAATAACTCTGAAACAAGTATATCTGCTTTCTCTGGTGCTTCCCATACTCTCATATCCGAAGAAACTATTGTTACTCGATCACCAAAAATATCATCCTTTAATGCATGTAATGTGATAATAGCATTGGGATTTTTTTCAATTGCATATACTTTAACAGCTACTTTGGCAATGTCAGCAGCGTTTAATGTCGCTCGAACTAAAGGACCTCTACCAGCTCCTACGACCATAATTACACTGAAATAAAATGTTTTGATTATAATATATTTAAGTTAAATTAATCCGATGATTAAATAAATTCAAGAATTTACAGGGGTTTTATTTCAATACTCGATCTTGATTTAAATAAAATAGCACGATGAATAGCTCGCTGATACTCTTTATATTTAACAGGATCTTTTTCGAATACTTCATAAGTGCCTGATTCTAAATTATCCATCAAAGGTTGTAAAGGAAATTGTAAATAATCTTCATATCCTTGTCCATAACGTTCGAGTGGTCCGCTAAGTTGACATCCTTTTTTCCATAAATGATCCAAGTAATTATAGTAAAATGATATACTTTGATATCGATTGGCTCCAGTTAATAGAAATTGAACACTTAATGAACAAAATTTTTGTATCAGATATTGATGTGCTCTTCCTAGAACTGGATATCCTTTTTTATTACTTATAAATAATGTTGTTGGTATTACTAAGCACTTGACTGGTTCACCAAGCCATCGGTTTATCTAAAAATAAATAAATTTATATAAATATATATTATTCTTCCGATATCATATAACTATTAATGTTGCAATATTCAATAACTTCTTCATCATCATCCGGAATATCGTGACTTATTATTAATGCAACTCCTAATTTCTTATGAAAATCACATATTGATCTAAATCCGTTCCACCATTCCCATGGACTTTCAAAAGTCGTTTCTTGATCTGTACGAAATGACATAGCTTGTTTCAGAGGATTTTCCAATGGTACTTGGAGCCAAATTTGTACATTTGATGCAGATATCATTTTATCATTTATAATTCTCGCAAGATTCATATTTTTTTCAATCCCTCCATTTAGTTTAAATGTAATTGCTGGAACACCGAGATGTGAAGCTAATGATAATTCTTGATTTATTATTGCCTCATGATTTTCACGAACATGAGGGATCATTGAATCGACATTCAGATATGGTGATAATCTTGCCACTATTAAAGTGTTCCAATCTAAAGAGTTTAACATAATTATTAATGCATTTCTGTCATATAGTTTTTATTCATTTAAATAATTCCATAAATTAATGAAACGATACCTGATGAATGAAGAATCATATCTGCTCTAGTAAAAGGACCCGGCCTTTGTTTAGCTTTTCCTGAGATAAATTCTCTCTTAAAATTCGGATGAACTAACGGAATACATACGAATTCATAGCTAGAAGACAATGATATTTTAATAAATGCATATAGAATTTATTTATTAAACAAAATTAAATAATTATAAAATAATTACTGAGCTTCTTGAGCTGTTGTTAAACAACTACTTAAATCTGGAGCGGATGCGAAGTTGAGGCCACATGAAGCTGGTCTAGTTGAAGCCATTTTTTCTGTAATTATTGTCAATTATTTGTTAACATATTTATTTCGCTTAATTATACATAAATTAGATTTTTTAATAAACGTGTATAAAATATCAAATACGTCGATTAACCTAGCTATGAGTACATGTTGTTATACGATATAATATGGAAATACCTTGATTTAACCTAACAATTGTATTTTTTAAAATAATACTTTTCGTAAATAAAATTTTTTAATTTTATAGAATGTTTGTTATTCAACATTAAACATCAATTATTTTATGTACACTTTTGTATAATGTGATTTTTTAGCGCACAAAGCGACCTAATGCGCACCATCAAGTAATATTGAAGAATTACTGTTGTCAAACAGGTTAGGAATGTTGGGTTTCTACTCTTGCAAATTTCTTGTAAACAATGCATTTCCACCATAAAATAAATAAATATGAGGTATGAAATTATTTGTTTTGCAGTTTCAGGTATTTTTTATTCATTAATCATCTGCCTGCTTATAAATTCGTTGAAAATGGAAAAAAATGATTCTTTATTATCCTCATTAATTGGCTATAGTCAAAGAAGATGCGTGGTTGTAGAAAATATTTGCAAATTTGCAATAATCAATCTTTGTAGATGGCAGCAGCATAAGTACAGTACTGGACATAAATGCTGTGTGATTTTCTATAAGATAGTATAGGGAAATTGCATGTATAACCTTCAAAAAATTGAACAGCATTTATGTCCGGTACTGTAGTAACATCATTCTACAGTATATTCAGTTATTTAAACTGATAAAAAAAATAATGAAACAGGGATTTTAAAAAAAAATATAATATTATATTTCAACACAAAATTTCTAACTTACATATTTTTATTTCCAATAAAAACGTATTTTTAACTATTATATTTCTTTCAAATATAAATTTAATAAAATTTTGGAAATAATCAAACAAGAATTATCTATAATCTATGAAAAATATATTTTTCAGAGTATTTTCCATGGGTCAGTACTGATTTTATTTCAAACACATTTATCAGTAATAATAAAGGCTTAAATTTTAAATAAGTTGTTTAATATCACTTTAAACATAATCATAATATATTTTATTTAATGTTTTTTAATTTAAATAAAAGTTTAAATAGACATGAAAAATGGCAATAAGTATAGTTTAGTACAGTCAATGTATTATACATATATTCATTATGTATTAAGAAAAATTTGCATTAATGTATTTATGTACATTGCCCACATTGGTTGTATCTGTCTAGTATAACAGTTATTCATGTATATACAGATACAAGTGATCTTACACTCATACGGCCATATATACGTATGAATTATACAAGAATTTCCACAAAAAGTTCAAGACTAAATTACTTTTCATCTAATCCTCTCAATATAGTGTTTTTTTTAAACTATTGAATATCATCACCAATAGATTTTCCTAATCAGTTTTTACAGTTGTTTTATAATATTTAATAGCTATAAGTTTTTTTTCTTAATTAATGTTTTTTTGGAGCTAATATTATTATCCCATTATCATTAATAACATTATCATCATAAATTTTTATTACAGCTTTATTTTTTTTTTTATCATACTGAAAAAGTGCAATTACATATATAAATGAAAAAACTATACTTACTATAGTTATTACCTACATAAATACGTTTGATAATGATGGGAGAAAAATTAGTTTGTTAAACCACATTAATTGAAACAGTTTATTGTATTGTACATAAATAGAATTTGTTATTTTGTAAATGAACGTAAATGTAAAAAATGTTTGAATCACCGAGAAGTTTACAAGAAGTGTGTGTAAACTTTATTTGTGATAATGTACTTGCCATTTGCGAAGTACAACCAAGTGATCCTGTGAATACAACTTTCACACAAAATTTACCAATTTCAAACAAAAGTGACAATGACCATACTACACAAGGTATGCTTTTAATAAAAATACTTCTTTTTTTATTCATTAATAATAAAACCTAATCATGCATTATTTCAGATAAAGAATGTATAAAATTAGCTAACGATGAAAATAATTCAATATCTTCTACATCAGATGCTTTATCAATAAACAATATTAATTTTGGATCCACTACAAGGTTGAATTTTAAAGATCCTGATATTTTTTTACCAGCACAAATTTCAGAACAATTATTAACAAGCCTTTGTGAAAAAAAAGCTTTGTCTGATTTAACTATTACACTTTTTGATTCCAGAACAACTCGTCTTCGGTAATTTTTATTGACTATAAATCAATGAGCTTTGTTAGCTTATTATCTACTAATATTTAATGAATTAACATTACAGGCATGTTAGACTGAAGGATGCTTCTAATCTTTCAGTAAAAGGATTAAAAATTTTAGAACAACATAAAATTGTTGATTTAGAGGTAAATGGTTTAAAAGTAACTATCAATGATTTAATAGGGTGTCTTGGAGAATGGAGTTTACAAAATCTTCGTTCACTGAGTGTTGCTCGAGGAAGTTTTATAGATTGTTCAAGGTAATTTTAAACAGTTTTTTTTTTTTTTTTATATAAAACAACCAAAATACGTTTTTCTAATAATATTTATATTTTGTTTTAACAGAGTATGTGTATTTTTGGCATTAAGTAAACTACGTGCTCTGCATACATTAAACGTTTCTGGAACGGAATTTAATAAGCATGGATTAGAAATAGTTGTTGAAGATTTACCGTTATTAGAAAGCCTTGATATTTCATGTACTAGAGTTGATGATATAACACCATTAAAAAAATGTAAAGATCGTTTGAAAAGTTTGGCAATGTATAATCTTAAAATTAGTGGTTTCAGTAATTTGAAATCAGTGCTTTTGGAGCTAAATGAACTTCGGAATCTTGATATCTCTGACGAGAAGGATTCTTATTCATTTGAAATGTTTGCTCCTGCTAGATCTAAAATAACTGATCTCTTACGAGCAACAGATTGTATGCCATTATTATCAAGTCTAGATATTTCTGGAAAAGATGAAATAGATGTTAAAGATTTAAAAGAATTTATCAAGAGTCATAAACATTTGGAGTTTTTAGGACTTGTACATTCGGATGCTTGTTATGATGATAGTCTCATAAATCCAGCTAATAAGGATTATAGATCAAAATTAACGGTAAAATTTATTCTTCATTTGTTAAGATATTGTTAAAGAATAATTCATAATACAAAGTTTTTTATTTTTTTTAATAAAAGGTAAGTGGAATGGCTACTGAAGCTCAAATTTTAGAAGCTTTGAGAAGATACTCTCAGCGACCGATATACGTTCAAAAATGTTTATATAACTTATTTCGATTAACACCACATTTCAACGAAGCACGTGTTGATGTAATAAAACTTGTTATACCTGGTATGAGAGCTCATCCTGAAGAATTTCGCGTTCAAATGGCTGCGACAGCTTGTTTGTATAATTTAACGAAAGGTGAATTAGCATCGAAAATACATCCATTTATTTTAAAACAAATTGTTGACCTAACACTTACGGCTATGGAGTCATATCCGAATCATTATCAGTTGCAAAAAAATACTCTACTAACTTTATGTAGTGATCGGATTTTACAAGATGTTGCTTTTGATAAATACAGGTAAATTTTTTTATCTACATTAATATAATATTTTTTATGACTTAATTTATATTAAAATTATAAACCAATTTGATATGTTTTTTAGATGTGCAAAACTAGTAATGAACTGTCTTTCTGCATTCGATGATGCATCAATGAATCGAATGTCGGTAGCTATTTGTTCAATTTTAGCTGCTAAAATTTCCACAGTAGAGACTTCAATGCTTGGTTCTAAACCACAATATATGTCAAAGCTTCTGTCAATGGTTAGATCAAAAATTCAAATGAAAACTGTAGATATTACTATGAGATTTACATTAAGTGCATTATGGAATTTGACGGATGAAAGTGCGACAACTTGTAGAGTTTTCCTTGAAGAAGGTGGAATGGAATTATTTTTAGAAGTCCTTGAAAGTTTTCAAGGGGAATCTAGTGTGGAGACAAAAGTTCTTGGATTGCTTAATAACATTGCAGAAGTAAATCTTTTCAATCCTATAATATAAATATCTAATTAATAAATCTAATCATTCTAAAAAAAAATGTAAATATTTCAGGTTAATCAATTAAGACAGCGATTGATGCAACCTCGGTTTCTAACGATGCTCTCTATGCTTTTGAATTCCGAGCACATTGATGTTTCATATTTTGCAGCAGGAATTGCAGCTCATCTATTGAGTGATGGTCCACATATTTGGGTCGATTGGGAATTTCAACCAACAAAACAACAATTATTGGATCAATTAGCTAAAGCTGTTACTAGTTGGCAAACACCGCAAGGTGAAATGGTAGCTTATAGAAGCTTTCAACCATTTTTCTCTCTATTAAAAAGTACTGAGGCATATGCAGTTCAATTATGGGCCGTTTGGGCAATCCATCATGTTTGTACGAAAAATCGTAAGTCTTATTTTACTTATTAAGTTCTTTAGTTTAGCTAATACTAACAAATATTTTATTATTTTATTAGCTAAACGATATTGTGGTATGTTAGTAAAAGAAGGAGGAGTTGAAATTTTGAAGAAGTTGGAAGAAAACCATAGAATGAATACTTTCAATACTACTCAAACTAATGTTCAGATACTATGCTGCTCAATTCTAAATACTCTTGCACTTCATCCATGTTGACATGCTACAATTTTTTAGAAAAAATATAGCACGCTAGTCAATATATATATATATATTATATATATATATACATATATTAAAATAAATATATATGCATGTATATATGATAATCTGTTTGAACTTTAAAAAATAATAAAGTTGATTTTGTTAAGTAGTCATTATCATTATCATTATATAGAAAAAAATTAATAATTAAAAATTACTAGCTATATTAAATGTTAAAGTTATCAAAATACATATATGTTAAATTTAGTGATAGTATATTATTTGATGATACATAAAATGAAAGAATGAATAAAATTAAGTATATTAATAAATCAAGTTTGTCAAAAGGATTTTTATTTGCATTGTATCAATTTTTTTACAGTCACAATTAACAGCCGTGTTATTAAATTATTTTTTTTTCTTTTTCGATCCATATTTGCAATTTTTTTTTTTAATTTTTTAGTATCTATCTTATATTTTATTCATAATGTTTCTTATTGTGCATACTCAATCACTGAATTGATGTTGATGTTGTACTGCACCTGGAAAACACTTAGCGATATACAATAATATGGATAAATAGATGATCCATGCGTCGACAATTTGATGATCGTAAGGAAATTCCAAACTTGATTCCATAATGAATATGTACAAATATTTCCTACACGACTGTTATAAATTCAAGATTAATGATATTGTATATTTGATAAATGAAAGTTGTTAAATATTAATTAAATGAATATTAAATATTCTCCATACTAATAGCAACTTTCACTTACGTTTTAAATTATAAAATTGTGACTAAAAATATAATTACACAATATTCGATTAACAAAATTGTAGTTCAATTAATTTTTTTAATACATTTGTTATTGAATAGTAAATCAGTTTTACAAATAATTAGAATTTTATTTTCTCAAAATTGAGATCTTCATAATTATTGATGATTTATTACCAACATAAATTGAAAACAAATAATAAACAAAAAAAAAAATAATAATTTTTGCCAATAATTGATATGAAAAAGTTATTCATAGTATAACAATAATTAATTAAAAAACCTAAACAAATAGTTTTGTAGAAACATAAATGTATCTTTATTAATTGAACTACTTTAACGGAAAAAAAATTTGTTTCTTTTTTTTTTATACAATTTCACGTTCTATTTTTTTCTATTTCATTATTTTTAAAAATTTTTTTTTTATATTTTTTTTTCTTTTTTTTTTTTTTTCAATTTAAAATCATGGATATGAATATTTGTGCCCATCTTTGTCCAATCTTTTTTTCTTTTGACATGACGTTTTTCTTTTCTTTCTCTTTTTTCCCCATCGTATGTGTTTTTTTTTTTCTGTGGACATATCATAAGAATCGTCGTAAATTTTTTGATCGCGATTTCGGACGTAAACTATTTAAAATATGTATGAGACAATGTAGAGTTAAAGCAAAATACTTCGATAATAATTAATTATAACAAAACATTATAATTAGTCATGTTTAAAAAATAATTACTAGACTTTTTGAAAAAAAGAGTATTAATATTCTCTGACAATGATAAAAGCAATTGTAAAATTCTACGTACTGAACTACATAAAACTGATTGAGAATATTCGAATTAATTATTATGCTTTAACCTTACATTAACATTAACTATAGCATTATGCTAAAACAAATTTTAATATGCTGTCAATGAAACAACTGTTGATTACTCCAGTTTGAGTTCCTTCAAGTAGAAGAACACACCTAGTGTTGTTTCTGAAAATATCTTAATACGAGTGCTTTCGCACAACTTATCAGGGAAATCCTTTATGTAAAAATTTTGTTTCAATTTTTAAAATTCAAAAGATTACATAAAAGTTCCTTTTATGCCAACAATGAAATTTAAAAAAAAATCTAACAATAAATACTCAGAAATTTCTAGTTAAATAGGATACTTATATTTAATATTATATATATTTATATTATAAATTGTTAATCATACAATAGTAACTTTGTTCTACTGCTTGTCTCAATTTATTTCTTTATTGGCATAAAAATATGGCACAAAATGATCTACAATTAAAATTCTAAGCATCTAATGTTTTTAATCGTATAAAAAAACTTAGAAATTTATAACAATAATTAATAAAAATAATTGATACGTTTATGTGAATTACCTTATCTCCGTTATTTAACAAAATATTTATACGATTAAAAAAATTTGAATAACTTTAATTTATTTGTACATACCTTAAATATATTTTGCCACGATTCTTACATTGTAGCTCAGAGTCAGTAGGGCATGTAGTAGCCGCGTCTGTAGCTTCTAAAAATTAATGAGTATATTATATATTTAATTTGTCATGTATAATCCATAATTCACTTTGAATTTTTCAACTTTTTAATAAAGTATTATACCTTGGTCTCCTCATTGGCCTATAACCAAAGTAAGCACTACCACGACTAATTCCTCGTGCGATGCCTCTGTAACCACGTGCACCTCTAGGACTTCTATAACAATATTAAATAGTATTTTAAACTGAGTGACAACGTTTATTACATTAATGATGTTTATTATAATAACAATCTCACCTATTCGTAATTGACATTCCTGGACGATTAGTTCTTTTTGGCATAACTTTTATTTGCCGGCCTTTAAACATTGATTCATCCATTGCCATGGCGGTTTGCACAGAATCACGTTCGGCAAATTCTATGTACGCAAATCCTTTAGGATGACCATCAAATTTGTTGCATAATATTGTTACTCTATTGACACTACCACAGCCATGAAAATGTTGTTCTAACTCTTCTGCAGTAGCTCCATAATCTACCTATAAGAGAATAAAAAAAAATTAAAGTCAATAATTGTTCATGTACAATCAGCATTCCAATTGTTGACTTCTTACATTTCCAACATAGATTGATCTGTTGTCCACTTCCATTTTATCTTCGATTGACATATTCAAAGGACTAGCTATAAAGTAATTTTTATAATATCATTTAATGTTCGATTTAATTAAATAAATATTTAATAGTGTACATGTTTAATAATACTTACTAATACCAGGGGGACTGCCCATATTCATTTGTTTATCTACTTCAGATTGTAGTTGTTTTAATTTTTCTGCTTCTTCTTCCATTTCTCTTACTCGAGCTTTGATAGCTTCAAGCTCCTAAATTGTGTTACGTTGATAAATATTTTGAAATTAAAACTTGCTAGTGGTATATCAGTTTAATAACTTACGGGATCATCAATATTAGACTCATTGAATTCTCGTTTTATATCATCTGACTGCATAATTGAATCACCATCCTGACCATTCTCAAGTCCATCAAGACCATCGATTTGGTCAGTAGCTAAGATATCTGATTCTGACATATCTGAAATAGATATATATCTTATAAATATTAAAGCAGTAAGCACAATATTATTATTAATCATAGAAATAATACTTATGATTATTGTTAAGTACTACCGGCGTATTTTATTTACTCTGTATATACGAATAATATTTTAGAGGTATATGAATGAAAAAAATTCAGATATTGATTAAATGAGTTACAAATATAATAATGAAACAGAAGTTATTCTATGATCAAAATATTTGTATGGTTTAAATAAAATCAGCAGTACTTACTGAAGTGATTAAATGATGACTAAGTGAGATTTATATGAATGCTTTATTCGATAAGAAACAATGCAAATATTTTACGAACAATTTTCCGTAAAATACTGTTTTCAAATAAAGAATCAAGAAATAATAGAAAAAAATAATGTATGAGGACTTTATTACTGATATTCGATTGTAGAAAATCAGTATGAAAATACAGCAAATTGTTGAAAACAATTGAATGTTTTAAAGTTAAAAAATATTAAATTGAATATCTTGTAAGTCAATACTTAATCTGCCATCAAATTCTCTAATAATTTTGATATCTCTTCTTTAACAAATATTTGCAATTTACGCGAATTTTATAATAAGAAGATAGTTTATACACGAAGAATGGTCCATACACGCTATCTCCAATATATTCACACTCGGCAACATCAATTATTTATTGAAATTAATCGAAAGCTTTGAGAGTATATGGAAACCGCACTAATGACGCGTCACCGGCAACTTAACCGACACAAACTATACATAACCTATATAGTCCGGTAGTTCAACATGTAAACGCAGCCCATTCATTTGAATCCTATTTATTATATGTTAAATAAATATCTAAGAAATAAATAACAATTGTAATAAATAAAACTTTTGTTATTGTAAAAAGAACAAAATTAATATAATCAAGCTGTGTTTAATTTTTTTCATCCTTTCTACCAATCAAACTATAGAGTTCAACAAGGTAGTTTTCATAACATCTTTTATTGTTTTTGTAAACTGATGCCATTGGTGGGAATTGGTGGTGGTGGGAGATAAACATTATGTAGTGGGGTTTAACAATGTTTATATCAGTTTATTGACATGACACTGGACAGTTTTTGTTTTGCTTGAACATAATTAACTAACAATCAATAACTTGTTCTCTATAGCACCATTAATTAATATTTGTAATTGTTCAACAATTTCTAATAATAATGGTACGTATCATTCCAGTGCATAATTTTTTATCACAGAATGTGGGTCAAATCGAAGAACCAACCGCTTCTTGTACAGCAAATATTTTGGATCAAGATATGTTGTTGTTGGCACTCCCAAGTCATTGCGTCAAAGTATATGGGCTAGCCATGAAACAATATAAATTATTGACTATTTTCCCTACAGTAGACCTTGTTCATCAACTTTTACATTCAGATAAAGGTAATTACGTTGCAACATTAGAGTCAAAAACATCAAGAGATGGGCTAACTATCAACAATTTTGTACGTGTCTACGTTAATTGGGAAATGGCAGGAAATCAAAATCAAGCAATGAGAGCACGAATAGCGGGACGTGTTACTCCAAGTTTGAATCGATCTCTGAAAAGTTTGGAAATGATAGAATTACCTTTAAATGGTCAACCAACTAAAATTGCTTGCTGTCAAACCACTGGGAATCTATTAGTAGTTTTAGGAAATGAAGCAGTTATTCACGAATTAAAAATTGAAACTCAACAAACATCAAAGCATACATTTCTAGATTTTGAATCTAGACCTTGGTCTATAAAATTCAGTTTTGTACCAGATCAGCTAGAATTTGCTGAGGAATTTATTTCTATTATGAATCGTACACATTTTATGCTTTTCAGATTAACCAATCGATTTCATGAAGATATTAACGCAATTAGTAATGATAATACGAATATTTCAAGTAGTAGAAAAAATTCAATTCAGAATACGATGAAGATTGATTCAAGAAAAAATAGCTTCTCAAGTCATATTAATACAGAAAGTAAATTAAACGAAAAAAAACTATTGACAGGTTTAGATTTCACGAAACCCTTAAGCAACGAATTTTCATACATCGACTGGGATCAGTTGATTTTTAATGAACTTGAAGAAATTCAACGATTAAAGTCTCAACATCTTATTAATTCTGAAATGAATAATTTGAATATACATTTAAATTCAATTAAATCTGATAAAGCAGAAGGCTGTCGCACTTTTCATTCTCCTATTTTACATGCGCCTGAAATAAATGCAACAATTACAACGAGATCAAACGAAGATAGTTGGTTAGAAAATTATATAATTCAACATTTAATGAGAATAAAAATTGATGTACCCTTTGAATCAATCAATGATCAAGATGGTAACAAAGAATATTTCACTTGTTCTCTACTTAAACCATCATATAAACGTCAGAAATTATCAATAGCTAATTTTAAAAAATCACTTTTACGATCTACAAAATATAATATTTTTAATGGAATTACTTGTCTCATTTGTACTTCTCAGGAAGGATATTTAGTGAATTTTTCATCATCTAATATAAAAGAATTATCATTTAACATTGAAAATTCTAAGATTTACTCATTTACAGCACCTGTAAGTCATGCTGCCTTGGAAAATACAGCTTTACATGTTTTAACTGAAGCAGGTTTAGAGTCATACACTCTACGAATACCACAATTTTTTTCCGACCAATCTTTATTAAATTGTGAACATGATTTAAACAATATGCCAGTCTCATTGATTGGTCTTCGACCATTTTTAGGTGTTAAAAAATTACTTCAAGCTTCAAAATGCCTTGTGTTGCTTGCTAGTGACGAAGATATGTGGACTTTTTATTCTTTATATTTACCAAATGTTGAAGATGTTTATCAAGATATTTTAAATGCTGCTAATAATCATAAAAACAGTCCTAGTACTTATAAACATTTACTTGGAGAAGCAAATATTGTATTGAAATTAGCTAAAGATTCAATTTACTATTCATCTGATGCAGCTTTTTGTAGCAATATTAACGATATGTCTAAATGTCATTTAGATAATTTATACAAACAATCTTGCGCACTTTTAGCTGATTTTTATATTTCTTCTGAATCTCCTTTAGATTGGAGTTTAAGCACTTACTACTACAATCTAGCAGGCTTAAAAACATACGATGTTTTAGCACGTAAAAATCTTCATAAAGCACAAGGAATAATTATTTTTTTGTCAGAAAGTCTTTTAAATCTTCAATCAGGACCAGAAGCGGATGCTTTATTTCAAGAACACAATATTGTTGAAATTCTTTTGACTGCTGAAAAGAATGATTTGTTAAAATTAATTTTAGCAAGTCCAGTTCTTCGTGAATATGCTACAGATAAATTAATTCATGTACTATCTACTTGGGAATCTGATGATTTAACTTGTCTTGCTAGAGTTCTTCTTTTTCTACAAGCAGATAAACAACAACAAGCTGAAAAGGCTTTAGAACCAATCAAAGATTACTTTATTATAAAGAAAACTATTGCTAATTGGTCTTGGCTTTTTGACGTAGTCAATGCTAAAAATAGTCATGCTTTGCCGACATTTTCTGATTTTTCTAGCATCTTAATGAAATTGAAGATTAAAGTATTTGCAATTGTCCTAGCACAAATAGTTTACAAACAAGCTGTTACTCTAGATCAAATGATTCAAATTTTTTTAGCTTATTTACCGTCAAGAGTTGGAAGAGATGGAAGAGTTGCTGCTGCAGCTTTACAATTATTTTTAGAAACATATCTTCAAATTTATTATAATAATAAATCAAATGACAATAGCGTTAATTGTGCAAAGATTAGTAAGAATAATGAAAATAATGATGATATGGCTATCAATGAAGGATTTAAGATATTAGTACGATCTTATCTTGCTAAACTCACACAAAAAAATAATAAAAAGACTGATATTATTGATAAAATGGATGAAAATGATAATCAAAAAATATTATTTGGAAATTTAAGACCTTATTTCCTTGATCATCCATTTTTCTATTTAAAAGATGAAACAAAGAAGCTTTGTAAAGAATCAGAACAAAAGATAGATCAAGAAAATGAAGGGGTTGCTAATAATATTCGATTGGAAATAAAAAAATTGCAAGCATTATTAGTTAGTGGTCAACTTCCACCTGAATGTTATGAAGAAGTTGAACGTTTTCTTGACACTCAACAAATTGAAGGTAGTTTATCTTTTAGAATTTTATGCACTCGAGATACAAATAAAGAAATGCAAATTTTGGCTGATGAATGTCCAAAAATTTTATTAGAATTTGCCAAAGTGAGTATCAATTCAACACAAAGAAAATTTTATATATTTCATATCTGTAATTTTTATTTTAATCATTCTTTATTATCATTATTTAGGATAAATATACCAAAGCATCAGAATGGAAATATTTTATGCAATTTTTGTTACAAAAAATGGTTAAAAATCAAAATAATCAACAAATTCATGCAATTTACGACGAATTAATAAAAGGTAAAATATTTGTTTCTTATAAAATTAATCAACTAAATAAATGTTCAATAAATAATTAATACTTATAAATAAGTATTTTAAAAATTGCTTTTTTTTACAATATAAATTAATTTAGGAATTTATAAATAAATATGATATCTTTAATGAATGATTGTTTATAACAGATACTGCAATTTACATTGCACAAGGTACATCGATGCGGGGATTGCAACGTATTTTACCTGATGACAGTTTGCCAGCTTTACAACAATATATTGATATTAGTAATCAAGTAATCCATGCAGATTACATCAAAACAATGATTATTGGTACTGGTAAACACCTTCTTTGTAATATTAATTTTTAATCTGAGCTGTGATTTAATAAATAAATGGATATTCTATATATTATTTATTAAGTTCAAAACTTATCAAATAATACATCAATTTTAAAAGATACATAATTTATTGAAAAGTAAGTTAAATCATTGAATGAATTTTAATGTAAACTTTAATCATGTAAATTAAAAAAAAGAATATATTTCATTGTTGTCAGTCAATTATATTTAAAAATGTTTTTCTTTTTTAAAAAAAATACCTCCTAATGTACGTATATTTATATATTTATTTATATATTGTTACTAAATATATCAACATTAAAAAATTAAAAAATATGGACGGATTGTTACAGACTTAGTCTTAAAGTTAAATACAAATTACATATTACTAATATGTATATGTCTAAGATTAAAATTTTTTTCTTTTCATGTTTCTTTTTATATCAAAATGATAATTTAATTTCATTTTTTTGTTGTATGTAAATGAAATTTTTTTCTAATAAATAAACACTTTCTTTTATTTCTTTTTATAAAAAAGAAACGGACGAAGAAACATTATGTAGTTTCTTTTTGCCATTCGTTTTTTCAGGTGCTGAATATTTAATATTCCTCTCTTGAGATAATTCATTTAATTGGCAGGCATTGTAGACACTGTGCTATGGGGAGTTGTAGGCCGAGAACCAGCAATCGAATGGGTAGTCGATGCATTTAATGATTGCATTGTTCCAATCTGCAATAAAAAATATATTTTTAAATCAATTCCAACAAGATTATGATAAAAATAATCATTATTTTATTTTACTTACTCTTAAGTGTGCTAAATCTTCTAGTCGTGTTAAATCACACAATTCAATGTATAAAGAATATACGACTAACCATCCGTAAACTGAGAAGCATAAGAATATTAACCACAGCAGACACATCATGATATTGTATGAGAATATCAGATCATTCACGATACTGAAAAATAGAAATGCGAGAAATCGAAATAATGTAAAGCCTGCAAAGCAGATAAGCCATGGAATCATTTTCTTCTCGTATTCTTTTCTTAATGCATTGATCAACATTACTGAGGTTACTAGAACTGCTATTCCACCCAGAAATGAAAATATTGCTGCGACAATAAGCGCGTTTCTTACTAACAGACAAATATTTTTGTCATTAAATGATAATTAATTCAAATTTAATAAATACAAAAAAATAACTTACTATGTTTATTTCCTATGTAAACAAATTCATACGATATGATATAATAACCGTAATGTGTGGTACCTGGTGCAGCTTCTTCAAGACAATAAATATCAAAGACTGCAGTACTTATTGTGAAAATAGCTAAAAGCTGTAACATTTTTAATAAGAGCATATCTATAGTAACTTTGTAAACAATTAAACAATCTTATGTATTTAATAATAAAATTTGCAAATTCTTACCAAAGAAAAAACGGCAGCCAACATAGCAGTCCTTTGAGTATTTAAGAAGAAAGGATTCGTTAAAATAGGTTTTTGATACCAAGGTATTTTGACGCTTTTTACCGATCTTGATGATCGTAAATTTGCACTACTCCTAGTTGTTACATGAGAGTATATTGAAGGTGTCCCCATACTTGGAGATTTTTTTCCGTAATTCATTGTTTACCTAAACAATAAATTTTCTATTATTATTACTTAATTGGTACAGAAAAATTTTGATAGGATATTATATAGATAATATGACTAATAAAAATGAAATAATTCTTGATATCTGTCACACCCAAAAACTAGATGTAATCATGCACAATAGTTTTTATTTGTTACAACATAAATATTCACTTTAACTAACACAGTTGCACAACAATATAAAAATTAAAAAAACTCCAAAAGTTATTTAGTGTTTGAAGGTATTATAAAAAACAAAAAAATAACTTACAATTTTTTTTCTTACTATGATGATTAATTATTTTGATTAATTTTTCAATCTAATTATTACTAACGTAGACACACCTAAACATAAAATAGCCATTAACTTATTAACGCATTGAGAAATGAAAATAACACCTGTTGTGTTTCGATGTATACTCTCTGCGATTGCTAACCTAATTAAAGATGGCAGCACGTTCGATGAATACCAGGAATTATAGCGAGGACCTTTTTTTGACATCAATAACAGCTCTATCAAGATTTAATCTTTTCAATGGTGATTGACTTTATAAAAACATATTCTATTTTGGCGGTTTATTAAAGAGGTTATCGAAAAAGAAGTATTTGCCGGTTAATGTTGATTCATTACATGTTTTTATAATAACAAAAAATTAATAATGGGTGATTCTGACTTTAATGAGTTGCTAAGATCTGCAGAACAGCTTTCTGCTGCTGTTGAAGCAACTGGTGAACCACAAGTTGAAAGAAATTTAAGACAAATTTTGGAAGCTTCTAATGAGCTTTGGTCTCGTGTTACTCAAACTAGTAATCAAGATACACAAGTTCATGCGTAAGTATTAATTTAGTATTAAATTAATTTTTTTTCTTTAATATTAAAAAAAAAAATTTATTCTTATGACAGGCATCTTTTATTGGGTTCTCGAGGAGTAGATTTACCTCAAATTTCCCAAAAACTCAATTCCCTCAGTGCACGACGAACATTTGAACCATTGGATCCTATTGCAGACACAGATATTGTTGGTTATTTAAGAAATGAAAAGGAAAATGCAATTTTATCTATTATTGAACAAGTTCATAAAGATGTAAGTAAATGATAATACAAATGCTATGTTGCTTGATGAAATGTAAACATTACTGACTTAATTTTCTAATTATTTTGAATTTGGTAACAATTGAAATCAATTTTTAGACTTTTGAGCTGAATCGAATTCAACAAATGGAACATATGCTTGGAGAATGGAAACAAATGCGTTTTGAAATAATTAACGCTATGACTGCTCCTTCTGGAGAACTAGTAGATCTGAGAGGTACTCCTCAAAGAACAAAACTAGCTGGTTCTATGGTTAGCTCATTATCGAATGTGGAAATGGCTTATGCTAAAGAATTACAAATTTATAATGATCATATTTCAAGAGGAATATCAAAACCGAATCTTTTTAATGCATTTTCAAAGGCTGCCGAGTCTTTCAATGATAAAAAAGTTGTAGATATGTGGAATATGGTTAAAGTTATGGTTAACCTTCCACCAACAACTAAAGGAGATCAAATAAAATCAAGAACTAGTCCAGAAATTGAACAAAAAATTGTAGAGCAAGCAAAAAAATATTTAGAAAATCGTTACAAAGAATTTATGAATTCTTTAGTCAGTGAAAATTTAGCTCAAGCTAAACGAGGAGGAATTCCTGGGACTTTGCCATTAGTTAAAAGTTTTGTTGGTATAAAGGTTCAAAATGTACGTGATTTAGAGGATGCAGTAGTTGACGACAAACCTCTTTGGCCTTTAGTTTATTATTGCATGAGAGCCGGAGATTTTAAAGCTGCATTGGAATGTCTAAATCAGTGTGGATCTGGGCAGCAAGAATTTAATAGACAAAGTCTTGATGAAAGTTTAGAAAATTCTCGACGTCCTAATAGTCGTGGATGGTCTTTTCAAGAATTTAAACAAGCTCTTGAAGAAGCCATTGAAAATCCTCAACGCCGGCCTACAAATCGCGGAGAATCAACCGTTAAATTACATTATCGAAAACATGTACGATCTTCAACAGATCCTTACAAAAGAGCAGCTTATTGTGCACTTGTTCCTTGTGATCCAGAAGATTTACACGCAGAAGTTATGTCTACTGCAGATGATTATTTGTGGCTTAAACTTTGTCAAGTTAGAGATTATATTGATACTGAAAACAAATTGACATTAGATAGTCTACAAACAACAATATTAGAAGTTTATGGAGAATCATATTATCATGCTCACGAACAGCCATTTTTGTACTTTTCAATGTTATTCTTAACTGGTCAATTTGAAGCAGCTATTGAATTTCTCGCCAGAGGTGCTGATGCAAAATATTTACCTCATGCTGTTCATTTAGCAGCAACTATGAATGAACATAATCTTTTAGCAGTTAGCCAGAGTATTTTAGCACCTTTAATTACAGTAGATCCTGCAGATAAACCTCCTTCGAAAAGATTGAACTTTGCACGGCTCATACTTCTTTACGTAAAACGTTTTGAATCTTCAGATCCTAAAGAGAGTCTTCATTATTTATTTTTATTAAGAAATATGAAAGATCCTTATGGTAGAAATATGTTTGCTGTTGCTGCTGCTGATATGGTTGTAGATTCTACACCAGAAAATCGAACATTATTAGTTGGAAAAATTGAAAAAGATTGGAGACTTCCTGGTATATTAGATCGATTTCAAATTAATGTTGAAGATGTTATTAATATTTGTGCGGAAACTTTATATAAAAAGGGACTTTTGGAAGATGCTGTAACAATGTATGATTTAGCTGGTAATTATCAAAAGGTTTTGAGCTTATTGTGTATACTACTAGCACAAATTGTGAGTCACAAAAATACTCCTGGTTCATTGAGATCACGATTACAAGTCGTTACTACTGATATTAGTTTAAGATATCAAGGAATTGCTGCTCAAGTACCCGCTGAATTAGTTGCAGCTTTTTATACTCTTCGAGATTTGATGATATTTTTTGATCAATTCCATAATGAACAATATCAAACAGCATTGAGAACAATTGCAGATTCAAAATTACTTCCTCTTCATGTAAAAGAAGTTGATGAACGAGTGACTGCTTTAAGAAGAGTATCTCCAGAAGTTGCTGGAACATTATCAGATGTACTTCTGGCTACAATGACAATTCTTTATAGACAGTATCAAAAATTACGATCTGCTGAACCTGGTGATGAAAATGCTCGAGAACAACAACTAAAAGATTTAAGAGAACAAGCACGAGCGTTGACGAGTTTTGCAGGTACTATACCCTACAGGATGCCAAACGAAACAAATAGTAAACTCGTACAAATGGAAATATTGATGCATTAATAAAATGTAATTATTAATTTACATCTAAACACCTCATTTATATTATTATTTTTTTAATAATTACTTGATGTAATAAATATTTTCAAATATAAATAAATAAAATGTAATAAATTGAATGTTTTATTGTAGTAGAAATACCTTATAAATTAATATCTTCGTGTGTGTCTTAATGAATATGTGCAAATGAAATGAATAAGCTACAATTTTGCAACATTTACCCTGTGATATTTTTGTCCATAATATTGACAGATGTAATTAATATCCCTGTACTCAAATCTTCAATTTTTCCTTCTTTCATCTAAACAAAAATATATCTATAAGATAGATTCATTTGTTATAATATTTATTACTTACAGCTCTATAATCTAAAATCATTTCTTTGAATGCTAAAAAGTCATTGAACGTCGACAATATCTCGAATACTTCACCATCCAAATCCTTGAATTCACTGTAAAAATTATTCAATAAATTTATTGATATGACTTCATTTTTAAGCATTTCAATATGAAATATCTTATTTTGTTATACCTTAAGTGTGTTATAAAAGATTTCATTGAAAATTCAGGTAACAGTTTCTTTAGACTATCTTCTAAGTAGTTTTCAATTGTTTGTTGCTATATTATCAGTTATAAATAATTAATTTAATAAAAATATTCCAATGTAAAAATAAAGCGAATGTACAAAGTAAAGTATTAAAAATTATAATCCAATATGATTCTATAAAGTAGTTAACTTTTAAAAATGATTATTTAATAAATAAATTCTTACATATTCTAAGAATATATCCATATAAATTAATTTATTTTCGTCTATTATGTCGAATTCTTTCCAGTATTTCTCCAGGAAATTTTTTTGAATTTCCTGAAATGCTGGCTCTAAAATAAACATTTAAATCGTGTATTAATAGCTTGTGTAATAATTATGTAATAATAATGAATTATAAAACGAAATAATTACAAGAACTACTCATAAGTATTGTATTTAATAATACCTATCAAAATATCTTCTATATAACCTATAATTTTATCAAATGAAGAATTCATATCATCATAGTTATCATTTTGTGCCATTTTTTTTTTCTTAAATAAAACTTTGTAAAGTGAAATTTGATCATATATTAATATATAAATAATTATTTTTCCAAATCGAGTTATTTAACTATTTGTACGTGAATTCAAATAAATATGTACAATACATGTGTAGCTGCACATTCAGTTATACTTATACACAGGGACTCATACCACACATACATATACAAAGAAAGTGCATCCACTCACACAAAAAAACACTGACCTAAAAGAAACCAACTGTCCGGGGGTTGTAGGGTCGAAATGGGTGTACTTTTGGAGTTACATTTAGTGTTGATATAGTTTTTAAGTGATCTCAAAAAAGACAGATAAATTTACCTTAGCATTTACTTGTAATATTAAATATTTATAACAATTGTAAATATTACAGTTAATGTACATATAACTAATTATTTACAAAATGCTACATGTAGTTTATTCCACATCCACGTAATATCAACAATCTAACGTCACCTATTTACTAAAAATATAAATGATAGCATTTTATCTGAATTTTTACTATGTGGAATAATATTTTTAAAAGCTTATCGTCCATATACATGAATTGACATTAAATGAAATCGTTTAAATAATTTTTTTTCCAAAATTTAGCATCATATTAAATAAAAATGGAAATAATAGAGGGTAATTTATCCAAACTAGTAAAAATAGTTTGTCCATCCAGTGATGAACTAAGTGTCATTGTAAATAATGTCAAATGTACACAATGTGATTCAATTTTTAATAATGAACCTCGTCGTCGTTTACATGAATTGAAAGTTCATCAACGTAAAAACCTTGATAGAACAGTTAAAGAAAGTATACGTTATCATTGTCCAGAGAAAACTTGTATATATTCCCCTGATTCTACTAGGTATTTTAAAACAATGAAATATCTTAAACAAGTGAGTCTATTATCATTTTTATCAATACACTAAATAAATTGATCAATTAATATAATAATTAAACAATAATTTATTTTTAGCATTATCTCAAAGTACATGCAGCAAAAACATACTCCTGTACAAAATGTGACAAAAGTTTTTCTACAGAGTCTGCTCAAATTGCTCATATCAGAGTTTGTGGATTAGAATTTACTTGTAGTTGTTTAAAGAATTTTAATACATATGAGGCTCTCTTAACACATGCTAAACGTCACTTACATACTGTAAATAATAAATATAAAAATTTATTAAGGTCAGTAATATTTAATTTTATTGATAATTTTCGATTGATCTCTAAATAATTTATTATCATTTGAATTATAGACGAAATACCCGAAAATCTCAACAGTCAACTCAAATCTTGAAAGGAACTCCAGAAAAAAAATTACCAATTTCAATTCTACCATTTGAACAGAACGTAAATATTTTAGGTAACGAAGTAGAAGACAGAAAAAGTACTCGAGATATAGCAATTCAAACTGACGATTTGAAGAAATTTAAAAAAATAGTTAATCTTTCTAAAAATAATCGTCGTCGAGAATCTCGACAAACTCAAACACATAGTTTATCGAAGGGAAAAATTTCACGCAATACTACAGCTACCCAAACTCATTTTCTTCATAAAGGAATAAATAAAAAAAATACAGACATAAAAGAAGAAAAATATGAAGTAGCCAAAAAAGACTTTGAAATCAATTATGAGTATTCTAATGATAACATGTTTTCTAATAGTCCGTTGCAATTAAATTCTGATGTTTTGTCAAATGTAAATGACATTTGGGAAGAAAGAAATTCTTCAGGAACACAAACTGTTTCTGAAAAAAACTTTTTGGATGTATTTAATGATAGTGTAACTCAAACAGAATTTATATCATTTTTATATCCTAATTCAGGTATCTCACGATCAGATCCAATGTTAACAGAGAAAACTTTTAATGATAGATATAGTAGTATCGAAACTCAAACAGAAAAAGAATATTTAGAATCAATTTTTGATTTAGATTATACATGTTCTAATCAATCGAGAACATTTGCTTTGAGCTCTAATATTCATACTCAAACTACTCAACATTTTAATAATATTGAACACTTATTATACAGTAATATGTGTACTCAAACATGTAATGATATTTTAAATTCTGACTTGGTATTGTCTGATACTCAGACACAAACAGCTTGGTCAGAATTAACTGAAGAAAATTTAAACTCTGAAAAATCTCAGCATCAAAATAGTGATGAAAAGACTGATATGTCAATGATAGGTTGTAAATCTTGGTTAAATATTCAAACTAATCATATGGAAACTCAAACTGATCTTCTAAATATTTTTGATGAATTACAATAGCAAGAAATTAAATTATATTAAACAATTATTTGTTAAAATTTTAAGTAAAATCATAAAATCTATAAATTTATTTTAGAATGTGTACATATATAAAGGTGAATCATGATTAATTATTTATGTTAAATAACCAAATATGTTTATTTTATTCATAATTATTTTTCATACCATTCTATGATTTATAATATTATTGTACAGTAAGCACCACAAAATATGTTGTAAAATACTTATTTATGAATTAAAACTGTAACTAATAGTACGCTTATCAACTTAAAGAATTGTTAACTTAATATTAAGCTTCTAATGTTTAATTTTTATAAACCTATGAAAGTAATTTCTATATGATTTTTTTTATATTTATGTGTACGTTATTATATAAATAACAGTTTATATTTCAGTTAATGAAATTTCACCGTATTATTCTTTATTTACAAAAATATTGTAACGGCTCGTAACAGATTATTTGTTTTATCAAATTCATTAAAAAATCAAAAATAATTTTATGTACGAAACGTAAAAACTTCTAACTTATCAACATTCGAAAATTAATCATTGTTTCTTTTACTTTTTGAAATGAGGTGATTTCAAAATTAAAATTATAAAGCTGGTCCAGTGGCATTATCTTGATCTGAATCTATTAAGAAATCTTTGGTTCTGTCTTCTATCCTATCGATATTATCCAACGTTGATGCAAGAAGTTTTAAATTATCAACCCCTAAAATTAGTTGCCTGTAAAAGATGTTTATATATTAATTAGTACATCAATAAATCGAAACATAATTCATTGAAAACAATTATAATACCTGAGAAGAGAATTAGCTGATGAAGCAGCATCTCTTATATCATTTGCAATTTTATGAATTTTCGTATCATCTTCCTTAGATCTCGAACTGCTAAAGTTTATGCCTACGGCGTTTCTTAAATCTCTATTTTCCACACGAAGTGCTGAAATCTCTGCCTACATAAAAATAATTAATATTAATATACAATAATTATTTTATTCGCATTGATTGTTGAAATTTATTTATTTACTACTTACATTTAACATTTTAATTTCTTGTTTCAAACTCGTAACGGCACTCTCTGCATTGACTGCTCTTCTCTAAAAATATTAAAAATTAATATTTATTTTTGAAAAGAAATTCCAAAATTGTTATTATAATTTAATAAAAAATAAAGAATAGAATATTTACCGTACTACGTTTTAAATTATCTTCAACTTGCTCCATAGCTTTCTCCAAATTAATAGTTTCTTCATAATCTGTAGCTCTTCTAGATGCTAATTCTGCCTCTAATATTTGTATTTGTCTGTTTTTCTCATTTATTTGTCTTCGTGCAATTTCAAGATCACGCTTCAATATCTCATTTACATAATTTAGCTCAATATCTGATGATTCCGCTGCAACTGGTGCATTAGATTCTACTTGAGATACCACTCTATTCCTAATAGGCCCATCACTTAAAAAATCAGGTAAAGATTTAGGTATTCCATTGTCATTAATACTTCCGTCTGGTGAATTAGTTGTATCATTCCATGTATTTTTTCCTACATTATTCGTTTCTGTAGATCCTCTTCCATATGGTAAATCTAATGGAAAATTAACAGGTTCTATAAATTCTCGAGAATTTTGATGGTTTCTATTTAATCGTCGAAAATTTCCTGAAGACCCGCTTTCAAAAGAACCATTATTAATTGATAATCCATCGCGACTTCTTTTATCAAGATTTCTCGGTAATTCAGAAGGTAAATCTTCAATATTGGATTGTTTCTTTTCAATACGATGCTTTAATGGTCGTGATTCCACACTATTCAATGCAAAGTCAGGAAGATTGTCGATGTCAGCAATCATTTGGGTGGAAGAAGCAACATCTTGATTATTTGAATAACATTGTTCAATCACCAAGTGATCTTGCACAAAATCTGGAAGTTCTGTTGGATTTCTGGAATACACTCCATCAGTTTCAACTCCAATCGATTCTTCAAGTGATGTTGGGTTAGAATGGTTATTATGCGTTCGATCAAAATATACTTTAGGTCGTGCCCCAGCATTCTGATAGTTTGGTAATGAATCTTTCTTCAAAAAATGTTTAAAACTGAAAGGATTATCTTCTTTTTTAGACATCTCCAAATATCTTTACGAGATTTTGAACATTTAAATAAACTATATGTATAATTAATAAATTAATTATAGATAATTGAAGTTGACTAATTCTTCACTAATCTGAAGAACTTCTCAAATGATTAATATTATATTTGTTGTTCAATTTATCAGTAGTACAAAAGTTAAATGATTCGTTTGAATTTTTTAACAATAAAAATAACGAAGAAGATTGAAAATTGACTATTTGATTGTTACTAGATTGCATTTTATGCTACATCAAAATGTAATTGAATCATAAAAAGTCACTTAAACAAATTTGGCACACCTTCAATTATTTCACCATGTATATTAATGTACATTTATTTTAATCACTATGTAATTCACAATTTAACTATTATTATGTCATTTTTTAAAATTATTATATGATGTACCTAGTTTGGAAAGATAATTGCAGTAATCATTAAAATTACTTGAAAATAATCCAATATCATTTGGAAATTATTTATTATATTAACGACTTATTTACAATAAAAATTAAATTATATATATTCAAATAGTCTTTAAATAATATTAGTAAATTAAAGAGCAAAAATGTATACGCCAATGCTTCTCGAAGTAAAAGACGGTTCGTGCATAAGAATGATAAATATAGGTTAACTTTGGAACAGTTTATAGAGTAGTATACAACATATGTTTGTATAAATATATATATATATTTAGTAAAATTTTTGGAGTTGTGTATCTTATTCACAAGTTGGCGCAGTAAGGAAAAATTCAAAATTTGCAAAATCGATGAATCCATGTGCAACAAAGAATAATAATATTTATGAATTATCCTCTATATTACGTATAGACTTTACAATTAATTTCCTTATATTTTATCATAATTTAGATTTATAACTTATTTTTTATAAAATATCTCTCGATTCATTTGACGATAAATGAAATGATTAATTTCAAATTTTCAACCATAGTGACATCTTCAATGTGTCTTTACTACGTTTCATCTGGTCATAAACTGTATAAAAGTGATGGAAGAGATTGCTCAGTGAAATCTTGTCTAATTATTTATTTTAAATGATACTAGAAATTTATATTTGTATTATTAATTTATAAAATTGATGTTTATTATTAAAATTTGTGAATCTCATAAATAATTATTTTTCATCAAGATGTTGAAGTATGGAGTAATAACAATAATCATTTGTTTATCCTATCTTGGAGAATGTCAGGTTAGTGTTTGTAATATCATACTTTAATCAAATTAAAACAATCTGTCAATGATGTTTGATAATCACAATTATTTTAGGCCCAATCATATGATGATAAACGTTGTAAATGTATTTGTCCAAGTATTGCTTCAGTGTTAAATACAACTAATTCCACAAATTCATCAAATAAACGCCTGAATTTTATTTCAAATGTACAACCATCACTTTGGTAAAGTAATTTTTTTTATACATTTAAACAAATAAATTATCATCCTTATTTTTATTTCTTAAATTATTCTTCCCAGTAATTGCGATGGAGTGATTTTACCAAAAATAAAAAATGAACTTAATGGGCAGGAATTAATTTTTTGTCCACGATGTGAGTGTAAATATGAAAATCGTAACACAACAATTATCAAGGTAAAATAATTTATATAATTCGATTTCATTAATAATACTTGAAAATTTATTAATCTTCATTTTTTCATTTCAGATAGTTGTTATTATAGTAATTTGGGTCATTTCGTTGTTAGTAATCTACATGTTATTCTTAATCTGTCTTGAACCATTATTAAATAAACGCATTCGTAAGAGCACTAGTAGTGGTGGTTATCAAGAGCATACAAATGAAGATGTAATTAGAATTTTACATAATTGTTATCTTTTAATGTTATTGTTTAATTCAAAAAATTATTTTTACAGGATGATACAATTGGATCTACCACAATAGGATCTTTTTCACATCCAATGGGTGTTAGATCAAATGTGTTAAATCGTGTAGGTCATCAACAGGACAAATGGAAACGTCAAGTTCGTGAACAACGGCGTAATATTTATGACAGACATACAATGCTCAATTAATATCAGGCTTATGTTAATTTTAAAAAATAAGCGAAGAGAATAAATTAAGATTATATAGGTTTTAAATATTAATAATGTCTGATATCATGCAAATCCTCATTTGTATTAACATTTACATTTAAAATAAGAGGGGGTAATTAATGCAATTGATTGAATATAACTATTTATAAAATGTTATTCACTATAATTAAGTTAATTATATTATATTTATTTTCACTTTTATTTTTAATTTAATATATATATTTATATATTATATTGTAGAGATTTATTTTGAGATTTACACAAACGATCAACATAAAATAATATAACTTATGAAAATCTATTAGTTGCGACAAATACTTGGTGCATGACCTACCAATGAATAACCACACAGATTAGTGCTTTAAAAAAATTTGATGACATTTATATCCTATGTCTCATGATTTAAAAAATTAATTTCAAAAAGATAAAAAAATAAAAAGGAAGAGAGATTTCATATGGCATCTTCAATTATTAAGCTTATGCAGCATGGACCGACTGAAAAAAATATAAATAGTATTTAAAAATTTTTATGATTGATTTTTATTTATTGAAATGATTTATTTATTTTTCATAGATACCTTCACTATATCCACGCCTGCTAATGTTTTTACTAGTTCAGGAACGCGAGTTACAATATTGAGAACTTCTTCTGTGAGTTTTTCAGCGCCTACAACTCCATTTCCACTAGATACCATCGTTATCTTTTTTGCTTGTGACAAAGGTGCTGCAATTTCAGCTGCAACCTAAATAGAAAAAAATGTTAACAATTGAAGAAATTTTATATCAAACTATGTAAGTCTTACTTTTGGAAGTGTTTCAAGCATCATGTCAACCATCGCAGCATTTCCATACTCATTCCACGCAGCTGCTTTCTTTGCCATTTGGTTAGCTTCTGCTTTAGCTTTAGCTTCAATGGCAAATGCTTCAGCTTCTCCACGAATCCTAATAGCTTCAGCTTCAGCTTCTGCTTCCAATACAAGTCGTAATTTATTAGCTTCAGCAATTTTCTCTAAACGATATTTTTCCGCATCTGCTGGACGTCTAACAGTAGCATCAAGTTCTTTTTCTCGACGAACCATTTCTTGTGCTTGAACAGCAATCTCTTGTCCTCGTTCAATAACTTTAACTTGCATTTGTTCTTCCATGATTCTTTGTTTTGTTTTAGCCGCTTGTAGTTCAAAAGCCATTTCTGCTTCTGCTTTCTATAAAATAAATGAAATTATTTTTTATTTTATTGATTATTTAAATTAAATATAATTGTACTAACTTTAGTTTGAACTTCAACATCATAAGCAGCTTTTTTCAATTCAAAATCTCTCTGTGATTTAGCAATATCAGCATCATTAAGAAATCGAGAAGCCATCCGTTGTTCTTCAGCAATTGCTTCACGAATTTGAGCATCTCTTCTTGCTTCAGCTTCACCAATCCTTGCATCTCGTTTAACTTCTGCAGTTCGAGCCATTCCTAAAGCTTTTAGGTATCCCTGAAATCATTAGATAAAATAAATAATCAACCAACGCTATTAAGCTATTAAAAATATTCACATGAGCTTGTAAACTATCATAAATAAATACAACTATATGCAATCTATTGGTTACAGCTTAATAGAGAAAATAAAGTGCTACTAAAAACAAAATTAATTGGTCAATGAATCATGCGATAACATACCTTAGCCCACTGTACGTAAAAAAAATAAAACGATATCAATACTGAGGAAAACACATACTCATTACCTATTTCGTTATTATCATAAAAAATATCAAATCAATCATTACTACAAACTAAATGAAGAAAAAATTCATGCTATTATTTCAATAGTAATTAATGAACTATTCAAGAACTTTGACTAACATAAATATTTTAATAGAAAGTTTCAATATTTTGAATATGGAGTACGAAAATATGAGTAATTTTGGAGTAATAAAGTAATAATAAATTGATTATTGTCTAAGTAGTAAAAGATCAGTTGCGTTAATTACCTCATCATCTCGAATGTCTTTTAAAGTATAAGACACAACAGTGATACCCATATTGACTAGATCACTGCTTGCGACTTCAAATACTTCTTTGCTAAATTTTTTTCTGTCTTTATAAATTTCTTCTACCGTCATGCTGCCCATTATTGCACGTTGATGCCCTTCTAAAGTTACTAATGCAATATTATGAATTTCATCTTCGTCTTTGCCTAAAAATTGTTCACAGGCGGTCGACAACATTTCTTCATTCTGGCCCTGAATTTTTACCTGATCGATAAAAAAATATTTTATAGTATGAATAATACAGATTATTTATGTATTTATAAATTAGAATTATATTATTTAAATATACCTGTGCTATTCCAGTCACAGAAATTGGAACTCCTTGACTAGTATATACCGTAGGACTCTCTACCTGAAGAGTCATTGTATTTAACGAAATCCTGTAAAAAAATATAATGATTATCATCAAATCAATATTTAAATAACTATTTATAATATTTAAAAGAAACCTACTTTTGTACTTGTTGTACGATTGGCCATACAAATACTCGTCCTCCAGGGACTAGTAAAGGCTTTCCGTAACAACATCCTGAAAAATATACAGTGTAAATATTGGAAATTGAATCATTTATTATATCTCAATATTTAAAAATTTACCTGATACAACCAGAGCCTCGTTAGGACCACAAGTAACAAATCCACAACCCATGTTTATTTTGGTCGGCTTACCACGCCCAAATTTGCGTTCGCGAATTGTAAATGAATTTTTACTCCTACCTGGAAAATTAATATTTTATTATTGATTCTATATTCGTAAGATATTTATTACATAACTATAATGAGATTACAGTATAATAAACAACTGATATTGCAGATGTATGATTAAAATCCTCGTGTTATTCGGTCGAGTGTATACGTATGTATTTAAGTAATTATTTAATACACTAGTATAAACGGCATAAACTAATGTACATATATATATACAATATATATACTCCTATTTGCTATATAGTCGGTATAGAGAGGGAGACTTGAGCATTACGGTGCAGACATATATGCGTTTGTCTCACTTATTATACGCTGCGACTTGTGCGCATGATCGTAAATGGAGCGCGCGCATTTCAATTTGTACAAGGAATGAGATAGCGTCCTTTTCAAATAGAAAATAGAATAGCATCATTTTGCATATAAAATAGCGTCTGTTTAACATGCTACATCCAATTTTGTGGATATTTTAATCGACTTCATTAATAATTATAGTATTTAAATATTGAAATTTTTTATTTATATTCAATTTCAAAGCCATTTCAGAATCAATTCAATGTTAATAATTATTATTATATTTATAAATATTTACGTGCACAAATAAACTCACGTATAGCCCACGTGTTCGTGAAGTATGTTCACATTTCTATTTGTTAATTGTTTAAAATTAATTTCAGATTTTATGAATGCTACATTTTTTATAAAGTATACTTTTAAATTATTAAATAAAGATATTTAAAATCCAATAGCTTGTATACTGTATACATATACTTGTATATTGTCTATCATGCAGATAATCATTTTAAATTAACATAAGAGTTTATTTAAAATATCAATCTTTCAGAGAGAATATACATTTATATCATATACTTGATAATATTTTAAAAAATGATTACTTTTTATGTAGATTTGATGAGCCATTGAAGAGAGCTGTACTACTTAATACTCGAGGTACAAAGAATATGCTAGACTTGGCTAAACAAATGAAGCATTTAGTACTATTTGCTCACATCAGTACAGCATATTGTCACCTGGAAGAGAAAGTAAAAATATTTATTTTTATTTATACCTTATTCAGCTGGACTGAAGGTTTTAAAGCCATACTTAAAAATTAATTATCCGCTCATTAATGATATTTTGTATTCTTGATCATAACAATTTAGACTTTTTTAAAATTCTTATTCCATTAACACCTTTGTATAGTACGTACTAGAGTCAAAGCAATCTATTCATCAAATATAAAAATCTTTATTTTCATACATTGTAAAATAAACAACGACAGGATATGTATTGTAAAAAAAAAGAAATAAATAATATTTTGTTTGTTTAATCTTTTTTTTATTACAATTATAATTATTATAAATAATTTTTAAACAGACTCTTGCACTGGTGGTTCGTAACCTTCTGGTCTGTCTACTTTAGAGCCGGTTTCACCAGGCTCACTGCTTTTACCGCCACCACCATCGCCATGCAGCTCAAGCAATTTACTTAATTCGAATCGTGGTTTCTTTAAAACCTTCACTTTACGAATATAGACATCGTGAAGTGGATAAATGCCTTGACAGGCTTTCTCGATATCTTTAGCAATTGCATCAGGAAGCAATTTGCTGACAACCCCTTTGAGATCGCTTTTAGAAATATCATCTGTGATGGTTGATACCATCTTTCTTCTAATATTACGGACCTAGGAAAACAAGAAACCAAAGTACATTAGAATGTTTTTTTCTTTAATGAAAAACAAATAAATAATTTTTTAAAATGATAATAAATAAAATAACTACATAGAAAAAATGTTGCTTCACAATTTATCATTTCTCTTATTGAGAAAGAAAAATGTGGTAAGAGTAAGCATACAATTTTATCTTCGCAATATATAACACATCATTAAAATTATATAGATCATTTTAATGGATTAGATTATTGCAAGTTGTATTGATTGATAATTATGATAGTTTTTAATTTTATTAAAGTTAGATTGGAATGAAAAAAATAATTTATTTACCTGTGCATGTTGAGCATAGCATGTCTTCCTTTGACTCATTTGGTCTTTGTTAGTAAAACCAATACAAAATACTCTAAGTAAATATCCATCAGTAGTTTTGACATCAACATTGGCTTCTATTAATGTTTGCCATTTCTTCACCATAGACCGAAGCTTGTCTGTAGTCAAGTCCATACCGTGAAAATTGGTAAGAACTGAACGTCCTTGTACATCTTCAGCAATAAGTCTGAATTTTCGGAAGGATCTTTCTGCATCTTGATCATTTTGAAGATCAGCAAGAGAAACTTCGAAGACACGGTATTTTAAACCTTCGGAGGCGATTTCTGTAAAATAAATTAATTGCATGATTGTCATTGGTTACTATTAACAATCAATCTTATTAAATATCATTAATTTGAGATGAAATTTGTATCGATAAGACAACAGCTTTATTTAAGTAAATAAAGCTGTGGTACCTTTCGCTCTTTACTCTTGCAACACTAAACGTCAGCGAAATTATTTAAAAAATTTCGTGAAGCTGGGGTTGCTTGAATGATAAAATATTAAATTTTATAAAACATTGTTTTAAACTTACTCGTTCCTTGAGTTCTATTCACAAGAGTTTTGCCAATTTGGCGAGTAGTAAACATAGACGGTGCCTTGACATCATACCAATCTTTGCGAGTGAAAGGATCTACACTAAAATTAAAAGAAAATTTATTAATTATAATTTTAATTAAATAAACAAAATATTACATGAACAAATTTAAGTTAGATTATTTTATTCGTCTCAATTAAACGTAAAATTTGAAAAACCGAAATAGGTTATAATTCATAACGAATGTAGATTTTACATAAAAAACAATAAAAATTCATTCATGGTATAAATAAATATATAATAACACTAAAATAATGCGTTAAAAGTAGTTTCCGAAACATATTATTGTGACAATGGAGTAACAGCATGTCATATATCCAGATGATGATTTGGGCAACATAATCAACAATAATCACAAACATCACTCATTCATGTAACTTAAAAAAATATATTTTCAGAACTAGACATATTACAAAATTACACAATTATAATATTTATCACTTACATCTTCTTTTTAACTCCTTTTTTGCCTCCTTTGGAAAGCCCTTTATTTTTTCCCACCGCCATTATTAAGTTTACAAACGGAAAGAGAGCTTGATTTGTATTTTTAGTATAATATAATGCATCCATATATATATATATATATATATATGTATTAGATATATGATGTATACATACCCGTGTATTTTTACTGGATGTATGTAGTGTTACATAGAAGCACAAATCTTACGATATTATACATTCATGCACTGGTTAGTACGTAAGCTGACCATATATAGCACTACAGTCGGCTTCTCATTAGAGTCCCTTTAAATTTGAAAGGACGCTATATAAAATTAGTCCAGTCAATATAGAAGGCTTGGCTCCATTTGTATTGGAAATTTTTGTACAAAGAGCAATTTTGAATTTTCTAATGTCAAAATACCCGTAATGACCTGTAGAAAAAATGTGCCCAAAAACGAAAGTGCGCTGATTTTTTTTATATGATTTTTTTGCATTTCAGTGCTAAAATATTGGCAGGAAGAATCACCTGAAAATAAAAAAAAAGTAGGAGAACCGGGCAATAAACGTTCTTATGATATAATTTATCCAAAAGCGTTTCAAAATGCCTTTCCATCATCTGATGAAGATATTTATCTTCATATCATTGAAGCAAAACCTATGTATCCAGTTCCTACTGAAAACAGAGATCGCGTGTTATATAATCTCTTTAAAAGCTCTTCTAGTTTTGCCATACTCTCAAGTAAAAAAATTCCAAAACTACCAGAATTTTCAATTTATATGAAAATGGGTCGAGTGAATGTAAAGCTTCAAACTAACTTTAAATGTTTAAAATTGTCTTCCGAGGAAATCCAAGAACTTCGTCATTTTCATTGGTTAATTTTCAAAGACATCCTATCACTTCTTAAAGAATTTATGATTTTTGATTCTCAAAGTAAAGAAAACAATTTTTTAATTGTTCCAACTGATAAAGATGGAGAACTTAATTGGTCAGTTATACGGAATTATAAATCATTAGAAAAAGTATATCCAAGAAATATTCCACAAAATGCAATAACAAATGGAATCGATGACGTAATTCTAGAAAATTATTCTGATTGGGAATTAGTGTCTCCTAACTATCGATCAGCAACGAATATTTATGTTGTAACACGAGTTTGTCATGATCTAAATCCTCAATCAACTTTTCCCACTGATGATTACATATGTTATTCCCATTATTTTCATGAAAAACATAAAATTGAAATTTCTAATATGACACAACCACTTCTCGAAGTAAAGCCAATCTCTGATAAAATAAATTTCATAAAAAAAAGGGCACCTATATCCCCCAACAAACGAAAACGTGATAACCTTGAAGAACATTTAATTCCAGAATTATGTTGTAAAATCAATTTTCCTGCAATCTATTATCTTAAAGCACAAACTTTACCTTCAATTCTTCATAGAATTAATCAACTACTAATTGCTGAGGAATTACGACAGCAAATTGCTACTGAAGCTCAACTTGGATCTATATCAGCATCAGAAGATCAAGATTCGTGGGAAACTCTGCATTTCTCTGATGATGAGATACCTAGTGACGAAGAAGCTACAAATGAAAATATTGATGATACTGATGAATACGGTACACACATTGAGGATATCTTAGATGAAACTGATGATCATGATACTGTAAAGGAAGATACCAAAATTGAAGCAGATATAAATATCTTAAGCTTAAATAAAAACGTTTATCGATGGACGAGTATGAAAGAACCGCGCGATTTAGAACGAAATATTTCAGCAATAAAGTTAATAGATATTGAATATTATAATTGTTTTCAACATTCATTATATTCTCTTACTGAATCAGCTAATAATCGTAAGGAATTTTGTACACGTCAACCAGTGGTTAAAATACCAAGTCTTACCATTATAAATAAAACTACAGGAAAACAGCCAAGTGCAGCGAATTTACTCCCAGCATTGATAGTTAAACGAGCTAATGACTCAATTAATCTAGAAAGATTGGAAACATTAGGAGACTCATTTTTAAAATTTATCATTTCTTTGTATTTATTCGAACAATACGCTTATCAACCTGAAGGTCGATTGACAGGATATAAAGGAAAAATCATAGGCAATAGATATTTATATTATTGTGGAGTGAATAAAGGAATTCCTGGGAGATTAAAAGTAGAAGACTTTGTATCAAAAAGTAATTTTATTTCACCATCTTTTTGTACACCTCAAGAAATTCAACAAATGATACGTTCACAAAATAAATCGCCAAGTGTTTTATATGAAGTTAATATACCTCAATCCGAACAATTTCAAGGTATAATATCTGATGAAACTCGCAATGAATTTTTAAATAAAATTTCTTCATGGATAAATCCCACAGGTTCTACAGGAGTTGAGCATTTTATAAACATTCAAAATATTCCAGATAAAACGATAGCTGATTCCGTTGAAGCTATTATTGGTGTTTATCTTAAAAACATGAATTTGTTAGGAGCTAGCAAACTCCTACAATGGTTTGGAATCATTCCGAATCAAGTAAACGTTGAACAAATATTGTTTGGCACTCCAAAAAGTGCAGCATTAAACGTTGGTGATATAAATATTTACATGAATTGGGTAGATCATATAGAAGAGGTTCTAGGCTATAAATTTAGAGATCGTACATTTTTACTTCAAGCATTCACTCATGCTTCATACTCTCCGAATAAAATAACATTAAGTTATGACAGACTTGAATTTCTTGGTGATGCAGTAATCGATTTTCTGATTACGGTTTATATTTACGAGAATTGTAATAATTTAAATCCTGGAGAATTAACTGATTTAAGGTCAGCCCTCGTAAATAATATCACATTTGGATGTTTAACTGTAAAATATAAATTAAATACTGCCTTACTTTCTTATACTCCTACTTTATTCGAAAGTATTGATAATTTTGTGAAATTTCAAGAACATAGAAATTATGTGGTTGATGACGAGTTACTTCGGATTCTCTTAGAAGAAGATGATTGTGATGTAGCAGAATATGTTGACGTGCCTAAAGTTTTAGGTGATATTTTTGAATCCGTAATAGGAGCTGTTTATTTAGATAGTGGTAAAGATCTCACAAGGACTTGGAGCGTTCTTTATTCATTAATGCATGACGAAATTAATAAATTTAGTAAAAAAGTGCCCAAGCAGGCTATTCGTGTCCTTTATGAAACTCCAGGTATTAAACCACGATTTTCGAAAATTAAAATTGATGAAAATACTAAAAAAATATTGGTAACTTTAGAAATTAAAACTCTCGGTAAATATCGCTATTTTCATGGATTTGGCAAGACTATAAAATTAGCAAAAGTAGGCGCAGCAAAACGAGCTCTAAAATTTCTTCAAAAATGTAATTAACAAATTTATTCAAATGGTGTGAGGAAAAAAGATTGTAAATTAATTGTATCTTACAATAATTATGTACTTTATTTAAAAGATAAATAATAAAAATGTTTTGACTATTATTTCTTAAATTATGTTTTTCCTTTTCTTGAGCGATGGTTTTTCAAAAACTTGTTTCATTCCAGTTGCTTGATTATTATGAAATTTAAGATTTTGAGCAGTCTCTGATATCCAAGAAGAATCAAATTGCGTTGTATCTTGATCAACCAAATGAGTATATTTGGTTCTTCCACTACGGCCAAAGTTTTTAACTTGCATGACTTTAGGTAAAATTGTTTTATCAAAATGATCTTCCAATGTTGCACCAGAAAAATCTCGTTTGAATATATTCTCCTCTTTATCCAAGTAAAACGCACCACGATGATAATATTTCTGTAGAAATTTATATTTTCCTTTGGCTGCTTTGTTTGTGACTACTTTCGGATTTAATCTAGCTTCTTGACGGCGTTCTTCTTCAGTTAGATTTCGAATTCTTTCAATTTCCAGAGGTTCTTTTTCAACTCTGTAAAGAGAATTTAATGTATTAAAGAAATAATTGTTTAAGTTGATTTGTTTTAGTAATTATTGAAATTTTACGTACACTTCACGTTCTTCACGATCATGCTTTATTCTTTTCAGTTCACGCAGTTTCCAAGCTTCATATTCGAGTTCATCATTTTCATCATCTGTACAAACGTCTTCTATTTTACCTTCATTAGAATCAACCATTTTTTCACCTTGAGTTTCTTTACGAATTGCTTCCTCAACCATCTGCAAAAAGTGAAAAGAATAGTTATTTTGTCATATTATTTTTAATAAAAATTAACATCATAAATATTATAATTACCCTTAATGTTTGTCTTTTTCGTTCTTCTGCCATTTTTCTACTTTCAATTTCAGCTTGTTTTTGTTTCATAGCTTCTTTTTCTCGTTCCATTACTGTAATTCTATCTTTGTTTCTTACAAATACTGGTTTTCCTGATATATACCGATGCACTTTTACTTTCTTCATGGACAATTCTCCTGTAATAATTAAAAAAAAAGAGAGGTTTTGAATTAGCAACATGATCATCTATAATTTATAATATTCTAAATAGGCTAAATGCATAGAAATATTACCTTTATCATTTTTAACAGGGATAGCACCTGCAGTACTTCGAATACCCATAGGTGCAGGTGCCAATGAACTATTCGTGACAAAATAATCCATCATCATTTTTAAATTTTAATGTTTTTAATTCTTTATAAATAAATAATATAAAATATCAATATCGTGGTCAAGTCACAACATTCGTTTCACTGTTTTCAGACACACACAAAAACTGCAAAAATCAATTTATAAATCTTCTAGCAATCTTATTCTGATAACGTCGAAAATTACGTTAATAATGTTACTGAGACTCATTAAAATAAATTTTACTGAATAAATAATCTTAAAACGTAGATAAATTGATTGAAATACGTTAGACCAGCTTAACTTCTATCCGACTCCTTATTTTACTGTCGTCGAACTGAGAAGAGTTCCTCAATTGCTCCAATACTTTCGGGCTCCCCACCACTAATTCTCTACCCCTTCTACCATGTTTTGTACTACTGCGCAAGCGTACAAGAATACATGAAGAGCATCTGAGAGCATCTAAAAACAGATATAAAAGTTTTATAAATTCGAAGTAGTAATTTTGAAAAATGAAAAAACAACTATATTATAGTAAAATTAAAATTAATAATCTTGATGGATACATTATTTATATATTTACAGATTGACACAAAAATATTTCATTTTTTAATATATTTACGCATTGAGATAAATCTTAACAAAAGTAAGAAAAATGAATAAAAGTAAATTTTATGTTAAAAAATATTCACTGAAAATATATTCAAAAATTACATGTATAAATATTATGTACTCTATTGAGTATTACGTATTCATGATAATTAAAAAATTTATAGAAAATAATCTTAAAGGTTACTGTAACTTCATTCTTCATAATCCCATTTGTAAAATACATTCATTTGATATTAGACTTTTCTTTATACAGAAAGAATTATTTTTCACTTAATAAAAATTTAACTTACAGATCAGTTATATTTCATTAAAGTCGTCATGGAACGTTATTGATCTCTAATTTTAAAATTCTTGATTAAATTTTATTTAACAAAGTTAAAATATAACAACAATGATTGCCTAACCGGTTCATCTCGAGTAAACATTCTACCTGATAAAAATCACAATGTCAGGACTTTTGATTGAGAATAATTTTTAAATTGTCTGGCGGTGTTTGTGTAATATCTTTTAATAAAAAAACAAATTTTCATGAATAAATAAAAAAATTACCAATTACTATTACCATTTATTATTTATTTGCCTGAATTAAGTAAATGAATAATTACCAACTTTAAGAAATTGATGATTTTGTAGGTATTTTGTTCATCAAATAATTAATAAAATAATATTGAACAAGAAAACTACATTTTTTTTATCGAAAATACGATTTTTACATTCCGATAGTTGTGTCCTTTTCTAGCGCGTGGTGCCGCTTATAGTGTCGTCTCGCTTAGATACACAGGACCACTGAAATGCAAAAAAATCAACGCACTTTCGTTTTAGGGCACATTTTTTCTACAGGTCATTACGGGTATTTTGACATTAGAAAATTCAACATTGCTCTTTGTACAAAAATTTCCAATACAAATGGAGCCAAGCCTTCTATATTGACTGGACTATAACTAGACTCAAACATAATGAGTTAGCAGATTTACGAGCTGCTGTCTTACCCAGAAAGGTTGATCTTTGTGAGTGTCCTTCGTCAGAGCGACTTTTCATAATGAGGATATTCCAGTTTTGACCATCGGGTTTAACAATGAATTTTATAATGCTATTTTACTATTGTACAGATAAGCACGGACAAATTTACCTCGAACGTGAAAATATACAATAAAATAACGGAGGAATTTCCCAATTTACAACTGCTTGAATGCAGTGCACACTAAAAGTAAATACCTTAAAACCCCTGTAAATAATATTTACATTTCTATTCTTCAAATTGTTGAAGTGGATTAATTTTATATTTGTATGTTTTGCAAAATGTTCCAGTTTATTATATAAATGTATATATTTGAAAAAAAGAGAAAGTTGAATTCTACTTTAATTTAAAATTATACTAATAATGAATAAAACATCATGACGATTTTTTGTGTTTAAAAACTTACTATTTATAAATAATTCTTGATTTTTCTTATTAACAAAAACAATTTGGTTGTTATAATACCATAAATATATATTTAATTTATTACAATTGACAGTTTATATTACAATTTGATTAATTAAAATCTCCTGAATTGTTTTTTAAACCTCTCATAATGATAATCATCAGTAGCTTTTTCTGCAGCATCTTTATTACGTTTCCCTTTGTAATCTTCTTTAAAATTATCTAATTTTTTTGTGTTACTTGATTCTTGTTTTTTCTGCATATCTTCGTCAATATTAACTGTAAAAATATTTTCAATAAATAGCTTAATGTATTAATTTATGTATAATGAATGATATTAATTCTGTTTGTCAGAATGTAGATTTTATAATAAAAACATAATTAATATTAAAAAAGATTAATAACATTTTATACTTACATCGATTATGTTGTACAAAATTTACTGCCATGTTTGTAGGAACAAATGGTGAAGGTCCATCTTTCTTTCGATGCTTTTCCCAAAGTAATTTTAATTTAGCTTCCTCTGTTGCTTCGATATTTTTTATTTTAGCTCTGTAAAATGTATTAGTTTAATATCTTATATATTTAAATGATTAAAATGTTTTGTTATAGCATGAATATTTAACTCACTCTATTCCTAAATCAACTTCTGGAATGCCAGAAAGCATTTGATTAGAAAGCATCTCTTCACTTTTATGAGTTGAGCTTTGTCTTAAGTGTTCAGGAACAGCTTGTAGAGCTGCTTCTTCCGGTGAATAGTAAACTTTTTTATCATTATCAGATTGATTATTCGCATGTTCATTGTTTTTATTTTTTTTTCTCTTCAACAATTCTTCTTCTATGTATTTCACCCTAGAAAGAATTTCAACATTAAATGATTAATTTTACGATTGTGATTAGTATAAATATTTCATTATGGTGTTACTAACATTTCTTCATCTTCGTCACGTTTATTGGTTTCTGCGTTAAATTGAGTTCCAATTCCAGTATCATAAGCATCATCTTGTTTTACTTTAGCATTTTTCAATGCTGTCATATTAACCATTCCTCCGGTTTTAATATTAAATGGATCAGTAGTCTATGATAATGGAAGCAAAATTACTTGTAAACTTTATAATTACTAAATACATTTTAAAAGTTTATTTTTCACCTACAGTTGCTATTATTTCTGGTGCAATTTTTTCACCAAGAGCAAGGCCAATGACATGGACTCCGTTTGGTCGTTCTCGAAGTTTCTGTATTTCTTTGGCTTCTTCCACTTTACTCCTAAAAAATATTCGTTACAGTAATATGTCATAATATACATATATAATGGATGAGTAAATAATTAGTTTAGAAAACAAAACACTGTTACAAATTTTAAAATTATTTATTTACCATACTGATGAGTCTTTTTCTTCATCGTCACTTTCATCAGAGTTCGTAATACGATTTCTTAGCGGAATGTTTCTTTTTTTCTTTTTAAATTGAATTTTAGTTGGCAAACTTTCTGAAGACGTTTCATTTTCATTTGTTTTTGCATTATTCGTATCCATTTGTTTATATTCTTAATAATGATTAAAAACCGAATTACAGATTGTTTGTAAATTTACTTTGATTGTACTGAACTAGAAAACTAACCTAAAACTGTCATTGAAAGTTGATAAAGTAAATACTGTCGTTGACTTTGTTTTTCACTTGAATTGCATAAATAAAATATGATTGATACAAAAATTCAGAACTAAAAAAGAAGATAATAAGAATGAATTAAAAAAGTTATTTTTTAAGTTGTAAATATTGTATCGATAAAAGAGGGCGATCTAATCGTTGAAAACATGTATAGTCTATTCGTTGAAAACTATGGAACACGCGTTCCATCTCCACCAATAAGCCCCGCCCGGATAGAACGGACTTAACTCGTGTCAACAACGATTAGTATTAATTCATTACACTCGAATGTTTACGGAGTAATTTTTTATATTGTGTTATTTTCACATTCCATTTATTACTAATCATTTATTTCATTTTTATGATTGTAAGTAAAAAATTGAATTAGTTGATGATAAAATTATTTTCTCTAAACTAAGATAATTTTAATTTTTAGTTCATAATTAGAAGAAAAAAGGGTGCGGTTTAATGAACGTGAGTAACAACTTACTCATTTCGGCTTGTTACTCTTTCTAACTACGTTCTCTATATTTTTCAGTAGTAAGTGATTATTTAAATTAATTATAATGGACATACATGAAGATCGTAATTTGTATTTGAATAATACGTACTTTACAAAACACGAATACGGTGATTTTACTCCATTTTACATCACCATCACGATCTGTTCTTTACTAGGCGGCTTTCTCATCATCCTCAACGTCGTTTGCTGTTGGTGTTCACGTTATCGAGAATATTGGCAAGATAGGCATACAGGTAAGAATTTATTTTAAGTTAAAAATGTTTAAATGATTTTCCATCTCAATCATACTATCAGTTTTAACTTACACCTTTTTTTTAAATAAAAATAAACAAAATTATTTTCATTACAGGAAACCGTTGGATACATTCACTTTGGGTGGTTACTCCTCACAAAATTCCTCCTTTAGATTTATCAGAATTTAATTCGAGGATCGGTCAGAACATTGTTTACGAAAAATCTTATTATCCTCCATCTGTAGTTGGTGACGAGGAACTTGCTTATCCTGATTCAAGAGTAGATACTCCACTGCCTCAAGAGTACATGGAAATGCAAAAACGAGAAAGCGATATTTAATTTGATACAAATTGTATTATTTAGCCATATCGTTTATTATATTTGACTTAGATTTTTAAGTTGCCGTGGAAGAAAGTAACTTTTTAAAAAACCAAACATGAGTTTGCACATATTTTGGCCAGCAAGTGCGTGCCTTACGCTTTTTGTTGTTGGCGTTATTATGATTCTAATTAAATATGGACCACAGATTTGTGGTCGACAGGAATTTCGTTCACAGAAATACAAAAATGAAGCTGATGATGAAATTTATGCTCGTGAAGTTTCTGAATCAATAGCATAAATTATGCTTATTTTAAATAATATAACTAATCGCTTTTTAAGCGATATAGATATCTATCAGCTCATTTAGAAATCCAGTATTTCAAGAAACTAATAATTTTTATATAATTTGTAGTTTTTCTTTTAATATCCATAATTAATTTTTGATCTTTTATTACTCATTTTTTTTTATTTACAACAATTCCGTCCATTGCATGACTGCATAGTTAATTATTTTATACGATAAATTTGTAAAATTTTATAAAAAATTTATACAATGTTGTTTACGTACGTACATTGACCAAAAATGTACAAAATTATAAAAGATTCGAATATATCATGACTTAGATTTAATTACTTATAATAAAAAGTTCAAATGATTATAAAATTATTAACAATAAAACAGATTTTTGTAATTTGAATAAAATATTGAAGTTTTTTCTACTTTTATATGATTTTCATTTTTATTGACAACATCTTATTCATCACAAGTGGATTTAGATTACACAGTCGTTTACATCGTACAAGATTTAGTAAATAAGTAAGTGTATTTATAATAATGGTAATTAATAACAAATAAAAACTATTTATTTATAATTTCTAATTATTGATGCGACATCAATTAATTTTTTTTTGATGAATGATATTAACTGGTTAGTACTGTGGCAGTCAATTTTGCATTATTTAACGATCTTTTACTTCAAGAGAAAATAATAAACCTGTTTTTTTTACTTAAAAAAATAAAAATTAAATATCATTTATTTAATCTTTCAGATAATTATAAATTTGGTTTTAAAAAATTGTTGATGATTTGAAAAAAATAGAAAAAGTAATTATCATAATGAAATTAAATGTCAATAAATTAAAATATCAATTAGAAAATAATTTAATATCAATGATGATTTTTTATTTTATAAATTGTCATAAAAATGCATAAATTGAATGAATTATTTAATATTAAGTGTTTATTAGATAGCTAATTAAATTATTACTTTCTATAATATTATCTTCGAAGATAATTAAAGATTTTTATTATAAAGCAAATATTAATTTTCTACAGTTTTTATATTACTTTTCAAGAAACATATTAAAAGAACAGCTAGTTCATGGCACAAATGTTACTGGTTTCTATTACACTATGTTACAATGAAATATTTTAACACACCAAGAGTTATGTATGTTATATTTACGCTATATTTTATTTAACTTTAATATTATCAACTTTATTACGTTTTTGTATGATAATAATAAATAAATATTATTATTGATAATCCGTGAATTGAATGTATTTTTAAATTGGTAAATTTTCAATGATTCACAAATAGTCTTGCAGAATATGATATCAACATTCATATATTGAGTTCAATTTATATGAATTTATTCTAATTAATCTATTGATTAATTATTATTTTGTAATATTTTTTTTTTCATCGTTTTGCCTTATTTATTATAACATCTTGATTGTTTGCGTAGATAAATGACTATTTACTTCTTTTTTTTGAACAATATTAATATGTCATTGTCGAGGTTTTATTTTAAAATGATGATATGATGTTACATATATTTCAATTGGCATCTACTTGCTTATACTTGAACTTTCAGTGCATGCCCATGATTAATTGTCCATTGTTAACTTCGTTTTTTTCTTTTTCACTATAACTTTTCACAGTTTACATAAATTATTTTATTATTAGTGACATTAATGTTAGTCTTTGAAAATTTTTCATGTAAATAAAAGTGATTAGTGAAAGATTATGTTTGTTCATTTGATTATCATGCTCATTTCAGATGAATTAAAAAGAGCTTTACTTTGTATCATATATTTTTGTGTTGAATCAATTAATGTTATTTGTTGAAATCAGTATTTCATATTTTGTTTTATACAGATCATCTTTCAACAGTAAATAATCGTTGTTAATATTAATTTATTTATTTGCATTTAGATAAACGATTGATTACAAAAAATATCAATCATTTAATTTATTTCGAAAAATGCAAAATGATGAAAATACTTTTTTTTTTATTATTATTATCAATAGTTTTTACATTAAAATTTTATTGAAAAAATTTATTATAACGTAATGTTAAAATAAACAAGTATTCTAAACGTTTTTTTTTTTATCTTTCATTAAATTCACATGTTAATATTAATCATGATTTATTCTTAACATTATTTTTTATTAAAAAAAAAAATGAATAGATTATGTTTAGAATAAAAATAGAAAAAATGTAAGAAATTGAATGCCATTGGTTGAATTAATTATTTAATTTCTTTGTCAATTTAAATACTAGTATCAATAATCAAAAAGTTATTGAAATTATTTAAGTCAATTAAATTTTTGCATTTTGTAATTATTCAACTACAATTGTATACTTGTAATAATTACATTCATATTCAATACCTCAAACAAAAGTGGCTAACTTTTTATGTTATCTATCTCATATTTTTATACCAGTCAGTATTATCTGTAAAATTTTCGATACATTAAGTTTAGAGATATTGCAACCGTTAGATTGTTAGTTACCAAAAAATTTGTATTACGACCAAATTATGGATCAGATGAAGGGTTTTGTAGAATTATTTACTGTTTTCCAGGCTTCCTGTTAACTCGATCAGCTATGAAATTAAAATATTTATATATATAAAAGAGGAACTACCAATAAATATAATCTAATTATTATAAAAAAAAAATAATAACAATGAATAAATTCAATTATTACCTTTGTCTTTGGTAACTTTTTTGGTGCTCACAGTTTCTGGTTTACACCTCTTAACAACACGACGTACTTTTTCACATGAATCATCGCTGTTTGGTTTTAAAGTATCCTCTCGAGTCATTACCATGTTCACACATGGAGTGAAATTGCCTTTTTCGTAGCGACATGCTGTACTTTCCGTATAAAATGAAATCGGAAAATATATTAATTTTTATCAAATACTATAAATAATGAATAAATTATCAAATTAAATGATAAATACTTAAATTTGTATTTATTTTATCACCTTTTTTACATTTCTTCGTGATAGTTTTTGTTTGTTCACATGTCTTATCACCTTTTTTTAAATTCAATGTCCGTGATCGTGAATTAGTTTTCGAATCACATTCAGACCATTGACTTTTGCTATATCTGCAATTATTTGAGTTGTTGCCAGATGCTATAATAATTAATATTAGAAAAGATTTAAAAAATTTGTCAATCAATTGTAAAAATGAAATAATAATTTTCCAACTATTTTAATATAACATACCACGGTCTTTAGTGCCTCTAACTGTTCTCACTAGAGTTTCATTATTGTCATCATCTTCTTCCCATGCATCAGATTCAGCTTGTGCTGTAATTGCCATCACTGACAAAGCTACTCCAAGCACTAGTATCAAACTCCACGACAGTTTCATTGTAAAAGTATCTATACAATAAAAATAATGAAAAAATTTTTAATTAACGTACATCTTGAGTTACTTTAATTTGTCATTTTTTTAATCATAATAATACTTCTTTCTAGTAAAAGAAAATATTCTTTTTAAAGTATAAGTAAGCATAAGACTATTTGAATGATCACATGGAGAATCTTAGTGAAAAAGCTAAGGGTTCAAATGAGTGTCAGACTGTCATGTATCTGTTGTAAATATACCAGTATTGGATATAGAACAGATTTAGCCAACCAGTTGGCGTAGAGAGTAAGTATAAAAAAAAGAAAGTATATATCAAGGGGAGTTGATGCTGTTAAAAGCATCAACATTTTGTTTCGTTCCCAGCTCTTATATTATTCCCTACTGAGAATTGAAGCATCTCTTTTCCCCTCTGCACCCTCGCTCATTCTCTCCATATATTTCTTTGTCTCTATCATTTGTAGAGTTTCTTTCTGTCGTCAAACAGCCGACTGACGAGTCGGTCTGAAAAATAATCTCGCAAAATTGCAGCCAGAGAGTTAGTTTCGTTGGCAGATACTCGGACAACTCGGGGTTAACGATCTCACTAGTTAACGCAAGCCATCAAGTCGGAATTGAATAAAACCTTAACGACTTGTGGGATAGATCAATCAGTTATTACGTGATAGTTTTATCAACTTGCTATTAGAGGGTTCACAAACTACTTTCAAATGTATCTATTAACTTTATTGATTGTCACAATCAGCTCATCCATTTTTCATATATTATGCTGATTATATAATAACCTATGATTGCTGAAAAAAAACAAATTCACTTAGCTTTCAATAATATACAATTATTTATGACTATTATTATAAAATTTAACAAATTACCTTTAAATCCAATAATGAAAATTAAATAATTCTTATAAAGTTAAAATTTTCATTTTAAAATATTTAACAAAATTCTTGATAACCTATTAATCAATTTTCATCTTTCGAGATAGATTTAATATTCAATTTCAGCAAGTACATGTTTCAGTATCAAATAAAATAGATCCATAATAAAATTAAATGTTTGATACTATAAATATTAAATAGACCATTCAAATGTGGATCAAATGACTGAAGTGCAAAGCAATTATTTTCGTATAAAATAAGTGAATAAGCCTAAGTGATAACAATATAATAATGTATTAATTTTATTTTTATTTGATAATCTATGGCCAAGGTCGAGGGAAAAGTAATCCCCTCAACGTTTATATATAGTCGGTGTCATCATTCAAATGTAGAGAGTAATCAACCGCGTATTTGTGTCCAGAGACAAGTTACACGAATGACCGAGCCTGTGGGATCGATAAACCAGTAGACTAGATGATAATAAAATAATCTCTTTCATGTTTATCTTTCGTATATTATTTTTCCGGTGCTCAAATGATATTCTAGCGAAACAGATGATAAAACAATACTAAATATCTTTCATACTAATTCCTCCAAATTCTCCGTAATGTTGGTATCTAATAGAAATTCATTGAATATAAAAGACATACTAACGATTTCATGTAAGTAATAATAAACCATTTACATAATTATTTTTATTAAAAAAACACTCGATACGAGAAAGGAATAAAAATGTATTAATAAACCATTCGATTCAGTAAGTACTAAAAGTATCTTGAAGAACAGATTGTCGTTATTTTATAAATACTCTGTGGGATGTTTTTGTAACGATTTTTGTCCTTCTATAACCTTTCAAAGTTAGCATTTGTTTCCGTCAGTTAAAATTCAGTGGGAAAATAATCGTAGATCCATGTAATGATTTTATATATACAATAAAAAAAGGAGAATAAAAGCTTTGAGAGTACAGTTTAAAACAATTTTAATCGATATTCAGACGAAAACTTGAAGCACGCGAAAGAAAAATACAAATAATACAACAAAACACATTTAACTGTAATAATTGAAAAATTTGATTAAAATACAAATGAATGTTTAAATGATAAACAATAGTTGCATAAACAATGTAATAATAGATATTTTAGAAGACAAAAAAAAAAACAAAATTCGATTAAATGCGAATCGGTGATGCGAGTAACATGGGAAATTTGCGGAATTGCGTCGTCTCGCTTTGCGCAATCCATTACCCCTTGCATCCTTGCAATTCTACAACTACACTCTGCCTTCACAAGTAATATTCTCACTCTTTTATGTTCTCTATCTTCACCACATTGTTCACTGACCCGAATTTCAATTTTCCCAGTCATGCGGCAATAATAATAATAATAATAATAATAATAATAAAATATTTAAAAAAAACTAAGTTACATCGTAGCTTATTTCCTTTTTACGCTCAGTACAGTTGAAAATCCTAGACCAATGGATTCAAGCCGCAGACATACTTATATTTATATATATTATTTACTCAGAGATATTATCAAAATCACTCTGTTTATTCACTCTTAAAATATTATCTATAAAATGTATAAAAACTTGAACTGATTAAAAAAAGCAATAACGAACTCTCGTCATAATACTTAATCATGATTAAACATAATATCAAAAACATTCAACGTTATTCCATCAATTCTAATAATAGACCAAAATATGGAATTTTTTTTAAATGGAATAATTTATATAAAATTAATTGAACAATTATGCGAAAGTACTCTAGAATTATCAATCACATTCATAAGAGATAATATAAATAAATTAAAGTTTTTTTTCTGTTTTGAAGATTAGTAATTAGAACAGATGTCATAACATAATAAATTTATGAATCCGATATGACAGTGTATGATAATATGAATGAAATATAAATTTTAAATAAATAATTAAGTATTGAAACACTGGTCCATTATTAAAATCCACTCCGTTATCTCCATCTTCTCTAGAGCTTTAACCCACCCTCGAACACTTAATACTCACAAGATATTAGATATAAAAATAATAAATATACTCACCACGTCAGATGTATTAAATCGAAATTTTAAAATTGTTAAAAATTTTGTTTTTTAAGAGGCACAGCTCGCGGTTGATAGCAAGTTGATACAGAGCGATGATAGATTCTCTTTTTTTTGAGTAGAACTCGAGTTCAGCGACTGCGCGATACGATGATCGGAGCAACTACTATTCTTCACTGATTCTGTTCTGGTTGCTGCTCTGTCTCCAAGCTCTCTGGTAGTTATCTCACTCTATCTATCTATCTTTCTTTCTCTTTCTCTCCTCATCTCCCCTTCTCTCGAAATTTGTTCTCTCTTTAACCCCTTGCACTCACCCAAAAGCTACCGCAAGCAATATAATAGAGAAATTGGGCTTTACTTTCAGAACACGCCCCGCAATCTTTCATTAAGAAAACGTAAACAGTAGAGTAATGAAAATAGTTTAGAATAAACATAATCAATAAATTAATCAGTAATAATAATGATAAAATAATTATTTGTTAAATGATTCTGTACTGAAACAAAAAAAGCTCAATAATTATATAATTTAGTACAAATTGTTATCATGATTTCATACTCCAAATTAAATAAAAAAATAATATAATAATACTTTAATTTTGCTAAATACTTGATACTGATAAAAATGTTAATACCCGTTTAGTTGTAAAATAAATTGTTATATATTTTTGAATATGTTTATATACATGATAATTATTAAAAATTTTATGTAAGGGTTTCACATCGATATCAGGTGCTATTTTGGTGAAAAAAAATATTAAAGATGATAATTATATTTTATAAATAACATTACTTTTGACCTCGTTTACTGTTTCAGTAAAGGATTGCTTTAAATGCAAAATAAAAAAAGCGAAGATAATAATAGATAAGAGGAGAAAATGACAATGTCGTTGATACAATTAAATAGAATGATTGTCGTCAAGTTAGTTGACATCTCTCAAGTTGTCTTCTTTCTTTTTTGTCTTATTTACCCTCCTACAAGACCCAATGCCACTGACTAATGTCATTCTTATTTCCTAAGCTATGGCTGTACATGGAACATTTATGCAATTGGTAAGGAAATGGGATCAAGTTTGATTGTAGAACTAAGTCACTTCTTCCGGTTTAATTTGTTAAACTAAAATGCACAATGATGTTAATAATATTCAGAATAAATGATAATTTACATTTTTTTCTCTTCAAAAATAAACATTTATTTAAAATTGAATGTTCATGAGCGTCTAGAATCTAAGAACATTATAATCTTATACACAAAAGTATATATTTAGAAATTAGTTTTGCTTTTTGGATTTTACTATTTTTTTTCTGTTTAAAGAATTTTCATGTATTATCAAGACAAAAACTAATCTTTTGAACCATGTCAGTTGGTCTGAGATTGCTCATATACATGATTTATACCTTAAAATATTATGCTGTTATATTGTACAGAAAATGATTTCAATAACGGATTGAACATAACCCGCTTCTTCTTCTTCTTTGTATTTTTCACTGACACATTTCATAACTTCTAAAATCGATACACATTAAAATCATAGTATTGTTAAATGTTTATATTATCACAATGGTACTTCCGAATAATGGATTTTGTATTTTCTTTAATCCATACTCATTTAGGCGGCATCTTTTGCGGCATGCACTAATTCATCGAATGAATTCTCTAAACACTGTCGCAATTCTGCATAACTGACTACTAACACGCTTTGTTCATCTCTGGACATCAGACAAATCTAACACAAAAAATTGTACGAAACAATGTCCAAGTATTTTGAATTTAATAACAATAATAATATTCTATGTTAATATCAAAAATAAATAAGAATTCAATAATTACTATATTATATTTACCTTATCGGAGGATCCAGCATCTAATTTATTTAGACAAGAAACAACATGTGCCATGTCAAGCCAGGGTCGATCATCTGGAGTAACTTGATGAAAAACATAATCTCTAAATAATTTGAGCATGTAACGATCACCCGTTTCAGCCCATGTTAGTTCCATATTAAGCTCTGGTCTTTCATTTATTGTAGCTAGTTTAACGAGTAGCCTAAATAATCGACCATTCTCGAATTCCTTGGCTAGCTCATTTTCAAGTACGTCCGAACGAAGTTGGACTGTATCTAATTGGGTATAAAAACGGGCTCCAATCATCGGCATTAAATCTGTTACAGATTTTCTCGCTTGGTCCGACAGCAAGTATCTATGTTGTAATTTTATTTTTATTAGTTCATTCAACTTCTATTTTATATCGGAGTTAAATAATGGATGATTATTAACTCACAAAATAAAATTTCGGAGATCAGTAGAGTAGGACCGGGCAACGAGTTCAAGAGATGCTTGAATATTATCGCGGTGGACAGCGAGGAAACTGCGGCAAGCTAATGCTAACACCAACTTCCCTAAAGCAATAAGATCTTCCTGCTGATAGTGGAGAATTAATGATAAAGGATTGGCTGCATTGCCATCAAACGTTACAACATCAGGAACTGCAGCACAACTTAATCGTAGACGATTTCTCGATGTCAACAACACTTTTGTAGGATCCAAACATCGATAAGCTACACCTGTAAAATTATAATATTAATATTTTAAATTAATATTCAAATAAAATAATTTTTCTTTCATTCTTTTGTTATTTGTTGTAAATCAGACATGGGTCACGTCTTTAAGTCAAGGTCCCCTTTAAGATTAAGATTACTCGTACGATAAGACCCATAATAATAATTAAGTGATGTCCAAGATGTTCCAATAGGCCATACCTGTTATAAATACTTTGAAAAATATTTGGGCTCCAAATTATTATACCTTTTGAAAAATCTATTCTTACTTTAATCTCCAATAATCCAACTAACAAATTTACTAAATATTATTGACAAACTTACCGCCAGCATGTATAACACGTAAAGCTGCTGTTAATTGGATAATATAACTCCAAATTACACTCTCAGGTAACATACTATTATGCTGTTGTCTTAGTATCGTATTTTTTGTGTGGCTGTAAGGCCTTGGAGCATTAGGATCTGAGCAGAATGGATCTGCATAACCGTTGAGCTCTGATCCTGAGAAATGTTTATTTAAGAGAGTTTCAGCACCCGGATGGTAGTCGTACACAAACACGATAGCTGAAACAATAAATATAGTGATAAAGTCTGAACACTAAGTTTAAATTAATTTAGAGCTTAAAACGACATCAATTAAAAAGAACGAATAAGACTATTATTCTTTGTAGTTGAATAATACTTACAATGATCACCAAATGCTTTTGTTGTAAAAACTTCAAGTAATTGAACGACATTTGTATGGGAAATACGTTTCCACATTTCAACGAGTACCATACACTTTGTATTGCCGAGACGGAAATCTAATAATGAAAAAAAAAATTTATGATTTTTCGTAATTACATAGATGGAGGATGTTGATTGTGTATTTATAAATACTCTGACTTTAGATTATACGTATTTGTATTTTAATAAAGTATATTTACCGTGAACACGACGTAAACAATAACGATTGCCATTTTTCAAACTTGTAGCTTTATAGGTAGATGTTTGGTAACCCAGAACCGTAGATGCAGGTTTATGAATTTGTTCTAATGGAACGAGTTCATGATAATTATCCACTTCTGTTGGTAGGTCAGGAAATTGTACCGGATCAGGTTGGCTCAAGGTCAAAGAGTTTTTGTGCAAGATATCCATTCGTAGATTTGCGCTTATAAAGAAACTAGAATTCACTTGAGGTGGTGGGGGAGTTGATGGGGCTGAAGAATTATTGGATGTTGGAGCTTTTGTTGATTTTGTTGCTTGAAGATGTCCAGGTGTTCCTGGATAAACATACCCTCCAACCTGATTTGTACCAACATTGCCAATCTAGAGAAAACATTAAATTAACAATTATTAATTCACTATTCAAGCTATTAAATGATAAAAATAAAAATGTTTTAATAAAGAAAAAAATATTATAAACTTACAACTTCACTTCCATCCTCGGCACTGACAGAATCTCCAGCTGCATTCCCTAAGTAAAAATAAGTTGTACCACCAACATTCTCCTGAGAGTGGTACGAATTACCAAAAAGATTAGGAGAATTGCTAGTACTACTAGTAAGACCGCGACCTGGTACAAATTCTGGGCTTGCAGTCACTTTTTTACTCGCGTCTAATGACAGAGATGACAGGTGCTTTGTTACCATGTTGGTGTTTAATGTTGTGGCTGGACTCTGACGATTCTAAAACATACATTTAATATTATTGAGAGTATTTACTTATAATTTTTTAATGATCTTTCGATAAATAATTATTCATCAATATCTTACCATATAAGTTGCAAGTTTTGATTCCAATGGAACTACATTCGCTTGCGGCGTGTAAGTAACAAACATAGAAGGATCCATATTACTTGCGAATCCTGCATTTACTGCTAGACTCTTCAACGGTTAGCACAATGAGTTATATTTGAAAAATATACGACTCCTTAGTTACTTAAAATCTGATAAAAACTGTAAAATTACCCTTATTATGGAATATGAAGCTGAAAGAATGAAAGAAAATTTTCAAAATTTCACTCAACTTATGACAAATTATAATTGTATGAAAATGTTTACATACCTGATAATTCTATAAAAAAGTCGATTAAAAAATAAACTAAAAATATTGTAGAATATGTAGAACACGCTACAGCAATGGCAGCTGATTTTGACAATTCTCGTATAAGTCACTGGATTATAACCTTGACAATTGAATTGGAGTCCTTGGCACTTTATTCACTGATAAAAGATCTACACATGAAACAGAAAAATTGTTGGAAAAGCTGAACTTCACACAAATGTATGTATATTTTGATAAAAGTATAAAATTTAATGAATTATAATAAGACAATAAGGGTACGCCGTCAACATAACCCATGAATGTGTTGTCAATGACGGGTCGCGTCATCTCACAATGGCGCGAAAATGATTATTAACACATTTTGTAGAGATATTAGTAAATAAGTTTATTAAGTAAACACATACCACTGTGCTATTTTGGAGAAAACTATCTGTTTGAAACTTATTTTTAATAGAAAAAATTTTGATTTCACAGACAAAGAATTCGAACTACAACAGACACTATGCAGTATGTTTATGTCGACTGAGAAAAAAGTTCGGGTGCCATAGAGTGTCCCGAATGCCAGAAATGTCTATGGTTAACAAAAATGAAATCCACTAGCGTTCAAAATATACATCAACTATTATAAAAGATTTTTTTTCTACACTCTACATTTGACAAAAATTATGAAAGTAAAAAGTTTTATTTTGTACAAAATAATTGATTGTAATTTGATAAATTAAAAAAATAATATCTTGAATAAATTAGTTATAAATTCATTGTTTTTTATGAAAATGATTCATTTTGTCCAATGGGGCATACACTAGCGCTCCCTTCAACACTTACTACCGGTAAGCTAGATTTCCCAAGGTAAGTAGAATACCAACATACAAAAACTACAAATTATTCCATATTATTACTATTTTCATCTTGCGATTCGTCAGAGGTGTCTGGCCAGGGATCCCAGGGCTCCGACCCACCTGGGGCCTGACCAGACGGGATTATCCTGCAGACACCCGCCTCCCTCAGGTTTGGGGATGAGCCAGGGCTGCAGCCGTTCAGTCATTATTTACAGTCGTCTCAGGATTCGGAGAGAACCAAGGATACCGTCTGGGCGAGGGGTGCTCCTCTCGCTACGGTAATGGAATAAGTCCGTACAGCCAGTTTTTCCTCCTCACAGGTGATGGCCTTCTGGGCGTGAGGAACGAAACTATCCATCTTGGTTTCGTTAAACATCACCACCCTTGCAAAGGATTTTAACAGGTTCCTGAAAACATACCTGCAACGGCCCCCTACAACTGGCCCTCTTTGGATGAGAGCCATGGAACAGTTGGGAGGGGCCTTACGATACGTTCCAATATTAATACTGACCATGGACCACCCCTACAGTGTCTCATACTATTACTATTATTATTATCACAAAATCAGCAATGAAACAATTTTAAACTCGTGTCAGGGACTATCTCAAAGAGTATTTAATCATAAACTTTCTAAATTAATTTAGATGTAGAATCTCTGTTTGAAAAAAAACTACTCCATCGATAATTGCTCGGATGGTATCAAAGTGTACACTCAGGAGCATTAATGCCTGGTTTGTATCTGATGAGCAATTACCGACCGCAGGTATGGTTTTTGAAATTCCTGACTGAGTATCTGGACCACTTTATATAATTTTTATTGTGGGTCTTACTGTACGAGTAGTTTTTACTCAGATCTTAAAAGGGATTTTGCTGAAGAACGAGCTCAATCCTGGTATAGACTTTTATACCGATTCTTTTATTTATAGATTTATAAATAGAAGTAAAATTAGGTATTACTAGAGATTGGCAGTTGTGATGATCGTTCTGTCTGGCAAAGCTTAGTGAGTCAATATATTTATACCTGGTGGATTTATGTAGGTTGTTTTGATATTATAAAACGTCCAAACCTTATACTTCTAAAATTATGACTTCCAGTTAATTTTATACATTTTTTATGGCATGATTTTTAGAAACACTCATAGAAGTTCAATGCTGTTTCTGTTCAGGAAGTACTCCAATCGTGTTAAATTCCTGTCGCTTCCGAGTCACCAGCGACAACTATAGTATATATCGACTTGATGTTAGAAGCTCTCGAAATTACACCGAAAGACGAAAACAATACATTTTGAACAAAAAAAATATTAATTTGAGATATTTAAATTGATTGAATTACAAGATGATCATTCCTGTGCGCTGTTTTACATGTGGAAAAGTTATTGGCAACAAATGGGAAGCATATATTGGACTTCTACAAGCAGAATATACGGAAGGGTAATAACAAATCTTCATAACCTCAATTCTTTAATTATGTCAATAGGTATAATTGTTTGATATCAAGTAATTAATGTTGTTAATATTAATATTTACAGTGATGCTTTGGACTCACTCAGCTTGAAACGTTACTGCTGTAGGAGAATGCTTCTTGGACATGTAGATTTGATTGAGAAATTGATCAACTACGCACCATTAGAAAAATGAATACTTAACATTCTCTCAACATTCTACTTCATTAAATCATTCAATAATTTATGATATTTACAAACAGGCATTAACAAAAATGTTTGGATCTATATCAACTAAATTATTACAGTATTTCATTAATAATGATAGTTCTATGATATTGCGAAGACCAAAATATAATTTGTAATTTGTTAAAATTATTCATCAGTAATAATGTCATAATATTTCATATGTATACGTAATTTCATGTAATAAAAAAATGTGATATTTCAATTACAAATAGTATTTATTTTTTTCCATTTTATAATTATTTTATTTTACAATACTTTATCAAACTTAAACTGTAAGACATACTTTCACATGATCAAAAAATTAGTTCTAATGTTAATTTTTTGTTTGTCTACAATTATATTCCCTAGTTATACTTAAAACATCAATTTGATATTTTTATTTAGCTCGTTATATTTTAAATGCATTATATAGCTTCATGTAAAATGATTTTGATAATAATAGCATAATTTTTATAAGCAATACTCAATTTGACTTAAAAATGATTTATAATTAGTTTACTAATATCATACAAAGATATAATATTTGTTAAAAACTAATCTAAATAATTACTTTCATATTTAATTCCTATTTTTCGATATGATAAAAGACTTGCAAAAAATTTACATTCTTATAATAGTTTATCAATCGCTACTTTCAATATTAAAATTTTGCTATGAACTGATTTTTATCATTATTTCAAGGTATAAATATATTTAAAGAGTTTTTCTTACACTTTGAACAATAATAATTTAAAAGCATAAAAAAATTTGTACTTTTGTTTTTATTTAAAAAATATAAACCATTTATTGTTTTCTTTTTTTTTTACCATAGGTTTTAAATGATTCAAGGCACACATGGTCAATAGTTACTAAAATAATAACAAAGTAGCAGTAGCATTATTAATAAACTAATCCAAATAACAAATATTGAAAATAATACTTGTTATTATAAACAATAATTACTTCTGTACGTGATGAATAGTAATAAACTGTTAAAATATTAAGTACCTGACGGAAATATTTACATTTATAAAATATAAATTTCATTATTATTTATTAACTTGAATTGTGAAGTAATTCGATTGATTTAATCTAGCTTCATTGATTATATAGTTTACTTTAAATTCTTAATATTTTCGCATAATATACGCGACTCAAGCATTAAACATATTTTAGATAATGAAACTTAAAAAATGTAATTAATACTTATTTTAAAACGATAAATCGTAAGCCGGATCTTTTATTATTTCGTATAAACTTTGATAATTTCTTCCATGGCATCTATAGAACCGAGAACAAGAGCTGAAGCTCCAACAAGTGCCAAGGCAATGTTTTTAAATATTACCCAATTACATGGCCCAAAACCTATATCCCAATAAATAATTATTTCTAAGATTATTGGAGCTAAAATTCCTAAGATTGAAAAACAAAATGCTCCAATAAGACCAACAAACGGTGCTATTTTTGGAACAAGAATTGCCAGAATAACTAGAATATAAAAAAAACAAAAGTTAAATTAACCAATTAAATGAATTTAAAATATTTTAATAGATGAAAATACTTACCACATAGTACAACCAAGACCGTTCGAAGAATATATTCAGCTAGTCTTGGACTTTTTTGGAATTTTTCTTTCATTCCCATCCAAGCAATATCAAGACATACATAAAACTGTAATCCAAATGTGCAATAAACAGCAAGACCAATAAAAATTTTAACTATTTGAGCTGGAATTTCGGTAATGGGCAAATCCATTGTAATTATATCTTCTTTTGAATTAGGATATCCCAAGTATCCCAAGAATCCAAGTAAAATATAAATTAATGTAACTCCTGACATTCCTTTATTAAGAACACCACATATGCCAACAAAGTGTTGAGGAGTTTTCATATTGTTCTCTAAAGGCATAATAACTCCGATAGCTTCCATAGCAAATATTGTAACACTGAAGAATTTAGGCAATCGATTTAATTCTACAACCGCAGGAACTGAAGATAATGATGGTGAATCTCGTACAAGATAATAAAAAGTAATTCCAAGGCCAACAGCCATAAAAGCATTTGCAACCATTGAAATAGGTGCAAGATACTTAAGATCTGGTACCCAAACTAATAGGATGAGCGGTAGAAGGAGACAAGCAATTATTACTCGTACATCAGTCTCTGATGTATTACTTAATGCATCTGCAGTGGCATTCATGGTATTTATAGTTTCGTTCAACGTTGAATTTCCCATCGTCGCGATTGTCATATTTGAGTATAAATATTTGTCAATAACTTGACGAAAATTCGTTGCTATAATGACGGTGTAGGCACTGCACGTACCAAAGTATGTCAAAAATAAACTTATTTGAATGAAGTATCTGTGATAAAGTAAAAAAAATTGTTATCAATTATCAGATTATTTTTTTTCATGTATTCTGTGTTAAATTAAATTACCTCGAAAATTTAGAAACACCCCTACACCATTTTGGTCCAGTAGAAAAAGCACTTTCTGCAATATCAGCGAATCCCATTTTTGTGGTCGCTGTTTTATGATACAATACATGTGCACATTTAACCTGTTAAATATAGAATTAATTTAATATTTCATCAATTTGTCTTCAAAATGAAGATAAATTTTGATTTGTTTCATTCATTAAAACTGTTTAAAAGATTAAATTATCTACCTACCAAGACATATGAGCAATGAGTGCAAATTAACGACACTAGAATAGTGCCGAAAACACCTAAAACAAGACCGGCATTTCGGAAAGCATATGGCATAGATAAAATTCCTGTACCCAGCGATGCTTTCAATAAATGGGTTAAAGTATCACAATCGCTATAAATTAAAAAAAATTTAATTATTATTACTAACGTATAAAATGTGTACGCGATAAAATGTTTGCGGTAATTAAGTAATTTTTGATGATCAACATCAAATACTCACGAAGTTGGATTTTCATGTTTTCGTTCAGTAAAGGGATCAAAACTTTTATGATCCGTCAGTGTAGCTGCAGCCTCCGGATCTTTTGAAATAACTTGCACTTTGTACCTGTAATATTTCATAACATTAGATGAATTATTTTTTACAAAATTCTAGATAGTAAATAATTGATAACTTGAAACATTGTATATAATGATAAAGGAGATTTTTTTCCATTTCTCGTAAATATTGATGATTAATTGTCATTACATATCATTATTGGGTACTATTTTTACCCGTAATTGATATAAGTAAAAATATAGTCAAGACAGTTGTTATTGCAAGGAAAAAAAAACTAACTGGAATGATAATTATTTTAATTGATCATATTCAGAAAAATATGGAAGTATTTGTCAATAAATTGAAAAAGTATTCTTTCAAATCAATGCAAAGTAAAAACAATTTTTTTTTTTTTTCTAATCCTCATAGTACATAAATTAATAAGCTTTTTGTTGTTGCGATTAATAATCTAGAGTGATATTTAGTTCAGATTGATGAATTAATTTGTCGTGAGTTTAACTATCTGACTTTTATTATCAGTATAATTTTGAATGATTTTAATTAATATTGTAGTTATTATGCAAGCGATATAGAAGTATTGACGGACAATTTAATTGCACAATACAATCTAATATCCTTGTTCTACATATTTAACTGCTAGACATGAAACAAATTACTTGATTAATTTCTGATTTTTCAGTCCACATGGTTATATTTTTTGATGTTAAAAATGAAATAAAATTAAATAATCAAACTTGATGAATTAATTATCTAAACACTGTAATTGACATAATTCAGGAAATGAGAATTAACTTTAGTTCTCAACCGTTTAAACTTGAGGTCAGTTCAATACGTAGAAGATGATTAGATTGAATAATTTTACTCACTTTGATGTTAATACTTCATCTTTTGAATTTTCTACTGGTAAAAATGTATGCATTTCTGTTGGAGCTTTGTTATTACCATCAACCTGGAACGTAGCCATCAAATAAATGTATAAATTGTAATATTTATATTTCACATTTCAATGCAAACATTATTAACACGTGGTAATATTTGACTAAAAATACATACCATATTGACTTTGACGTTTATTACAGCCAGTAGTAAGTTTCTTTTCTGATCTGTAAAAATAGAAAAAAATTTATTGCATAAAATTACTAAATTCAATTTGTAATAAAGATAATTAAAAATTATTAGTTGTGTTTAAATTAAATGATGTTAATTCTTAAATCATTAATTTTTTTATAATTTGGCGAAATTGATAAAGAACTTGAAAAAAACAATAAAATTTAATTAATCATCTGATTTATAAAATCCATCGAAAATCTTTTAATCAGTGGTAGATAATTATTGTAATAATTTAAGTGTAATCAGTAGCATCTTCGCTTATCAGTACCAATCACGTATTTATTGATGTTTGATAAACACGACGGTAACGATATATAACAAAATGACACAAGTCTGTCATATTTATCAACTGAATTTTTGCAAGGTTGCAAAAACCGACTTTTCAACGGCCGAGTGATCGTGCCAATAATCTACATTCTATCGAAATTTATTTGTTTTATCAATTCTCTCGGAATAATAATATGATTTCCCAACTGTTTTTTCTTTTTAAACAAATTATAAATATTTTCTACAGTAATCATTTGTATTTACTTTGGTGATAAACGTTATTATTTATTAAACAAATTTTTTTAATATCGTATTAAGAAAGAAAAATACTAATGACGTAAAAAACAATTCAGTATAATGTATGAATTTTTAAAAATAACTCGATTACTTTGCTTTATGTTAATCCATTTTAACAATAGCAGTAGGTTTATTTATCAAGAAAATTCATTGTTGCTAACAAATATGAATCTTTTTTTTTATTTAGTGACCGAAATTCTATTAGGCGTTTAGTTCAAGCTTAAAATTAGCCTATATTAACTATAGTTATAGTAATAGATTAGATAAAATTTTTTTTGTAATTATGAATTGATTCTGATATTTTTTTATCAATAGATAAAACTAATTTAACATACTTTCATTGTTAAAAAACTGAAAGACTATATTTTTACTATATGTGAATGTAATATTAGTTTTATCTAAAGAGACGTATAATGTTCTTACATCAACATTCATTTCCATATTTTTATATGGAAAAAATGATAATTATTGCATCTCATTAAATATATTATCGTATATACACGGTCGATAATTGTTCAATGAGACTTCAATAGCCTAACGATATGATAATATTATTTTCAAAAAAATATATAGGAAATAATCTAGACTGATTTTTAAAATCTACAATATAAATATACTAAACTATTTTCATACAATCGATAGTGGCTTTCACTTAAAATAATTACTCATACAGATTTTACTATTACAGTCTTAAGCATATGCTCCAACGAACCGATTTTATGAGCAGCTTTTTTTATTTATTTATCCTGCAGCAAAATTAATAATGAATAAAAGTTGTAACAATGGACAATAAAAACCATTAAATACAATTGTCAAAGTAAAAAGGCACTTGCCACCTACTAAAGTAAAATAAAGATATTACAGTCAATCTAATGATAAATATAGACACAAAGATTTAATTTAAGAGTACGTTCTACATTTTCAAATTAAATTTACTCACCGACAAAGTACTTTTATTAGTTTTTTTCTTTTATCATTATATTTTACTTAATAATTTTATTCATTTCATTTATCTTGCTATTGTACTATCGATAATAGAGTTTATGATTAAATAAATACTTGCAGATCTATTTATTTATTTTTTTATGACTGATTCGTGTCACTAAAACTCGAGTTACGAATTATAACGTTACTTTGTCAATAGATTACCAAGCATACAGCTTGAGATATACAACCCGTGATAAATAAACACTCAAATTTACGCCGAAAAACTAATTTAAAAAATTACATACAATTATGTATTATCAGACAGGTCACATTGTAACTATTTCCGTATTTAACATTCTATTTAAGACAAATTTTTTAATTATTATGAACGATAACCATTTCGACTATAAAGTTATAAATTTTTTTATCGGATTTATTCCGTTATGATTAAGGCTTCCAACATATTTTTATGATATTGATTAACAAAAATTTCGTTAGATAATTGACATTTTTGATATTCATTACATTATCTATTAATAAGTAAATAATTGATTAGAATAAATTTTACACCCATGTTAAAAATAAGTTATTTTAAATAACTCAATTCTTTAGACATGTTTAAAAATATAACGTATTACTTTTCATATTCAAAAATGGATAAAGGTTGAAAAAAAGAAAAAATGTGTCGAGAAAAGAATATTCAACTCTTGGATGTTATCATATAGTGAACCAAACTGAACCGGTTGCTAAACTTCAAGTATTGATTTCAGGTTGAATGAAATATTTCGTAAAGTAAACATTGTGTAGTTTAATTTAAATATCCGTAATTCGAAAATATTTAATAAACACTAAAATAGAATGACGAATTACGGTAAACAAAAATTTTGCCCAGAAATGTCAGTTGCTGATTACATCATACAAACTAACGGAGCTTTTATTCGGTTTATTTCCTCGTGCCTCCCTCCGCCACTTATTTTCTATTTGAACCGCGTCTCTATTCCTATACATGTCGCGTCCAATGCACTCTACTTGTCGCCATTCCGCCTTCTTTCTTTCCTCTCCACGTGGGTTTTAGCTGCTTTATAGGCATGTGCAAGGCTGATGAAACACGTGAAGCCTCTTACATACCTAAATGACGCCGATACTTTTTATTATTTTTATTAAAAAATTTTTTTCATCTATTAAGAAAAAAAAAATTGTTTTAGGAATTAATATGCTTTATAAAATTTTAAGATATATATTTGTATCATAGAATTAATGTGATTAAAAATCAATTTAGACAATAAAAAAAACCTGTGTAAAAATGATAAAAGAATTTAGTGATGCGCAAAAAATGGAAAGTAAATTTAACTCACCTAGGTTCCTTGAAAATTTTTTTGCTTTACTTGGCTGTTGTATAAATTATTAAAATTATTAAATCATCACTTAAAAAAGTTTGCTAAAACTTTTTTATTAAATTAAATTAAATAGAAAATATTATCGATGTAATTAAAAATAAATATTATTGAAAAATTAAATTAGATATAATTAAGAAAATTCTGCCAAATAATTGAGACTTTATTCTCATAGATGTTGATGGCAGAAATGAACTATTGAAACTGATTCAAAGCGGTAACGTGGATGTTACCCAGTTCCTCTACTTTACTGCTGCTATTATTTTATTCAAGATTAATCCACTAGAGGCGCTGTGTTATCAATTTGAATAACTTTCCGGCATTTATAACGTTTACACTTTATTAATTGTTTTCACAGAAAAGTATCTTCATTTAATCATTAAAATAGATAAGATGTCATAAGATCATTATTATCAATTCATAAAATGATTGTGACATTTGACACGTGAGAAAATTCTTTATGTATCGATAAATACTTGTATACGAATTTGTGAAGATTAATTAAGTGAGATATTCAATGTTTGTTGTAATTATCTTCCTGCTTAATAAAAAATTATTTAAGTGATAGAAGGCAGTTATTTTAGGTTTATTTTTGAAAAAATAATTAAATCTTATAATTTAAGTAAAGTAAAAATAGTCTGAGATTGATATTAGTCTAATAAAAATTACAATGTGTATTTTTAAAGTAATAATAGTAGTATAATAGAAATTATCTCAACTGTATAAGTCATGCCGAAACGTTAAATTATATATTCTGAAGGGTCTAAATAAGTCAAAGAATTTTTCTTAACGATCTTACTAATAGGTCAATTAGAAGTAATGTGTGTCTCACGATAATTTGTGGCTCTTATTATCATTTTTTTAATAATCGATATAATGTAATAATTATTTTTATTGTTTACAATGAAAATTGATAAACAATAATACATTTTTTTCTATTACTATCAACTGTAGCTAATATCATTTTAATATAAAAAATATCTTATTATCAGTTATTGTTTATATGTTGATTTGCGTAATAACAATATTATGAAGATTAATCGATTTTAGTGACTATATGTACTTTTAATAATGTTGAAGTATGTACATATTTTTATTTACGCAAAATAAAATGTTAAATACTTGATATCGAAATAAAATGAACAAATAGAAGTTCAGTAATTTATTACAATTTTTTTCAATAATAAATTATTTTTATTATTTTATTACCATTTATTTCACATATATTTACTGTAAGGATAATAAAATAATAAGATAATCAACTAAAAGGACAAAAATTTTTATACAGCAAAATTCTTCACTTATCGACAATATTGAATATATCTTTATTATGCTTAATCATGGAATTTTTGTCGTAACTGATATTTAATAATATGCACACATTACATATAATATGTATATACATATATAAAAGAAAGTTTTTTGTTTTATTTAAAAATTAAAAATCATGTGAATTTAGTTCAATAGAGGTTAATTCATTATTTGCTGATTTGGTTAGGTTATCAATTACCGAATATTAATTTTTATTCGTCAAAATTTTTCAAGTTTCAAATGGAATATTATCAAAAAGTGTATTATTATTAAATTAAAAATGGAAATTCCTAACACATCGTCACAACAGTCTATTAATTTTATCTCAAACAATGAACAATATTTATTTTTATTAGAATTTTTCATTCATTATCTATCTGGGGATAGATTGAAAAAAATTAATCAAACATGTTTGGTACCAACAAGTGTCTCATTGCAATTTTTAAATCTAGAAGAAAATGATGCCATCAAAATAACACCAGTGGATTTAATGTTTACTCCTCGTGTGAAAGATTCTACAAGTGATGTCGAAAATTTTTATGCTGGCCAATCTGTGTTATTTGCAATGCCTTACCAATTAGTGATAGATAAAAATCTTGAATTTAATATTAAATTGAAAGCATTTAAAGAAATGGCAAAAACAGATTCAGAGATATTGATTGGAAATGGTGAATTAAATTTTACAACACAATTTAGTAATTTGAGAAATGAAATAAGTCGTTGCTGGCAGAAAGGTTCATCTGTATCTAAGGATTATGAAGGACCTATAAACTTTTATTATCAAGAAGAGCTAGCAGCAACTAGTTTTATTTTTGTAAGAGTTTCCGCATTTGGACAGTCAATTATCACAGAAATGGAAACTTTTGATATCGATGATGATAAGAAATCTTTTATCTTTAAAGATGACGAAAGTCTTGATAAACCATTTATTTACAAATTAAGGATAATTAGTGAAAGTCTACTAAGTGTTAATAATAAGTTGAACAAATTTAATATAAAGAATAAAATGAAATCTGGCGCCATGTATTATTGTTCTCCCTGCAGATACCCTGGCGCCAATATAATTGATCTAATGAATGATACTTGTCAAGTATTTAAAGATGATCTAGTGTTGAAAAATATTAGCAAACATAATCAACCAATTCAATCTAGTCGAGGAAAATTTAATCAACTTTGTGGCAAACCTGTGGTACTTAAAGTTTCCGGAGACTTAGACGAAGCAGGAAATATAAATAAACCAAAAGATGTTATTTCATCTGTTGATACAGAGCATGATATTTTTGTTCTTCGAGTTGGTAAAAAAGGTATAGTGGGTGATGGAGAAAAATGTGATTTTCAAATTGAAATGAAAACTCCTAAAGGACCTGATCGTAGACCTCCAATTAAATATGAAACGAGAGAAATGCAAACAGAAGTTGATGAGCCAGATGAGAAATTAAAAGCTAAAGGTGGTAAAAAGAAACAAAAAGGCAAAGCAAAGAAGAAGAAGAAGAAAAAGAAAAAATAATATTGATTAATGACGTAATTACATTTATGTTATTTTTAGTAATCAGTTAAAATTTTTCCTTTTCATTATATTTATTTTTTCACTTTATCTTATATTATAATTTTATTTTATCATTCAAAATTTATCTAATATACAATTGCATAAACAAAAGAATGTTAACTAATTGAATTTTGAAAATTAATTAACCATGAATTGTGATAACTAATTAAATTTTAGTGAATTCTATTTTAATACTAAAATTTTAAATGATAAAAAAAATTGATAGTATAGTGTAGCAAACATAGTGATAAAAATAATAAAGTAATTAACTGAATGATTATTTTTAGTGTCAAAAGATGTCAAATAACCAGCATCTATTTCTAATAGAATTTGTGGTTGACCAAATTAATGTTCCATCTGTACGCGCTATAAATGAAAATATTTTACCTTCTGCAACCTACGTATCTTTTCAAGTATCTAATCTTCACTATTCATGTATTATAATTAAGATATAACCAGTACAAAAATACATACGTTTATGAATAAGATTAAATAACCAAATTATCAATTTATCATTGTAGATTTTGAATCTGCCACTGATTAATATTTATCAAGATGATAATTCAAGTAAATGTATCTGTTCTAAAAATGAAACACAAATTTTCCGTAAAGGCAAATCATGTTTATTTGCACTGCCAGCAAGTGCACTAGAACAACCATTGCATTCATTTCCAATTACAATGTCTGTATTTAAAAAGTTTCCATCAGGTGTTTTACCAGATGTAATTCTTATCGGTAGTCATCGAATAGAAATACAACATCTCATTAATGCAATATTGAAAGAACATATATTCAAGATCGGTAATTGTTGTAAAACTATGAAGGATACATTTAAGTAATTATTTTATATGATGAAAAAAAACGTTGCCAAATTTTATTTGTTTCTTCATTAATTTTAATCAATATTTAAAAATTTTCAGAATAACAACAGGCACAGGACAAGTTGTAGGCAATGTTACTCTTTTTATACGAATTTCTTGCTTTGGAAAAAATATCATTACACAATTCCAAATTCCATACCATGGAGAATCATATACTTTCAAGAGTGCTGATGATAATACCGTATTTACATGTGAGAAGATTGGATCAAGTGTTAAATTACCATCATCATTGCGAGGAAGAGCACCATTAAAAACTTTCAGCACCTGCAACTGCAGTGACTTGAATAAAAGTCATGTTAATCCAATACGTTCTAATAATGAAGATATGGTAATTCCTTGCCCACCACCGTCTACTCCATTAAGATTATTTGAATCCCACACAGTACCATCAAAGTTTCTCAATTGTCCAGCTGCTAATTCATCAAGATTTCCCAATAGATCTGACCCCAAGAAGTGTGGATGTCTTTGAAGAGTGATGAATTCTGAAAATAATAAAATAATGGAATAGTAATAAAAAAATATCGATCAGGAATTCATGATTGAGTTAATGATATAGAATAAAATTGTTTATTGCGCCGACGCTGAACGATAGTCACCCTCCAGAGAGGTTTGATATCGTTGAGTCACCGGACAGAGGGTTGTAGGCCGATATTGTTGCGCTTGCGCGTCTAAATTGTCTAAAAAAAAACAACCCTATCGTTTGGATATTCACTTGGCATAATCAGTAGCGATAGTAGAGTATTAAATTGTTCATTTTTATATTCTATCATGGTGTACATGTGAATACAGTTTTTATGGCCTATTTACGCCTAATAGAAAAAGGAAAAGTAGAAGATGAAGAAGAAATTTAAATTTTACATAAAAATTAAACGAAAAAAAATCGAAAAAAGTATCAAAAGATAAATTATTGCTTTATGAATAGTGATAATAAAGAAAATATTGAAAGAAATTACATAATTATTTGAAGAAAAAAAAGAAAGATAATGAATGGGTCACCACAAAATTCAGAGGTTGTCGCCATCAGGCGTGCCGGTACAGACAATAGTGATGAAGAGGAATGGAGTGCCATTGTTGAATGTGTATTTACTTTTTTGTTACTATTACTACTTTTTAAAAATAAATTTTTATCTATATTTTATACGCCTTAAAAAGTGTGATAAAAATTGAGTTGCACTGATAAATTTTTTAACTTATCAAATTATCCCACGGTCAATAGTTTAATCTTTATTGTATCTTTTATAATTCGAAATATTGTAAAGTTTTTATCCATTAATTGCTTTATTCACTGAGATAATTTTCAATTGATATGAAAGTGGAAGTAATTATTTCACAACTGAAATAGATAATGGAAAAGGGAAAATTCATGTAAAGGAAATCGTATATACGTATAGATATATACCATATGTTATAGCGACTGGTTCTAATAATATAACAGTTGCGAATAAATGCTCTTCACATATTTTAAGTGTATATGCTGATCAGTAATATTAGAGTATTTACTTCTATAAACATTACTCTATTAACATCTAATGAAGTTTAATAAATATTTTAATTCATATCCATTTAAAGAATTAAATTGAATAAATATTTCTAAGTGTAATCTTGTTAATTGAATGATAATTTTATTTTTAATTAAGGTATTTATTATATTTAATATTATAGTATATTATTTTTTTAGTCTGTATTAGAAAGATCCCCATCAGATCGTGTAACACGAGCAGATGAAGATCGTCGACGTCGGACTATTATTGTTGAAAAGAAAAACGGAACGTATGGTTTTACGTTACAAGTAAGCAAATGTCTCATATTTAAATATATACATATATTAAATAATTCAGCTATTAAATTATCATTTATTTTCCTTGTGAGTTGTTTGTTCAATATTTACAACATATTGAATTTTTGATAAATGATTTTATATTATAATATAAGAGATTAAAACAAATCTTTTTTTCAGAGTTATGGAATTCATTATAAACGTGAACAAGAAATAGAAATGGTAACATATGTTGATTATGTTGAATATGATGGTCCAGCTTTTAAAGCAGGAATGAGAGAAGGAGATGTTATTTTGTCAATAAATGGTCATGAAATGGATCGAGCTGATCACAAAACGCTCGTGAATTTTATTAAAAATTGTGACTCACGAATGCGGATGGTTGTTTCATTTGAGGATTGTGTAAGAAAGGTAGAATTACATATGCGTTATATTGAACTTCAAAGAGCATTACAATCACGATTGGCTGAATTAGATAGACTGTGTGAAAGAGAACGGTCAATATTAATGGGAAGATGGAAAACTCATTCACTTCCTGCAAGAAAGAAAGCTCCTAATTGTGATGAAATCGATGATTCAACTTCAGTTACATTAAATACATCTACTGTTCAATGTTGTCGTCCAGCTGCTTCTATTGAACATTTACTATTATATAGTGTAGTAAGTGTTAGATAGGAATAAATTAAAATTAAATACATTTAACAATTGAAAAAATTTTAGTTAATTGATTACATCATAAATAAAAATTTTTTTGCAGTATGCAGATGGTCGTCCATGTCTTATTCCACGATCAACAGCATGCTTAGTAACAATAGGACCACCAAGATCACGAAGTGATCATCATTATTTTTTATCCAAAAATTCTATTGATTCTATAAGTCTGGCACGTCACAGTTATCATCAAGCAAATGGCCTACTTTCTACTCCTGCAAAAACAAAATCTAGTCCAAAACCACCACCATCACCACAGCCATTGAACACAGATTTGGAAAATACACATAATACTTCTCATAATAATTTATGTGTAGCTTGTATCTCTAGTGCTAATAGTCAAAGACAGAGAGATCCGGTTGACAGTGGAAATTTAGATGTTTATGATTTAGCAAGTCCTTGCTGTGATCCAAATTGCGTGCCAAGTAGAAGACGACGAGAAAAACAAAGACGGATGAGAAATGAGCAACAACAACAACAGCAGCAGCAAGAAAAACAACAGGCAGAAAAGCAGCAGAGACAACAGCAACAACAACAGCAGCAGCAGCAGCAAAAGCAACAACATCAAAGTCATAATTGTTCAAGAGCATCAGGGCACAGTCTTCATTCAATTACAAGCAGTGATATGTCAACAACAATTGACAGTGTCGCTTCTTGTTCAACTTCGTTAAGTACTGATACTCTTTATTGGGATCCTAATATCCAACATCGACCACCAACTTGCATTCAATATTCAAAGCCTAAATCATGGGATAATTTAACGACCAAAGCTTTTGGTGGTTATGGATTTGGTTATGGCTATCTAGACACATCAACAAAAACTCACAGTGCTGAAAGACCTAATAAAGGATCTCATCGTTCTAAAACTTCATCAGGATTAAATCAACGTAAATCAGTTTCTAGGTCACATTCTAATAGTTCAACTAGTACACAAAAACATTTTCAACCTACTAAATCTACAGAGAGTTTACTTGTTCAGAGTCCTTATCAGAGTGAAATAGAATCAAATCATAGCTGTGAGTGTCTTGATAAATCAGAGACAAGAAGTGTTCATGACAAGCCTAAAAGACATGAAGAATCTGGATATTCTGGACATCATCATCATCATCATCACCATCATGATCAAAATCACCATCATCATCATCACCATCATCATCAAGGAAGACATAGAAAAAATAGTCATTCAGATAGTAAAATTAGAACCAATAAGACTACAGAAGTTACTCGATTGTAATGAGGCCTAGTTATATATTAATGTATCGAAAAACTAGGTATCAATTTTCATTAATTAACCAATTATTTAATAAACAATTTAATATGTATATTATACCTTAATATTAAATTAATTTTTCTAACTATAAAGCCATCCCGATTAATTTTTTTAATACAATATTGTTCAATTTCAATTAGATAATGAAATGTTAAGGTGTTCTTACCATTTTTGTGCCTCTATTTTAATATATTTTTATGCCATAATAATATATAATATTGAATATAAATGTTTAAAAATGTATTCTGTAAACTTTACACTGTAAAATGATTCTTTATTTTTTATAGTTCTGCATTATCGAGTGTGCATAAATTAGATACTTGACTTCTGTATTGGAAACTTAATTCAAATTAATTACACATTGGAAAGTGTGTCGCTAGTTTACTTCGGATGTTGAAGTGAAATCTTGATTGTGGAATCACAAGTGATTGTCAAAATTATTTGACAGTTGATTACTTATTTATTATTTTAATGACAATCATCTAAATTACATTCATTGTATTATTTAATTAATAATAAATTCAAATTTTAGTTTTAATAAACACAATATCGTAAATTGGTTACAAAGACATTTATCGCAGTCCATAGTTAGTGCGTCACAATCATTCAGGTGAGTCATATAAACTATTATCTTTATCATTAATAAATTATTATTATAATAATACGCTCATGTTGAACTTAATTGACAAATAATTTTGATTTATATTTAATGTTTCATTTTTTTCTGTTTTTATTTATCTAAAAGTTATATTTTTTTGTCATTATTCGACCTAAACATCATTGATAACCTTTTATGAATCAATTTTCGAATACTGTATCATGACAGTGTATGACTGCAGTAATTGATTAATATATTTCATTGATTAATTCATTTATAAATGTATATAATTTTTTTCTAGATTTCAAAATGCCATTACTATACAGTGTTGTTGCCCGTGGGCCAATAGTTCTAGCTAAATATGCATCTTGTACTGGCAATGTTGAGGAAGTGACTGAACAAATACTATCAAAAGTACCACCACATAATGATAAATTAACATATTCGCAAGGCCCATACCTTTTTCATTACATATGTGAAGATAGGATTATTTATCTATGTATTACAGATGATGTGAGTATTTTTTTAATTTAAATCTACATGAATGTTAATTAAAAATTATTTGAAGTTAACACGAATAAATAAAATAAAATAAATAAAAACACGAATAAAAAAAAATTATGAATAAATCTATAATTATTGTCCACTAAACAAACAATTACTCTGATTAATAGGAATTCCAAAGATCAAGAGCATTTTTATTTCTCAATGAAATTAAACGTAGGTTTCAAGCAACCTATGGTCAAGGAGCACATACTGCATTACCATATGCCATGAATACTGAATTCTCAAGAGTTCTTGCTAATGAAATGGTAAATATCTGTTATCATAAAAATATTTTGTTTAATGAATTTTAATCTTTAATTGTTGTTTATCAATTACAGAAGCATTACAGTGAATCAAGAGATATTGATACGCTCTCTAAAGTTCATGGAGAACTTGACGAACTTAAGGATATTATGGTTAGAAATATAGATAACGTTGCAATGAGAGGTGAACGTTTAGAACTTCTCGTTAATAAGACTGAAAATTTAACTAATAATGTGAGTATGATTATAAATTTTTTTATTAATTATTAGAACAAAAGAAAAGTTATTTATAACTATTTTACAATACTATTTAATTTCAGTCTGTTACATTCAGAAAAACTAGTAGAAATCTTGCTCGATCTCTTTTCTGGAAAAATATTAAACTTTACGTAATAATGGGAGCTGTCCTGATTGTCGTAGTTTACTTTATTGTCTCAATGTTTTGTGGAGGTTTAGCTTGGCAAAAGTGTGTTGGTAATTGAAGGCAATAAAAAGTAAGAATAATATACTATTCATTTATTTTAACAGAAAAAAAATATTAATTATTACGAGAACAATAATAAAATATTGTATATATAAATTTAATTAACAAATAAACAATGTTTTTATAAAAAAATATAATTTAAATATAATTTAGATCATTAAAGTAATATTAATTAAAATAATATTAAACAGTAATTTTATATTGTAAAGAAAATGATTATAAAATTACAAAAAATTTATCATTTATAAAATTTTTTCATTGTACGTGATATAGAATAAGAAATATTAGTAAGTTGCAAATATTTGATAATTAAGATAAATATATAATATTCTGAGACATCAATGATGTATGAGTAATTTCCAATTATTATTTCCAATTATTATGTGCAGAAAATTTTTATACATCATTTGATTTATCATCAAAAAAATGTATTTCACTCAAAGTTTAATTTATAATAGTGTATATTTATCTCAATGAATTCTATTAAAGTTTAACACTATGCAATGTATTTTAAATAAATTGAATAGATGTTGCAAAAATTACAAATAAAACAGAAGGGTACTGGACAAAATTTCTCGTCCCTGTTATATTGCCATCTCCCATTTCTTACTCCGTTATGGTCCACAAGGATTTTTATAGCGCTGGCGTCGCAGCTCCCGGGTCATTCCAGCTTCGCAGCTCTCGGGATGTCGATGACTTGTGTGGCGCGCCCTTCGGGGTTACAAAATTTTCGTCTTCTACCGTACGATTGATCGCGCGGCTTGTCTAGTGAAAGTCGGGTGTGGAAGATAACATACTAAAGATACTTTTATCATCTGATATCTCTCTCTTATTTCTATTCTTCCTCTTTTTCCCTCATCAATTCAACAAGTTAAACCTGGTAAAGTGGAGAATAACTGATAAATAAATGACGATTGACCAAAAAAAAAAAGAACTCTTTGCCCTTTCTACTATGAGATATCGTGAGTATTAGTCAATTGGGGGATGAATGTGCATACTTCCGCAAGCTTATATTCCCTGTCACGCTCTTCCGAGTGTCACGCAGAGTGGTATTGCACCTACAAGCATCACATTTGTGATAGTAGTGGTAATCGTGTTAGAATACTACACTACTTTTACTACTGTACCATTGAATCAGGAAAATACACAAAGGGTGGTTAGTTTATTGTACACCGCCTTGTATTATATATTATAAATCTGCCGTGTGTGGAGTTTTCTTTTATATTTTATCACAAACGTATGTGTTCTTGGAAGATTAAAGACTGAAACTCATCTATTTTTATTGTCAGTTTTTAAGTTTATATTGGATTAGAATCTATGTCTTATTTATCAACATTTCGGTGAGTAAATTTTTGTTACTTCAATTGTTTTTAATTTTTTTTGAATAATTTTTTTAATTGTTTTATTTAACCTTCACAGTGTTATTTACAAATCTCGTGAAAGAAGATGAACGGTTTTTTCAATGATTTCCAACCAAAAATAATAGACTCGTGTCATTTGTTTTATATTATTGAGATGGTAAACAATGACTTTCTACACTGTTTGCATGACTCTAAATAATAAAAGTGCTAAAGTACATTTCTTTTGTGAAACAGTGAAAATACAAGTGGTTTTATGGAGACAGACTGCCTTATTCTAGACTAGCATACTGTACGAGTCGTAGAATATTGTGTAAACGAAGAAAATCTTCAGAGGGTCAGAAATAATCCCCATGAGAATGCAGACAGTCTTACGCTTCTTTATCATAAATTCTAGATATTGTGCAATTTATATCTTAAGCTCTGAGTGTTTGACAATGAAACAAATTCGATGCAAAACCACTTGTGTGGTCTGACTATCGCCTTACCGATTCTACTTGAAAGATTTTTATAAATCAATTTACCAGCAACTTGAAGACATTGATAGCTATTAATCCAGTATTTATTTCTGTTTTGGAAGTAAATGAAAGAAAAAGAAAAAAATTTAATCAACAAATAAAGTGAAAAGGTGAGAATAAGGGAAGAAAGATGTATTTTGTATGAAAAGATAATTAAAAGATTAGAGAAGAAAAGTTTTTGTAAACTTACAGGTTGTACGAATATGCTTTTTTTAAAGTGTTACAATTGCTGTATGTCAGTACGGTAAGGATAAAGTACAGATACGGAAGACAAAGAACTTAATAACTTGAGAGTTGAAAGAGATAAGAAACATGGGCGAAAGTTCACCTGACCTTAGCCTTAGGCTTCGTCGGGGGAGTTCTGACTCTCGAGACTTTTTTTACATGGATTTTGCTCAGGTATTTTTTTTTTCTAATTAATGAATTCTTCATTATTTTTTCAAAGACATTAATTAAATATTCAACTGAATTACTTGGATTTATAATTAATCAAATTCATGAGAATTGTCTAATTGAAATTTAGATGAAAGAAATGAATTGATTTTAAAAGTAAGAGACACTTAAAATGTAATTGATTGATTTTGATATGGGAATATATAATTAGTAATGTATGATAATTTTTTTAATTATTAAGGGTATAGATTCAGATATAGAAGAAGTAACAAGGCCCACGAATCATTTAGATGATAATCACTTAGAAGATAATGGAAATTTAGATGATGGTTTCCTACCTTTGGATGATATTTGCACAACGATACCGGAGGAAGCATCAGAGGAATTACGTCTGGAAGAGGAAGAGGCAGCTGCTCTTGAAGCTCGAAGGGAAATTTCAAATTCTCCAGCAATTTCCGGAGACCTTGGGAAATTGCAAAAACCTAATGAGTATGAGTTGTCTTTTATTATTTTTTAAATTCCTCACTTTTTATCATTCACATTTCAATTATTTTTTCAAATTAAATCGATAAAATTTTTTTTATAAAAATTTAAGTCAGCAATAATTGTGTTTATTTAAGTGCAAGATTAATTCAATGAGTTCTCTGATGATTCGTAAAATTTCATTATTTCCAGTGACATCAAACGGTCTTGTTATGCTGATTTAAATTACTTTTATACTTTGTACAATTGGGTATTTTATTGTTTTATTTTATAATTTTATTACAATTTGTCATTTGCCCTATTGTAAGGAGTTTATAGTAGGTACACGTGAAATATATTTTAATAAATTAAGCTCGGGGATTATACGATTGGATGACGGGTGAGTGCAGGGATTTGTCTAGAATAAAGAGTGAGTGACAAATGAGTTGGTCAGTCTACAATGTGGGGTCTGAGAGTGATCGACTACGTTGTGATTTTTATGTAATTGTGTTACTTTTTTGGGCTTTCGTTTCAATCGTGTAATCAAAAAATTATCATGTTAATCAAAGAAACGTCACTCAGGTCAGAAATGAACCCTTTTTATATTTTTATGATATCATACACTTTAGTTATAAATAATAATTAATCCAAACTTTTATATTTCATTAATTAAATTTTTTACTTATTTATTTTTGCATTATATGATGATTAGTTATTAAAAATATTAATATTATCACTTAAGATTTTAATATAAATGAATTCTTAATTTTAAAAAGATGTGTCATGTGTGATAAAAAATTAACACTTCTGTTATTATATTATTTTTAAATACTTTGACATAAGTATTATAATTTCCAATTGGAATAAGAATGAAATTAAAGAGATCAAGTAGCATTGGAAGTGTTGTGCTAGAAAAAAAAAATTCAAGAACAAGAAAAAAAAAATGAAAAAGGATCAAAAAAGGATATAAAGCTTCTTGGACGTACCCTTATGCACAATGAGTGAATACCACTCAGTCGTTAAATCAACCCCTCAACTTTTTCCCTTGCTCTCTCTTTCTTTCTTTATATATCTTTGTCAATTGCTCCCTTCACAATAGGGCTCTGTCGTTTTCAGAAAACTACGTGATTATTTCAAAAAATTCATGTCTGAGATGCACTACAGTTATCTTTTGTCTCTATATAATTTTTTCTTACACGTTTTATACCGAAGTTTGTTAATTATGTTATAGAGGCATTTAAAAATATTTAGAAAATTATTTAAATAATTAAATATGATTTGTAAGAATTATATTGTAATATCCTTTCTTTTATGTTTCTTTTACTCAAAGTAGTTGGCCAGGACTTCCTGCATCTTTGCCATCACCAACATCACCCTCAGCTGTGATAGTATCACCGGAAACACTTTCAAGAAATAGTAGCAGCTCACCATCTCGAATTCATAGACCAGTTGGTCAATTTGCTTTGGCTTTACCTTGTCCAGCTCGACCAATTCCAGCCGTCTGCTATCCGGCCCCGACCTTCATCGAGGTCACTGATGATATCAACAGTAAACATCTTGGGGCGTATGTCTAATAATTCAATTATTTATAATAATTATTCTATTATTTGAAATTGATCTAATTGGTTAATATTATTTGGTATATATATATAAAACTAAAATTCGATTTAAAATGAAAAATTCAATAGTATAATCCTCGTGATTCCACTAGTCAAACTCCTGCGGACAATCCTCGTGGCTTGAGTACAATTACCGGTACTTTAGAAAATCATACCAGGTCAGCACGACATTGCATGCAATTGAGCTAATATTTTTTCATTTAAATATAGTATTGAATTTCACATGAAGTCATTTATAAAATAGTTTTTTCCTGGAATTAAAGTAAAATAATAATATTGATAGTAGAAGAACTTTTTCACAGAAATTTCAGTGAAATGTATATTTTTAGATTCATGTGAATAAAATGTAAAAAATATTCAAATAATGGAAATATTTTTTTTATTATTCGAGTTATCAGTAAAATTATGTTTAATAATTAGATTGATTATTAATAAAATTATTTTCTTCAGATATGCTCTGGCAACGACTCTTAGTGCACTTTACGGAAAACTACTTGTGGTGATGGGCATAGCATTTCCAATGGCTGAAGTGATTTCTTCATATATTCCACCTTCTTTTTACGAGGGATATTACTTATATCTTTATTTTGGAAGCATGTTTTTTCTCTTTTGTATGTATATATTGATGGTAATAGAGGGAAAACCTAAAAAAAGTAATTTTTTCTATTAATTTTTAATTCAACATCTTTTTAAGAAATATATTTCATAAATTATTAATTTTTTTTTAGAAATTAATGAATCCAAAGAAATAAGTGATATAGACTCTAGTGGATCTTCTAGTGGAGCTGGGAGTGATTCACCTGATAACGAATGCTCTAAAGCAGGATTCATTGCTGCTCAACATTACGGAAGTTTTTACTTAAGAATGGGTGCTGTAGCTTTCGGCATTGGTTCAATGATCTATTCAGGCCTTGAATTTGGTCAATATTTTGAACTGGAGCGAAACACAAAATGTCACAATATAATGTTGGCTCTAACACCAGCAACAAGAATGGCTTTTATTTTCATTCAAATGTACTTTATCTTTTTAAATGATCAAGTAAGTGGTAAGCTAAACGATAATAATACTACGTTTTATCGACACATTCTTAAATTAAGACTTCAAAGAAATACTATCGATCAATAATGACCGATGATTAATGAAGCATTAGAGTGAATGATTTTAACACATAGGTCTTTACTTTGTGCTTAAAACTCAATACATTGGAAAGTCGTTTTTTCATTTTTTTTTATCTTTTTCTTTCTAGCAAATTAAAGTCTCTTCACACCGAGTTCTCGCACGCTTTGGACTTATGCACATGATTGGTACTAATCTCTCTGTATGGTTAAGTGTACTCGTACAGGAAACAAAACATGAAATATTAACATTTTATAATCCTGAAAATAACTCATTAAGAATTTCTCATCGACTTGGTAAATATTAATAATGATTAATTATTATAATTAAAATAATAAATTAATACTTTATTATTAAATTTCACAATGAATTCAATTTTTAAGTAATTAAGTGAAACAATTTTTTTACATTTTAGGAGGGAAAGGAATTCACCTTGGAGGGCACACTCACAGTCATCATGGAGAGCACGTAAGAGTATCAAGAGGACTTAAAGGTCCTCATCATATGTTTGAATGCAGAAGAACCAACATCATGGGGTCATTAGTCCAAGATGCCAGTCCTTTCCTTTTTCCATGTACTATTGAATACAGCCTTATTTGTGCTGCCATTCTTTATGTCATGTGGAAGAATATAGCTAAAACAAGATCTCATTCACTTATGACTTCAACTGGAGCTCGTCATCATGCTCACGCCTACAGGTATGTCATTTATTTATTGACAAAAATTTCACATGCTTTATTATTTAAATATATATAAATATAGTATTAGTAATGTTTATTATATATATTCCTTTTTTTTTTACAGAAGATCGCCACATCATTACAGCGTAGACTGCGCAAGAGCCCATAAGGGTCTTTTCGTTGGAATTTTAATCTTAGTGCTTACTATTATTTCTCTAATTCTTTTTTTTGTTTTAACATCTCGTCCTGAGCTTGTAAGCTTCGCTGTAACGGAAGTAAATATTTGTGAGCTCATGCTCTACGGTATGTCCACAATGGCCACTCTGTTCGGAATGTTTCAAATGAAAAAATTACGCTACGATGGAACTAGGAATCTAGAACTCGACAATATTTTATTAGTAGCTGCCCAAACAGGAATGTTTATTTATTCAACATTTACAATTATTGGTGGACATTTTACGTTAGAAAAGCACACGATTTTAGTGCTCGTTACAGCTTTAGCATCAGTTGTACAAACAACTTGTCAGACTATTTTTATTCTTGATGCTTCACGACGATCAGTTTCAACTCCAGAACAAATTAGAAGAAAACCAGGACGTGAAATTGTAACATTTTTATTAGTAACTAATTTAGCAATGTGGGCAATTAATACCTTAGAAAAAACACGAGCTGAATCACATCCAGTTCAGTTACATTTTTACGGATTATGGGCTTGGACAATTATTACACATGTATCAATGCCTTTAGCAATATTTTATAGGTTTCATAGTACTGTTTGTTTATGTGAAGTATGGAAAAAAGCGTACAAAGTAAAACCAACCTACATGTGACGTCGAAAATTAAAAGGAATGAGGGTGAAAAAATGTTCAAATAACTGTAATCATCATCGACATTTTCCAAGACTTGATGCTATTAATGAAAATGACCCGACTTATTTTATGTGATTCGTCTTGCGATAAGAGTCGCCGCATATTTAATTACCAAAGTTATGACTCTCTCTCTCAGGAAGCAATAATTATTATTATTCTAATATTAATTATTAATCAATTTTGCAATTAAAATAATATATTTTGGTTATTTTTCAGTATTATATAACTCAAATGATAAAATGACTATAAAGAATTTAAAATAAATTAAAAATTTTCTAATTTTTTATTTATTTATTAATATAACATAAAGAGATATATTCATTTCTACAAATGAACATTTTTAGAAAATACTTGAAATATATTATTTATTTGCAAAAAAAAACTCACGTAATAGAATTTTAAATATACCAAAAATATGAAAATTTACGCTAATAAGTCTATTTAATGTAAAGGATTTCCGTTAAAAGCGGATAATGCATAACATATACGAATCATGTCGTCCGTTAACGCCATCCTATGCAGTTAAGTCCAATTGATCATGTAAATGTATACATCTATACACATATACATATATAAATATGTAGTAGCAAAAAGATATTTCACCCTTTTTTCTATCTCTTTCTTTCCATGTCAAGCTTGACACTCATTAAATGTTAAATCATGTCAAATAATTTCTGGTCGTTTGAAAAGTGGCTTCGACCGGTTAACATATGTATTATTCGTGAAGCTTCAAATTAACTTCATCATTTACTTCCCTACTAAATAGTAGACGCTATCCTGTGTTATAAATTTATTGAGACACAGGGACTGGATACATAGATTAGTGTCTAGACGATTCATATCACATCAAGACCAATATAGGGATCAATATTTCGATCGAGACTGAATCACCTGATGCTCAAATTTATTTGCGTGAATGGAAGAATGATTGGAGTCAGTATCAATAATAATTCGTAACAAAAAAAAAGTATTACTCTTGGGACAAACGTATCAGTGAATGAACACCAAAAAAAAAAAAAAAATGAATATTTTGTAAAGAGTATTTGTGTATGCTCTATTTTACATTTTGATGCGATTTTATGTTTATTGATGGTTATTTTTTAATTATTATTATTTAAAGTAAGACACAATGAGAGAAAGAACTATTTTTTAAAAAAAAAAAAAAAAAAAAAAAAATTTAAAGAAAAAATTGATCGAATAACAATATTTTATTGAAAATTTTTTGATGTTCAATTTAAGGAGATTCTAAAATAGTGAATGAGAAAACAAAAAAAATGTACTGAAAAATAGTTTAAAAGTACTTTTTAACGAAATTTTTGTATTTAACACTTTTGTATTGATATTTAAAAAAAATCTTTCGTAAGGAAAAGATATTTTTTTAAGAAAAACAAAAACTGGATTAAATAATAAGAAAACAGCAAGACCTAAAAGTAAATAGAATTTACATTAGATTACATTAGAAAATTTTGAAATAGCAATAACATTGACTTATATGTGGGTATTTAAATATAAGTATTAAATTACAATGTGGAGATAACATTAATTGTTAGTTCATTCACTGGCGAAATTATATAAATAATCGTAAATATTATTAATTTTTAAAAATAAAAAAGTAATCGAACTTTAAAACAATTTGATAACTTTAGTCTGATAAAATTATAGTCTATATATTATTAAAGATAAAAAAATAAAAGCTTAAACAACCTGTTTAGAATGAATAAGATGTGTGAAATCTAGATATTTAATTCAATTATTAAAGTATCGAAATCAGATAATGAGTGATATATCAATGCCAATATAAAGATGTAAAATATTTCATTTAGCTTAAAAATAATTTGTAAATTCTATTATTGGTGTTTTTAGAAAATTAGTCATAAAAGTTCTTCCTGGATTGATTATTATAAAAACATTTATTAATTAATCAAATGAACTAATTAATTGATATATAACAAATATAAAAAGCTATTATTATAGATTGATAGATTTATATATATATATATATATGTATACATAAATTTATCATTGTGTTATATATTTATAATATTTATTACATTTTGCAACGGATACGTACAGAACTTTAATATTGATATCAGGACTTAGTCGAGATCTGTCAAGATTTTTTATAAATAAATATAGTTTATAGATAATATATGAAATTATCCGTTTTTATTGTATCAAAGTCTTTTAAATTTGTTATTGCTTATTGTATTATAATTATAAATTATAAAGTATTCGAAAAATATTCCATAGAACTCCAAATTAGATCTCGACCGCAGTCTTGTAAAATATTTATTGCGTCTTTCTCTTTTTTTTTAACAAATATTAAATTTAAAATAAATATTTATAAAAATGCTGTATTATCTTCATGTCTACACTAATCTATTTCCTATGCGATATTTTTACTCTTATACCCTTTATACTATTTGTACCTCATGAAATTTAATACAATCGTCCACAATAACTTGGTACATTATTATTCCTTGTAAATTAATATTTTAGACACCTCTTTCTAGTAATTAAAAAAAAAAAAAAGAAAACTAATAAGAGTTATTAGATGATAAAAAAGCTTCTAATTTATTGAGTAATTACTATCCTATTTATTAAAGTAATGAACAAGAGATGAGAGATAATATTAAAAATAGTTTCAAAGGAAGTGAACAAATGTAATGATGATGTAAGTTTCCTATGAGAATAAACCTAAATGAAATGACAAGAGTACAAATGATTTTTAGAAGAAAAATAAGGAACCTTGGTGAAAATGAAGGGATGAAGGGAAAAGTTAACCGTTAGGTATTGATCGTGTTCATCCATTGCATGGGGGTGATGCTCAACCCCCATGAACAGCCGCCATTATGCCATGAATTGGATCGGTAAGTATGTAGATAGGGGAAGGAAGCAAGGGAGTGTCGAGATAGAAATGGTAGCGAACCCCCGTGACACAGGGTTGGACTTTTGACCGAGCTATTCTCAGCTCAGGCAACATGAGAGAGCGCATGCCCTGACAATCTTGTTTACATCGCTTCTTCACTGAAGCCACGCACGCCGAACAAGTCGTGAGCTTCTCCTGTTCATTTCTTTGTCCTCATTTTCACTATTTCAGACAAAGAGCCTACAAGTTAAAGAGGAAGTGGATTTGGTGTGTAAGGAGCACGCGCATCACTTCCGCTTCATCTTGGTGGTTGGAGAGTGTTGACTAGGGTTAAGTCAACTTCATCAAAAACACGAGGTTAAAGAAGCAGGACGAAGTGTCGATGGCGGACACGAAACCAACAATTGTTCGCTGTCATATTGGGTCGATTAACAAGGTCTAGCGACTGGGTAAGTTTAATTATTTTATTGATCAATTAGCTAAACTAAATGCATTCCTATTTGATGCTTCCAAATGTTGCCCTCTATTCATCCTTATAAATTTAAAAGATATGAAAACAAAAATTTCTTTTCTTTTTTTTTTCCTCTTTTATTCTAAGGACAATAAATGTTGGAATATCCTGAATAGGGTTATGTGTGTACCAGGGAAACGCGTTGCCAATTTTAAAAGACTCCTAGCTTGGCTCGTGGTAACCCTCGACAATTCTCTACTGACGCGTGCAACCCCACGCGTCTACGCCTTCTGAACCATCCCCTCGAGAATCGAATAAAGGGCGAATGTATCTGTGCGAATTTATACCACGCGGAGCCAATCGATTTTTACAATTTTCATTGTTTCTCATTTGTCTTTGAATTTTTCTTTGTTTAGATTTTTCCATAAATCATCAATCTCTATCTCTAGATGCTTCAATTATTTATATTCTATAATCAATCGATTTATTGCTTTTTTTTTTTTTAATAATTCTTCTTTTATTTTTATTTTCAAAAGCACTGATATTCAATTAGTCGATGAATTGTAAAAGGTAGTAGGAGAAACAAGAGGTTAGCTTTCAGTATATATTAATGTCTGTCTAGAATATATTTTTTTTCCTTTTTTTAAATAAAATATCATCTATAGATGACTTGTATACTTGAATGCATACAAAATGCCTCTCAATATCTTTGTGAAGCACAATAGAAAATTTTTTTTTTTTTTTGGTTAGAATTACAAAGGAATTCTGACGACATCATAAGTGAAAACTTTGGGCAACGTTCCTGGAGCCCGTGGCATTGAATCCATCAGACGTGAATTGAAGGGATGACTATGAGGGTGGTTTTGACCAGAGGGGATAAAAGCGACGCGAGTTACAGTTGAGAGAGGGGATATAGCGTCCTGGTACTTTTGAGGGGTTGTAGTTTCACGTTAGGACGCTTCTGTGCTGGCTGATTTTCATCAATTTTTATCATATTTACCATTCTTTCTCACTAGTAAACATTAATTATTAATTGTTTTTCACACTTAATTCATCACAATTGTTATCATCTCAATGAATCTGTTCACGTTTATATCAAAGTGATAATTATTTCTTAATTTAATAGGAAAATGTAATTGATACTGTGGTTGATGACAATCTCGAGGTTACATCTAGTCAATTACGTGTATGAACAATTAAAAAAAAATTCCACCTTATTATAGAGAGACATTTTTGCAGGATACAAAAATATAAATAGAGTCACGCGAGATAACTAAAATGCTGTTTTTATTTCGAACAGAGAGAAGCGCGCGGTTTGTGTCTGTATAATTTACGTTTATTTATTGCAGTTGATTAGTTAGTTAAACAGTGATTGAATGAATTATTTGAACTAAAAAAAAACTTTATTATTAATAAAATGGAGGTGAGTTTATTTTTATCTGAAATAATTTATTGAAATATAAGTTATTTAGTGCGAAGCTATTTTTATAAATATACAATTGAAGAGATGAGTAAATAAATGCATTATGTAATATAATTGAAATATTAAGAAATTCGCAATAAAAGTATTTTTAGTTGCACCAACTGTTGGGTAATAAATATAATAATTATTATTTGGGTATCCTCAATTATCAAAATTTCAATTAATTTTAATTACCATAACTCATAAAAATGCGACATAAAACATTTTCATCCACTCATGTTTTCAATTATGTAAAAAGATAAATACATGGATAAAATTTGTAGTAATTTTTACTAACCAATTTACAGTAAAATTTACTAGCCAAAAAAATGAAAAAAATTACTAGATTTTTTTTTTTATAAAAATAACTAAAAAACTTTTACCAACCAGAATAATACTGTTTAGTAAATTTTTTAGCTATTTTTACTAAAATAAAAAACCTAGTAATTTTTTTATTTTTTTTTTACAGTAAATTTTACTGTAAATTAACTCGTAACAATAACTATAAAATTGTATCCATGTAATAACATTATTACGTTCTGATAGTGTAGTAATATTAAGATAAAATAATTAGCTTACTAATGAAAAAAAAATCTTGGATATTTGAATGTTAAAAAATCCTTGAGATTTGAAAAGAAATGAAAATAACTTGGCAAGTCACAGGTGGTCGTCACGCAGTCTGGACTGAAGCTTTGTTGGCTGAAGCATTTTCGAGGTCTCCGACCGAACTATCGATTTATATTTTACTTGATATAACAAGCCTGTCGAGCTTTTTAGTACTATATACATACACTATGAGAGGTGCAGAGAAGAGGGAAGCGTCGGTGAGCTTCCGGTTTCGCTTGTTTTGACGATGTGGCGCTACCCTCGCTGGTTTGTGATTTCGCATAAGGGAAAGAACCCTCATAGTATGCCGTTAAACGTCTCTATAGTAAACGTGTTGCTTTTAGCCGGCTCGCAAAGTAATAGTAATGCTAGAGGAATGACCTAACCCAACCTCGAACTGGTGTTACATTCTAAAAGCGTTGAAAATACTTTGTAGTATTTTTATTTTATCAAACAAAAGTCAAGAATTCATCAAGATTATTTTTTATTTGAATATTATTGAAATATTTGTTGAGATGTATTTTTTAATTGTGACAGGTGTTTTATTGAAATACCATCATTTATTATTAAATAATTGATTGTTTTATTATATTAAATATTACAAATTAAAAATAAATAGTCAAATAATAATTACTAGTAGATTTTGAGCATCTTATCAAGTAGCAAATACTTCACATCGATCACATGGCCCAGTTTTCTCGATGAATAATCAGTTTGATGGAGCTTTTAGAGTAGTAAATGATTTAAATGAATGGGTTTATTGAAAAAATGAGAAAATGTCTATTAATAAAAAAAACCTTTTTATATATTTGTGTCATATTTAGATTTCTAGACTGATATTTAACTTTAGAAATGCTGAGATATTAATACGTGTTGAGGTTGATCATACAGATGAGCTAAATTTACACAATTAGTCAACAAAAGCTGTGGTAAAGACTGATGCGTAAAATTAAATATTTAGTTCATACTAGAATATTAATCAAATTATGTCATTACAACTTGTACTATTAATCAGTATTTAAATAATATCATTTAAAGTAAATGTTTGTCATAAAATATAATTTACTGATACAATTGTTCATATTGAAAGAAAAAATATCAATGATTTGTTGGAAATATTTATTCAATTGTCTTTAATAAATTTTCTTTAAGTTAATTTGATAATAAAAATTGCAGATAATCGGGGACTTGATCCTAAGGCGATGCAACGGTGTCCTTACCTCCACGAGATGAAGGAGCGATTGCTCTCGCAACCAACGCCAACGGATAGTTTGGACATGGAACGCTTGGACGGTGGCACTCCAGTGAAGGAAGCTAATCTTCATACAGAATATCCAGCACAAACAAATCCAGGAATTATTCCTGATCCTCCTGAAATGCCTTCAGATACCTTGATTGGCACCGTCGTCAAGGTAAATGATCCTGAGGTAAAGTAGATTGCACCTTTTTTTTGCTGCACAAAATCATCAAATAAAGAAAGGAATATTAAATAGTTTCTTGAACATTTCTATTCTATTTAATCATTATACTGATTTTGAATTATCTTATTACATATATACATGCATAGATATAACTATATATTCAACTTTTCAGCTCAATTCAGATGGTTATGGATCTCATACGTCTCCAGCACATGCTAGACAACCTCTTGTACCTCAGGGTTCGAATGCTCCTCTATGTCTTACTCCAACACGATCGGGGTGTGGTAATGGAACTTTACCTAAAAATGCTAAGTAAGTTTAACTTGTCTTTATCTATAAATTAACAAAGTTCATTATAGTTTCACAAATTAATTAAATCATCATCTATAATAAGATGATTTTGATCAACTTCTAAGTTGGATCAGGTAGCAATGGTTTCCATCAAAAGCACCAAGTTTTTGCAATGAATTTAATTCACACAAAGCATAAAGCTCTGTGGAGCTTTCAATTAATCAGAATACTAATTAAGTACTCTTTGATAATGAAATAGCAATAATCATAACGAGAAATGAAAATTTATTGATTCAGCAGTGATTTTTATTATCCCATTGTTAGGGACAAAAATAGGAATTTTAATATGAATGTTTGTTTTATTGACTGACAATTGTGAATACGCCCATGAGATTTTGTAAACGATAAATGAGAAAAAGGTGGGTGAACGTTTATAGGATTTAGTCCACGAGAAAAGTCAGTGACCTCTGATGTGTTATCGAGCGGGTCAGTGGGTCGAATGTACTCCCAGTTGATCCTGATATTCAGCATCCAGCTACATCTCCAACTTATTTTGATCAATCTACTTCATATCTTTAAGAAGATAAGAAGATATTTCTAAAAAACATCATCCAAGTTTTCATTGATGAAGATAAATTCCATAAAATCGATGAATCTTTCTTTACAAGTATGATAAAAAAAAAAAATACCGGGAACAGTGAAGGCTATCTCGCGCTTGCTCAACTTCATACTGTATATGTATACAAATGTGGGATGAAAGGGGATGAAATGATGGTGCGCTGGCGCAAGAAGCTGCTGCCCGGGAAGAGGCTACCCAGGCGAACCCTCAGTCTCCGGAATGCTGAGGGCGGTGGATCGTGATTCCACCTCTTTCAGTTTATCCTAATAAAAACCACGGTTCCTCGATCAAATTATCGATTGTCAATCAATTAGAAATTCGATTGGAATAACGTTACTCTTTAGTGATTAATCCAGTGGAAATTATCTTTCAATCCCTGTTCTTTGTTTGTAATAAGTTTCAACTTACCTTCATTTATTGGATCAATTTTTTTTTCTCATTCAATCATTCATTATTATTAATTGAAACATAGTCTAATTGATTGATAAGAGTGTTTTAAAATTCAAGTGAAATTTCTGCTAATTAAAATATTGGGTAGAGAATCTGTGGCGCGAAATGGCCTCTCAGAATATCTAACAACACTTCCCTTGGTTTCATATACAAAGGAACAAAAAGCTTTCATTATTTTCTTTTATCTTCTGGTAACAGTCAGTCATTAACTATTACTAACAATTATTTTTTACATTTCTTTTGTTAATTGTTCTGTTGACCTAGATTTTATTTGTTTGTTCAACGCAACAGTTTAACAGAGAGACTAAAATTGGGCTGGGTCTACATTGAATTCGTTCACCAAAATGGCGTTCAATTGCGCTGACGTCCATTAGAAGACATCTTTTATTGTCATTTCATTATTCAATTCTTAACAAATTTTTCGTTTTGTTAATTATCCATTATATAAAGTGTCAGTGGTAGTATTGATAATATGGTTGGCGGAGGTGATTGTAAAGTTGCAACAGTAGAAGTGGAAGCTGCAGCTGTGAATGATAATATGTCTACTTTACCATCGACTCGACCCTTAAATCCTCAGAGTGGCAGTGTTGTTGGTCCACCGCCCAACGCCCAGGACAACGCTGAGAAGAACAACGCTGCTAACAAAGAAATGGAGCTAAAAAACGTCCGTTCGACTCCCGCGAAACAGTAAGCCTTTATCTACAAAGTGAATGCGTGACAATGCGTGAGAGAATGTTGATAGAAAAAAAAAATTTGAGACAAGGGTTGTTCACCTTTATGTATCAGACATGAAAGAAAAATCTCTCTAAAAGATTAGCTTACGCGACACTGATATGTTCATGAAATTTTCAAACAACCAAAGTTGGTGTAGCAAAAGATGATCAGTTTTTCAATATATTCTAAAATATTATTATTTGTTTAATTTATTAAAAGATTTTTTTTTTTAGTATCTTATGATTTGTCAATTCAAGAATTAGATATTAAAGTTCATTTGAGCGCAAAAGAAACGAAATATCATCAGTAATGAATTTTTTTTGTTCATTAATCTAGTTGTAAGATTATAACCAAAAGAGGAAAGAAAGAAAAACGAGTTCTCAAATTTCACTCCCAAGACGTAATAGAGACTTGAATGCATCTTGATTCGACAGTCAGTTGTGCCGTGGTTCTCTTAAGATTTATATCAACCAATCTATATGATTTTTATTTAGATATTTAATTGATAGAATTTTGTATCAAAGAGAAAGCAAAAAAATTCAATGAAAAATAGTGATAGTGTTGTCATTGATAGAATAATGTATTTAATAATTTTACGGTTGATTTAAAATTGATTAAACGTCACTTAAAATTAAGTTAATAAAATAATCGAAAAGATAATAATCACACAAACAGCAAAACGACGTAAAAGAAGTCGATCAAAGTAGAGGGGAGTCGAGTAGGATTGGAGCGAGAGTTGAAAGTAGGTACTTGGTGGTATCGACCAGCAGCTTGGACCGTTCGGAGTCTGTGCCATGCACTACTGTTTCCACTTACGGTCCTTGTCACTCTTCATACGACGAAGAAGTTGCTGACTACGATCTAGCTCGATTCCTCTCATTTATCTTTTACCTGAAGGAACTCAGACGGCAGCAATTAGTGCGACCCGTTAACCCTAAGGTTTCATTCACTCTTAAGAGTGTTCTCAATTTGTTGGGATTCTGAGTTATTCGTGCAAGAGCTGACTTAGACCATTACATCGATTAAAATTTAATTTTTTTATTAATTTTTAAATAGTATTCATTAGATTAAGAGTCTAAGGTACAAAAAAAAAACTCGAAAAAATGAAATTAATATTATTTTAATTTATTCAAAAATTTTGAAAAGGGAAAATAATGAATAAGGAAATTTTCAATCTTACTGATCAAGAGTTTGGAATAAATAAACTTTTAAAATACGCTCTAATTAATTATTGTGCAAAGTAATCTTTAATATGGATAGAAATAAGGGAATAACAGGTCACTGAGCATCACTGAACTTTATTTAAACTCATGAATAGCATTAAAATTTATTGGATTTCAATGAAAAACAAGTCAATGATCACCTGCACGATTATTGATATTATCAAAGATATTGTGGTAAAGATCAAATTGATGAGTAATTAAAAAATCTAGAATAAACAACAATATATTATTTTTTATTTACATGTCTAACTAGTATCTTTTGAAAATAATTAACCAAGTAAAAATATATATCAATAAAGATCAATGATATCCATTGATTTAAATGGAAGAGTTCATTAGATTGATGATGTTTTTTTTTTAATTCAAGTATTATTGATTCAACACCTACTATTAAATATAAGAGAAAAGGATTCGAAGGCCGGCTACCACCTTTGCAGGAAATATCATGACATAATTATAAAGATACATGCATTCTATAGTTATAAAAGCTACTTTGATTTATGAAGCGTATTGAAGTGATGGATAAAATAATCCACTAGTATGTTGTAGGAAAGTTTTGATTCTCAGTCCAAGTGTAAGTCGGTTAAAGAGCAGACGTATAGCTTGTGAAGCTGTTATGTTATAAGAATTTGACTCACTCGTTTTATTACTCACAATGGTACCGAAATAGAATTTTGCACAAACAAGATAAGGTTTCAGTTGTGATTTTTCAAATGTGCTAAGAGTTTTAAGAGTGTCAAGATTAAAATTATTATCTATATGAGCTATTAAAATTATCATCTTATTAAAACGTTTCATAATCATTTGTACAATATAGATATTTTTGAATTGAAAAACAAAAAAATAATTCTTATAACATAAACTGATGGTTGTTTACATATTGAAATAGTTGTGATTTTTTAATTAATAAAATAATGGAGACTGAAATAGTTCCGTTCATGGAAAATGAGGGTAATAATGTCAAGACCCTTCCTATAAGGAATAGTAGGGTCAAAGTAGTGGAAAGAAAGCGGTAAGATACTCCTCTTGACAATCACTAATTCAATTGATCTCCATGTCATTCAATTTTCATGAATTTACATTATTTTTTTATCATAATACTTATTTTAATTTTTAGGAAGATTATTTAGATAAAATGTTATAATTGTAAATAATATAATTATTAATTGAATTTGAAAATAACTAATTAGAATAATGTTTTAATTATTTTTCAGGACTTCACTGTTCATCATCATGAGCTTTATTTATGCAAAGTTACTGGTGGTAGTTTGTGTAGCCTATGTTATAAGTGAAGTAGTAACTCACAAGCTGCCCTTGTACTACTTTGAAGGCTTCTTTGCTTATATGTATGGAATGAGTATCCTCTTCCTGCTATACGTCTTCTGTTTCCTTCTTCAAGAGAGTGCCTGTTGCTCGAGAGGTGCTGATACGCCTCCACCACCTCCTAAACCACCTAAGCCACCAAAGGAACCTAAAGATAAAAACAAGAAGAAAGACAAGAAAGATAAGAAAGATGCTAAAAATGGAAAGAATAAAAAAGATTTTCAGGTAAATTCATGTAAAATGAATATTCATTTATTTAACATTTAGAGAATTTTGAATTAGAGTAGTTTTTGACGTCATTAACTAATCTTTATGGGAAATATGTGTTGAGTTGAAAATAAATTTCAAGGAAACCAGTAAAGCTTTTATTTATTTTTTCTTTCTATTATTAGAAATAATAAATTGAATTGGCAACAATTTTATTTTTAGATAATTTTAATAAGTAAAAACATGTTTTATTAATAAATAAATATATAATTTTTTTTCATATATTTCATAAAAATAATTAATTTAAACAATGTATTAGTTTTAGCTTTTATGATTAATATATCAATCAATATCTTTGAGTATATTTAATTATTCTTTGTTTATTTATTAGGATTCAACAGATGTTGAAGCTGGTGTTTCCACTCGAGTATTACGAAAGCGTAAGACTTCACAAAATGACCACAGTCACGGAAGTTTCTTTCTGAGGATTGGAGCAATTGGTAAATTTTATTATTATTTTACTCTTATTATTTCTAGTTATTTATTTTTATCTCTAGTTACTCATAGAATACAGTAATAATTTTTTTCTAACTAAAAAAATTACTGTTATTAAAAATAAAATAATTATTACAGCATTTGGTCTGGGTACCATGGTTTATAATGGATTAGAGTTTGGAGCTTTCTTCGAAATCCCACCTACTTCACCTTGCTTCCAAATTCTTCATGGTGTAAATCCAATACTTCAAATGGTTTTCACTTTTATGCAAATGTATTTCATTTTCATGAATTCTCGGGTAATGATTTTTTAAAACTTCCATTTACATTACTATACATTTTAACTTGAAAATCGTATAAAAGTAGTTTCTAATGGAGAATAATGTTATTGCAGTTGAATATCCATCGATTTAAAGTAATTGCTCGTTTTGGATTAATGCACGTTGTTGCAACGAATTTATGTGTGTGGGTTAAAACTTTAGTTTTTGAAAGTTTAAAGGAAATTACCCAAATTACTCAACGTGATAATAGAGAAGACATTGGATTAATGGGTAAGCTTTTGATCTGAATTTTCTATTAATTTATTTTAATGAAGATAATTATTTATATACTTTTCAATAATCTATTTTATTTCAATAAATTTTTCTAAAATTACAGAAAGTATCAAACGACATACAATAAATAACGCTGACATAATTCTTGGAAATGTACCTCGAGATATAGCACAACTTCGATTAGCTCCTACACCATTAACGAGTAAGACTACTTCAAGGTTGCTATCAGATACAGTAGCAACAACTCGTCGACTATTTCGCACAACTCCACCTTCAATAAATCGAGTAGCAAGATCCACTGCACGATCAGTGGCACGAGCTATAACACATGGAACAACAACTTCAACAGCAGCTACAACAACGACAAGTACAACAATAACACCATCAACAACATTATCATCAACAACTACAACAATGATTCCAACAACACCAAGCACCACATCAACAACAAGTACAACCACTTCTCGGCCGACATTGTCTACTATTATTGATGCATTAACAAGCACTGTGAAACCTGATAATGCAACTACTCGAATGACAACAAGTACAACAACTACAACAACAACTCTAACACCATCCACTTCATCATCACCATTAACAACTTTCGGATCAGTAATGTGGGATTTTGGTGAATCTCCTCAACCAATTGGTCATGGATTTCCTCAAATATTTGATGTTGTTAATCAAACAAATGGAAGTAGTATCTGGAGTCCAACATTTGCATTTTATCAAGGAGCTCCATTGAATGAGAATTCTTGTGGAAGAGTTAATATCATGGGAACAATAGTTCAGGATGCTGCACCATATCTCTTTCCATTTATTATCGAGTATAGTTTAATCGGTGCAGCAGTAATTTATGTAATGTGGAAACACATTGGTCGTCATCCTCGTTGGCCACATCAAGCTGAGGCAGATTTAGAACGCAGACTTGAAGCTATGCTATCACGTCGAGCTGTTGCTTTAGCACATGCAGGACATGGAAGAGTTGATTGCGTGGGTGCTAGCAAGGGTCTTTTCCTAGGACTATTTCTCTTAGTTGGATCATTAATTTGTTTGATTCTCTTCTTCGTACTAATTCATCATCCATCATTTGGACTGTTAGCTATTTATTTAGCAGACGTATCTCATTGTATTTTAATGGCATTTTCAATAATTGCTATCATCATAGGATTTATTCGTGTTCAAAGTCTTAAATTCAAAGCTGAAGAACAGAGTGATCTTAATGATATTCTATTACGTGTATCTGGCTTTGGACTCTTTCTCTATGCAGTATTCAGTGTAATTGCTGGATCATTGGCCGCATTTACTCATGAACCAAATCTCTTAGTGATGGTTACTGGACTTTTAGCTATTGTCCAAGTAGTTCTTCAAATGTTATTCATTGCTGACGTTTCTCGTCGACGAGTTCATTTACCAGAACACGATCGAAGCAAGCCTGGACGTCAAGTTGTGACTTTCCTTCTTATTTGCAATGTAACTATGTGGGTTATTTATACCTTTGAGACCCAAAAAGTAGTTGCCAATCCTGTTCAACTTGATTTCTATGGTTATCTAGCATGGACAATTGTTCAAAGGGTTACGATGCCTTTGTGCATCTTTCATAGATTCCATAGTGCGGTTACGCTTGCTGAAATTTGGAAGACCAGTTATAAAGCACGATTGGAGTAACTTTATTATTTTCTTCATTAAAAAATAATATTAAATACTTTAAGAGACTCTTGAAATTTATCTACACCAAGTAGAGTCTTATACTAGCTCATATTTAATTTCGCTACAACTTTATATCATACATTTTTCTACTTTTATACCTTTCATCCTATTGTGCATCGAGTACACTATGCAAATAAATTACTAAAAACTAATTAACGAAATGGCGTACCATTATAGCCTATGTAGTTTTTATTCGTAATAGATAAAAAAAGTGCAAGAAAACTCGATGCAGGAATGGGAAAAATTACTTTTTATTTATTCTGATTCGTAGCATCGAAAATGAAGTGAAATATATAATATGGAATCATGATTTTTTATTTAAATCGCTTTCCCTTATCGGCGCACCTATGTTCGTTGCGTGTTTGTAAAGTACAAAATTGTTTCAAAAACTTTGAGAATGTATATTTTAGAATTGGCGCGTGTTTGCCTGATACTAAAAGAAAAAAAAAAATATTCATAATTATGAAAATAAAAATATCTAAATACTTGCCAATAATATTAATAAAGTATCATCATAAAAAGTTTCATTCAATGAAACGTAATTCACTTATTTTAATCATTTTTGAAATAATTCAAAAATTCATTAACGTTCATTCAAAAATCGGGTTAAAATTATAATAACTTTGATCAAAAATTATATTTATCGTATATATACATATATATTTATTATCATTTTCTTGTATAAAACTTTTTTTTATATCTCTTTATAAGAATATAAATATATACTTATATATGTACACACGTATATATATATATATATAAATCAATTTTAACAAGTCAAAATAAATACTTTAAACAACAATCAGAATTAATAAAAAAAAAAAAATTTTCTTATCCAAAATAGAAATCATTTTGATTTCTAACTAAATTATTGAGTAAATATTTCTTCTTTTTTCTGATTCGACAACACAATAAAATCTCGAAGAAAAACGAAGAAAAAAAAAAGATAAATTAATCGAATTATATTCACGATGAAAATATTTTTTTCTTAAATAAACATAAAGATAATATTAAAAAAAAAAAAAATAACAGTTGAATAAAAATATACACAAAGAAAGCTTGTCATAATACGAATACGAACTATGAAATAATTGAGTAGATATCATTAGAAGATAGTGATTATTGAATGGAAGCTGAGAAAAAGTAGATCATTCATATTTAATAATGAATTAGATGAGAATCAGTGTCACTATCAAAATAAATTTATTCATTGAATCATCGAAAATCATAAATAAATGATTTAGGTAATATAGTCATCGTTCTTCATGTCACATACGAAACTTTTTAAGATTCAGAAAAAAAAAAGTAACCAAATAATGGAGATAAAAAAGAGAATATTATAAACTATAAAAAAAAAATATGTATTTAGCTTCACGTTTAACTCACTGTAACTCTGTTTGCTCTATCGTCAAATTACAATAATATAAATAATGATAAAATATAGGTCATAAACATAAAGTAAATGCGAAAATGATTGATTATAAAATTAATTCAAATATTGTCCCATCCTTAACAAAACATTATTGGTATTTACCATTGTGAATGATATAGATTTAAATATATAATATAAATAGATTTTAAAAAGAAAAACGCAATGATTAAATACCATAATCATGATGAAAATTGATAAATTAATGTTTTTCAAAGGACATTGTAAATATCTTGGTTGAAAAAAACAGAGTATTCGTGAAACGAAAAAGATTTGGGCTTTTTTTGTTTTGAAAAATTGGAAAAATTTTTTTTTTTTCATTTGATAAATATTGAGAGTGAGTATAAACTTTTCACTAATACTCTGTATGAACAAAAAGTATTTTACGAATCGTGCGTTTGTGATAATAGTACCTTGATGGCATAACTAACGCATGATATTAAAGGGGTTGTGTCCGTACATTATTAAATCTATCAATGATTAATGAAAAATATTATTTAATGACTCATCAGCAATTTTATAGTGGAATAACAAAAAAAAAAAAATAATTCTGTTTCAATGCATTATATTTTGTATATTTTATTATGTTATTTAATATAAAAATTAATCAACTAATTAAAATGACTCTATACTGTAAACAAGGCACTGCCACAAGGACCAACTCCCAGTGATTGAATTACTGGCATGTCTCTAACTAAATTTTATCCATAAAAAATTCTAACTAAGTATAAAACAATGAACAAATATTCCATTTTTATTATATAAAAATAAATTAAGCCTAGTTCAATTAGATGAATTAATCATTATCAAAACCCATAACATTCTTTTCTTTTTTTTTTATAATAATATTTAGAATAAATTTACAACTACTAAAAGAATAATAAATTTGGAATTAGAGAAACAAAAAAAAAAAAAACGAAATGTCAAACATATGAATGTATTAAATTTATTTTTTTAATTTAAATTCGATTTAATGTCTTTCTTTATAGTATTGATATTTTTGTTAATAATAATTATTGAATGAATGAAAGAAATTCTTCTTTATTGTATGTAACAGTTGATATCTTAAGATAAAAATATTAGCCATAAGCCTAAGTGATACAACAATTGAGGTATTTAAGAGACAAAAAATAAATGAGTGCAGATGAATAAATTTTTTTATTGGTATTTGTAATGAATAATTTATTTATAAACTATTCAAATATACTAAGTACAACTTTCGAATTTTATATCATTGATATTCTTAAGTTTAAATGTTTTATTTAATTAATTTTTCTATTCACCTTGCACTCATTTTTTTTTTGAATATTTTTTTTTTTTTCACTAAATAAAACAAATAAACGAATAAATGGAAGAAAAAATAAGAAAAATTCCGAGAATGATGAGTCTCTCGTTATTTAACCATTATGTAGAAAAAATTTTGATGTCTTCAAGTGTCATTGAAGTTTGTAAAACACGCGCACAAGTGACAAAAAAAAACCCACATTATATACATACAAATTATTAAAATAATATTAATTATTAATAAATAATTTAACAATAATAATAGTTATTAATATTATTATTATTGTTGGTGTTGTTGTTATTATTATCATCACCATTATAATTATTATCATGATAACCATAAAATACTAATACTAATAATGATGATAATAACAATGACAATTAATCATCATGAAATAGTAAAACAAGATTGACAAAAATAAAAAAATAACATTAAATGTAAAAGAAACATTATTATATTCATGTTGTCGAGTAACCAAGTTATCTCAAATCGAGTAGAAGAATTAATAATAAGCACCTGTCAATTTTATTTATAACCATCACTCCATTTATTAATAACATCCTTTTTAAAAAGGAAAATGGTAAAAAAAAAAATGATAAAAACACAAAAAAACGTTATGACATTTTATTGTATATCTTTCTCTTCCCAATTAAACCCACAATATTGTCGAGATGGTGTTATTTTTAACACTATATCGAATCAATTGGTTAATAAAAGTTATCTAGATGTACTATTGACTCTGTTATTCATACTTTAATTTTTCATTTTTATTTTATTCAATTTTGTTTTATTTTAACTTTTATTTCAATTCAGATTCCTTTTGTAGATATCTTATTATCATCAGAAATATGTTCAGAATGTTCCTACTATTTGATATCACAAGTATTACAAACTGGAAATAGAAAGGTCTACATAATTTCTGGAGTAACTACCAGCTGATACAGAAACCAGTTTCAGTAACTGCATGAGCAATAAATGTTTCATCATCATACCGTTTATATTACCAACCATGATTTATGGGTGATTTGAATCGTTAAGGAACGAGCCCCCAACCAAACTGGATACTTATAAATTATATTTTGGTTATTCTTAATTTTGCTAATTAATATCATTGATTAGACCATGGTTATTAATTTAATATATTAAAGAAAAATAATTACGACTTGAATATTTATAACTTGGACTCTGTAACACAAACATTTCAATATTATAATGCTTTACACGTTTTGAAATAGATCTTAGATAATGTGCTATTTTTTATGAATATATTTATCATTAACAATCAATAAAATGTAGATACAAAAATGTGCTACATATTTCTCTATGTTTTATAATGAGTTTTTAAATGAACTAATTATTTTTTTAATTAATTTTTAAATCTAAAACAAAAGTGAACATAACCTTAAATTGTCTTAATAATAATAATTATTATTATTATTGTTATATTTTGTGAATTTATTTATTACTTAAAAATAGATTTTTAGCCAATAGATTAGCTTTCATTTATGACCACTTACCATTACTTTTCAATGTTCAAAAAAAAAAAGCCGATGACGTAAAGTCCCGCTACAATGAAGCGCATGAGTAAAAGGAACTGAGTAGTTACAGTCGTGAGTTGTTGGCCATTGTGTTTAATCCGCTTTCAGTGATTATGGTAACTCGATAAAGAAGCTTGCCCATGTGTTTAATATTTAAACAATAATATTCTTGAATTATTAACATTGAAAAATAAACACGTGCTAACAATGACTGATGAAAATCAAGCCAAGTTGCAAGAAGAATATAAAGAACAAGCAGAAATTGTTCGAACATTGAAAAATTCTAAAGCTGATGCTACTTTAGTAAGTGTTGACAAAGTTTCTTTTTTAGAACAATTACTATTGTAACAAATCTATGAACACATATGGTGCACGAAAAAATGAATTTTAAGTGAATTCATTATTAAGATTGGTAATAGAAGACTATTAGGCAATTTTGTTTTTTGGAGATATAAAAAAATTAAATTAAAATATAAATCTAAAGTGAAATGATAGAGAATATTTGAATAAGTCTTTTTTTCATGGATTTTTATAGGTTATGATGCAATTAGTGAAACTTTTATACTCTAAATTAAATTTCAAAAAATATTTCAATTAAAATTAGATAATATTTATTTATTTTCTATCAAAATGATATCTAAAAAAATTATAAATGATCTAGGTTACATTTATTAATGTAAATTTCTTTTCGTTTTTACTTCCAGAATTATCCGTGAGGTTATGATACTTCTGAATGATAAAAATAATAATTTTATAATTGTTAATTAAAATGATAGAATAATTTATCTTAATTATTATTCTTTTTAAGTTAAAATACATTAATTTGTTTCTAATAATAGCATAATTCTTTATGAATAAAAGTCTTTTTATTATAGGCCACTGAAAGATGTGTAGATGTAACATCAACTTTTGAAAAACTAAATTCAGAACTTGCAAACGTTAGTTTTATTGGTGGTTGGCTTCCAAGTTCTCAAGATATTCAATTATTTAAAATTTGTAAATCGTTTACTAACAGTAATATTAATAACTGGCCTCATATAAAAAGATGGCTGAATAATCTCCAAAGTTATTCTGAAGATGAATGTAAAAAGTTGGTTGTAAACGAAAAAAAATATAATAATTCTTTGGAGGAAATTGTATTAAATCTTACTTTAAAATCTAAATCTAATTGTAATAAAAATATTGATGAAAAGGTGAGGCAGTATATATTTTTCAACACTGCCACAGGTTTATCATGATATTCTTTCTCTTGAATGACTTTATATATATTACAAAGCATAATTAAAATTAAAATTAAAATAAATTGTGAGAAAAAAAATATTTCAAATAAGTCTGTGGCAGCTAACTATCGTTATTTCTGCTGTTTAAGCAGTTGAAATTTCAACACTGAAGTGGACTTTTCTCTTTGATTTTGGTTTGCTGAATAATGCTGTGGTTAAAATACTTAAATCTCATTAATACCACTCGGAACTGTCTCTACTCCTCCACTGTTGCTGCACAACAGGTAGGAGCAAGAGTAGTTTCCACCATTAATATATTATCATTTATATCGTTCTTGATTAATGTATGATTCTTGATTCATTTCAGATAAATGAAGAGGTAGCAAAGCTATTAAAAATCAAAGCACAATTAAAAAATGGAGATGACTCTGGTAAACTTATACTTAAAACTCCAAAAGGAACAAGAGATTATAATCCAGAACAAATGGCATTACGACTGGGTGTTTTGGAAAAAATAGTCAATATTTTTAAACGTCATGGAGCAGAAACTATTGATACACCTGTTTTCGAACTTAAAGTTAGTAAATAATTTATTTACAAAATTGCTTTAAATTAAACATCTTCTTTATACAAATATTAATTTTTTCTTTTTTTAGGAAGTTCTTACCGGAAAATATGGAGAAGATACTAAACTTATTTATGATCTTAAAGACCAAGGAGGAGAACTTTTGGCTTTAAGATATGATTTAACAGTTCCATTTGCTAGATATTTAGCAATGTCAAAAATAACAAATATTAAAAGATATCATATTGCAAAAGTGTATCGCAGAGACAATCCATCAATGACAAAAGGCCGTTATCGAGAATTTTATCAATGTGATTTTGATATTGCTGGCCAATATGACGCAATGTTACCTGATGCTGAATGCGTTAAAATAGTTGTTGAGGCATTAAGTGCATTAGATTTAGGCCCATTCGTAATTAAACTAAATCACCGATGTCTTTTAGATGGAATTTTTGCTGCCTGTGGTGTTCCTAAAGATAAATTTAGAACCATTTGCTCTTCAGTAGATAAATTGGACAAAAGTCCTTGGGAAGAAGTCAAAAAAGAGATGGTTGAAGAAAAGGAACTTGATGAATCGATTGCTGACAAGATCGGATATTATGTATCTAAACATGGAGATGCTTCATTAATCGATGAATTAAGAAGCGATGAAGTTTTAATGAAACAAAAATCAGCAAAGGAAGGCCTTGATGCGATGGAATTATTATTAAAGTATTGTAATCTCTATCGAGTGTCTGACAAACTTTTATTTGATTTAAGTCTGGCTAGAGGATTAGATTATTACACTGGTGTTATCTACGAAGCTATTTTAAAAGGTAAAATTTTTTTTAATAAACAAAATATTATATAGAAGTTTTAAATTATGAATTTTTAGTCAATTTTGATATTAAATATAAATATTTAGGATTTTAGCAATCATTGTCACGAAATTAAAAATAATTTTTACTTTTTTAGATAGCGAAGTTGGAAGTGTAGCAGGTGGTGGACGTTATGATAATCTTGTAGGGATGTTTGATGCAAAGAAGAAAAATGTGCCTTGTGTAGGAGTGTCTATAGGAGTAGAGAGAATTTTTAGTGTTTTAGAGAACCGTATTGCAGATCAAGGAAAAAAGACGAGAACGACTGAAGTTGAAGTTTACGTTGCAAGTGCACAAAAAAATCTTCATGAAGAAAGAATGCGAATTATTGCAGAATTGTGGGAAGCTGGAATCAAAGCAGAACATTCTTATAAAAAGAATCCTAAGATACTTTTGCAATTGCAACATTGTGAGGTGAATGGAATACCTTTAGCAATTATTATTGGTGAGGGAGAAATTGCAAGAGGTGAAGTAACGCTCAAAGAAGTCAATACAAGAAAAGAACGACCAGTTCAACGACTCAAACTTGTTGAAGAAATTAAGAAATGGTTAGCAGAAAATCAGCTATCTCAATCTTAGAATATTTTTTATAATTTTTTCTCTTTTTTTATTGAAAAATTACATGTGTTTTTGTTTACCAACAATTGTTGGTAATTGATTTCTCATGGCTTTTTTTTATAAAACACCTTAGATCAAATTGAAAGTATAGGAAAGCAATTGCATTAATTTATTTTGTCAGCTTTTACATTAAAAAAAAAGTTGCTAAATAAGTGGATTTATTTGTTTTTATTTTACATAAATTCCTTACATTTTTTTCTTAAAATATCTGTGTCATAATAATGGTGGTAAGAAAAAAAAACTAATAATTTTTAAATATTATTCCATTTTTGTCATGTCTTTATACATTTATTTCACAAATTATGAATGATTTATTTACAATGAATATAAATGAATGAATATTTTATATATTATTATCTTTTTAATTTATTTAAGCTTATTCTTATTCATAAACGTAACATTATCGTTATTGTTTATTGCTTTAATCAACTCGAACCAGCCGAGCTATCCTAACCAGTCAGTTTTTGAACAAATTCTATCACAGTAAGCCTTTTATTATTCTAAACTTGAATTACCCGTTTAAAATATTTTTTAAAAAAATATCTCTTTAAGTAATAATTAAAATATATATATATTTTTTATTTATTCAGGTTTTTTCTTTAAAAAAAAAAAGATGCAAAATAAATTAAGACATAAATTTATATTTCTAAGTCGTAGATTCACGAGAATCTCCGTCAAAATCTATTGGTATTTTGTCTGTTAATTTTTCATCATTTTTCTGCAGATTATTTATTGTTTCTTTGTCAAAAGATTTACTAGTTGATGCTTGTGGAAGTACTTTCGAATATCGTTCAAAGACATTTTCATTTGGTTTATTGATTTCAATTTCACTTACTGATTTATAAGATTCTACTGATACTCCAGGGATATTATTATTTTTATTACTCAATTTTTTTTCTTCCAACTGATCGTCTAATGCCCTCGACATAGATTTCCTATCATCTAATTCAATTTGCGTTGCCATAAGATCTGATCCTTTTGATTTATTTGAATGATTATCAGATTTAACTGTAATGATCGGTTCAATTGATGTCAAATCAACTTGCTGCATTGATCCCTGTAATTCTTGAGTTGTTGTCGGTGCAGCTTTGATATTTTTTACTTTCATTAATCCTTGAGAAACAGTTCGATCTTGTAAATTATTTAATGAATTATCAATAGGGATGATTTGATCATTTGATAATAATTCTGAGGTTTTATGTGTATTTAAATTTGTGTCAGTATTAATATTTTCCATGTTAATAACAAATGGATTAGTGTTGACAGTTTTAGGTGATTCACTTGTTGATAATGGATTACTTATTGCAGAAACAGTTCTTAAGAAAGGTCTAGGTCTTTCAGGATAACTTTTGCCCTCTTTTTTATTTTCTAAGTTTGGTGATAAAATCGTAACAGTCTTTTGAACAGATCCTTTGTTGAAAGGATAATCTTTGGACGTTAAAGTTTCAGTTCGAACAGTTGGATCCAAAGCTAACGGACTTATAGATGTTATTTTATCACTATTTCCAATTCTTTCAGAATTAACATCACTTAAACTAAAAGCTCGAACTCTTTTTTGTAAATTCTTTTGATTTATCTGCCTTTGCAATATTCCCGCTCGCCATCGTGGCATTACTTTAGTTGCCGAAGTACCCATGGTAATTGGTGGAACATCATTATAACCATTTCGAAGAGATGTTCGATGAGAAGTTGATGCTACCGGTGAAGAAATACCGGGTACACCTTCTGAAGGTACTAAAGGATCTCTAGCACATTCGAAAGTAAAAGCGTTAGGACTATAAGCTGGTGGTGGACTGGAACTTTCTTTTCTAGGTGCTGATAAATAAGGAGACGCTTCAGGAGTTGGACCCAAAGGTGTTGTTACTGGACGTAATGAAAATCTTCGATTTCTTGGTTTTGAAGATGCTAAACTATTCCTTCTGTCATAAACAGGCGTAGAATTACTTGAATTTTCAGTTGTTCTCAGTGAAAATCTTCTTGAGGCATTAAGTTCATTTGTAATTGTATTTTGATTGCTTTGAGAAACAGATGCACTTTCAGATTGTGGAGCAAATAATGTAAAAAGACTTGGAAGTTTCGGTGGAGTTAAAGATGCAGTTCCCATCTTTCTTTGAGGCTTCTTCATAAATTCATCAGGTACTGCTCCCACTCGAGAGTGTAAAGCAGTTAGAGCTCTTAAGAAATCTGCTAAACTCGTTTCTTCTAAAAGACTATTACCTTCTAAAGTGGATGATAAGTCTACTCCGCCTGTGTGAGTGAAGTAAGTTGATCTGTCAGTGAGACCAGTAACGTTGGTCAAGTAATCATTATCATTGTTCTCCAAGTCGCCAACGGAAACTGAATTCCGGGTACGATGACCTTCTTTCTTCGTTGACAGATGTTTAATCCACCGTGGAAGTGGTACTGATTTAGGTAAATTAAGAGGGAAAATTGATTTAGATTCTTTATCTTTATTAATATTAACACCATTTCTTCGAGCTTTTATTAATTCTTGAATTTTTCGAGAAGCTGCCGGACCTGACCAAGTCCATTCTTGATTCCTTTGAACACCTGAATCAAAAGTCGGATCTAGTCTAACTTCACTTGCAGCACGAGATCGCGGCTTTCTCGGTATTTTATCTCCACCAATTTGCCAATTTGATTCAGTAAAACCTCGTTCATTTGAAAGAATTTCTTTGTCACTGAAACCTTGAATTCCAGCACGAGAATCGATATCGACTTCATCATCATCAGGTGGAGGTGGAATGTAACCCAATATGTTGACTAATCGTGCTAATAACTCTGCTGGTTGTACCATTGCATGAGTAGCAAAAGTGGCTGTTTTATCAATTCGCTGAAGATCTGTTTCAGAAACTACTCGTGCTACTGAAGTTTCCATCGGTACTACTTCACTATTAGCTCGACGTCTTGGATGAATAGGTGCTGTACTTGGTAAACCACCATAAACTAATTTACGAAGGTCTGGAAAACTGTTGCTACGCATTAGTGATGTTGGAGGAGTCTCATAATCATACTCATCAACATAGACTCGCTATAAAAAAAAATAAAAAACACATATTATTATCATCTCTTACAAAGTTTATGTATCATAACTTTCTCATTATTATAATGACCTGAATAAACTTAATGAGATTGTTCAAAAGCTTATTGGCAAATGTATTAATGAAAACAATGAATTACCGTAAATTAAATAATGAGGTCACTTACCTTGACTTTAGACAACTGGAGCTCATTGAAGACTCTCCTAAGGTAACTGACCTCCTTATTGAACTCACTCAATATTTTGTGCTGAGTCTGTTTTAAATTCATTGCAAGTTTATGTTCAAGACGTACTATTTTCTTGCTACGCATTCCTCGCGTGATGAAGGTCATGATCATTACAATATAGCCAAGACCGAAGGAGATCCAGGCGATGAGGAATGATTTATAGAGAATGAAAAGAAATCCACTGCCTTTTGTATTATCTTGACCTAGACATCATAGTCAAAATTAAATACATTTATTACACACATATTTTGTACTATTAAAAACAAATATATAATAGTATTTAAATGATAAAATAAATATAAAATGATTCTTCTGCTATTTAATAAACTCAATTAGTATGTAATGACATTTTTTCTATGCAATGCAATAACTCATAAATATTATTTCAATATGTGTAGTATTATACATATGTCACGCTCATGCTCATTAACAAAATGATTCATTAAGTAATAATACAATTACATACTATTTTAATGAATTTCCTCATTATAGACTTACCTCACTCTCTTTTTTGTTAGCATGAACAAAAGATAAAATTTTTCAAATGAATAATTATCCAATTATATCAAGTAATCAAATACTTATGGTTTAGTGTAAATGGTTACGATCATTTGAGTAAATATTACATTTATTTAGTTGGAATGAATTATAGTGATCTCTGGTAATTTTAATAAATTAACTCACCAGCGACATAATCACCAAATCCTATTGTAGTTAATGTTACAAATGCATAATAAACAGCCTCTTCATAAGTCCATCCTTCATAGTAAGAAAATAAGAATGCAGGAAAAAAAATAAACATGACGAAACCCGGAACAAGATACATCAATATTTGAGCAGCAAGTCCTGCTTTCCTGGTTTCTAATGGTGTTAATTTCTTCGTACAATCATCTTGTTGTTTATAAGATTTATATTTTTGATGTGCTCGAATAAAAACAATACTAAAAAATTCTCCTAATTGTGCCAGTAGAATACCATTCATTGGAATACCAACAAGACCATAAAAAATCATAAGTATTCGACTTAGCATATTTGTTGGTGCTAAATTTCCGTATCCTAAAAAAAGAATATTTTTATTATTGTCATTCTTGTAGACTATTAAATGAATGTTTAGAATAAATTACATGCAATTTATGATAACAAAGATATATACAAACTTGATAACATTGACTGTGGTTTTTACGTATATTATTATCAATTATAATTCTAAAAAAGTATCAAGCTTGCGTTCTAGTTTTTTTTTCTTTTTAACTTTGTGATTCAAATTGTTCATGAAATTTATTCTAATAAAATCATATATAATATTCATGTTGTTCGATGAATATTGTAATTTATTTTTAAAAATTCTAATAAACTTACCAATAGTACTAACAACAGTATAAGCAAAATAAAAACTATTATAAAAATCCCATTTTAATGAATCAGTTTCATTTTCACTGTAATTATAAACTGATTTTCCACAGTAATCACTGAGCTTCTTGAAAATTTCATACTGATCTTCTTTAGTTTGAGGATAATAGTGTTCTTGAAGAAGTGCTGAAAGTATAAAAGATAAAAATAAAAACAATTAGTTAATAATCAATATTCAAACTATATTTACATGTTAGATGAGATGAATATTCTCAATAAAAAGTTGGATGGAAAATGAAAGAAAAGGAAGACTTTTAAGAGCAATTACCAGTCTTTAGTCTAATGAACATGAAAGCGATCTCATACGTTTATTGCTTTAACAATTGGCTTCAATTATCTTATCAACCGATACTTGTTGGATATATTTTATGTTTTGTTCGTTATACAGTAGTTGGAGAACACGCAATCAACTGTATCATTGAGAGAATAGTGAAATTACAATGTGTAATTGACTACTAGGAGATTTATTCAACTTTTTCACAGCAATCGTTTCTATTACATACATTAAATCGACATTTTTTTTTATTGAATTAAATATCCAAGCTTCTTTTGTGATACAATAAAAAATAATGATAGGACTGGTTTTAGAACCCCTGTATCACTGAATGAAGACATCAGTTGAATATTTGAAAATACTAATTAATTATTATATAAAATATCTAATCCATATTGGTTAACAACTCTCTTAATGACATTTAAATGAACATTTAAATTTTTAAAAATATATTTATTTATTGATAATAAGAGTTTTATCTATTTTTAATAGTCTCCAGTCTATTTGACAAAAGAAAATAAAATGATATCTTCAACAATATCGAATTTGTTGATAAATTCCACTTATAGATTTACCTCCCTTACATGCCTTACAAAGTGTAGAACTATTTAATTGTCAAATTACATCAATTAACTAAATAAGCCTATTCATAGATTTAAACCGTTAAAAATTCAAGGTCCCACTCCATCACTTTAGTGATGTGTTTCGATATCAAATCTACCTGTTATTCTTTATCTTCAAGTTCCTGTCTTCAAGATAGTATATAAAATGTTAATTGAGTAATATCCTTTATTAAATGATTAATAATTTATTAAAAATAAGTCAGTCTATATAATACTATAGTTTAGTCTAAATTCGTTTGAACTTATATCACATGACTTTTGATAATAGTCGAGTAAATACTCGTTTATCAAAAACAAATTCTGGGAATGAACAGAATATCAATACATATTGAAAAAGTTCAATTTTTTTTTTTAAATAAATAAAAAATAATGATTTGTTCATGAAATAATAAATATTCAAATGAGTGTTAGAGGTTAATTTTATGAATGTTCATGTCACATGTCTATAAAACAATCAACTGGAAAAAATTTCCAAATGATTTTTTAAGAATCTCGACAATGGCTCTTGGATTACACGATTTACACGACGACATTGTCAACTCACGATGGACAATGTTAGCCTTCTCCAACCGCAATAATGGACACTCCTATGCATACAAAAATTCAGTCACTATTATTCGCTGTATAACAACGACCTGGCTCTATTACATTTGATCAACTGCTATACAAAATTGTATTGTGGACAAATTACTTTGATAACTGATTACACGCTATCTCATTGTTAGTATGACGGTTTTAATACATGACAATAGGTAATATAAGTTCATGGTATATTTAGCTATTTACTAAAAATATTCAGTAATTATCATTTATTTAGAATGTTATTGATACCAATTACAACATTGTTTGATTTTTTATATTTTCAGTTAATTTAGCTGTAAAGGATATGAAAAATGATGATTTACAATATTACTAGAAATGCAAGCATTTAACTATCAGTACACTTGATGATATTTGCATAAAATGTTGTCAGAATATTTGCAATAGTCTAATAAATAATGAAATAAATAATTGATTATATATCTCACAGCTAAGAATAAAAAATAGTCATTGAGATAATTTTTTTTATTAAGTAAAGATTGATTATTATCGAATTGATGACGTTTTTTTCAACGAATTATTATTAATAAATGGGTTTTCCAAGAATAACAAAAAATAAATAAATTTGAACAATGTAATTCTTTGTAATGAAGTTTAAAAAATGTAATTCAAGGTACCATTGATTTCAATTCGTTCCAGTCGTGCTTGTTGGACCTTCTCAATCTCCAATTGACTTTCGATATGATAAAAAATTGAAGCACCAAGAAGAAGATAAGTCAAAAACAGCATCAACAAAACCATCCATTGCTTCTTTGACATCTTTTTTAACTTGATAGTTGCCTAAAAGGTCTTCCAGGCTATCAACAAGTGCACTAAAGTTATCACTTATACGAGGAGTACCTCGGAAGCTTTTTGAATTGTCACGAAATCATAACGAAGATTGTTATTGGAGTCTGTTGTGTTGTGAAAGCCACTTATTACACCCGCACTATGTTGCATTGAATAACTGGTGTCCACACGTCGAATGTGGATCTTCAGCCAAGCCTACGTTCTCCCTTTTAACTGTTTTTGCCCCTCTCTTCATCAATGGCCTTTATCTTTTACTAGATTCAATCGTATACCCCCACTAATATTCTTACGTTCGTTACCCTTTTTCAAAGGTACTTTTCAAGGCTAAAATTCATTCATATGGTCCATCAAAAACCTTGAAAATTATTCAATTAAATCATTCATTATTATTCATACTATTTTCTATTTATTGGAAATTTTTTATTATTTTATACTATTTGAACTTATTATTCCAAATATGAAACAATTTGCTTTCAATCAGGAAGAATCATTTAAAAATAGTATGAAATGACAACACTTTATTTAATATTATTATTAAAAAATAAGTTAATAAATTATTTATCTATATTGATTATAAATCCAATCTATAAAAAAATCTCGATAATAGATGACAAGAAGTGCAATATGATCATTCATAGATTTTTTTTGCTTTGTTATGATCAACTGATTGAATGATCAAAAAAAAATATAATGAACATTTTTTCAATAAAATTAATTATTAATATTATTGTATTATTAAATATTTTTTATCATTATTTATCGATAAAAAATCGTTTTAATTTAAAACTTAAAAATTTTTTGGGTTTTTTCTTTATTAGTGTAAATAATAGTAATTTCCTGATTTCTTCTATTTACTGTTTCATCAATTGACAAAACTAGTAATACATTTGTCTGTGAAAATGACGTGGCTGAAATATTTAAAGAATAAAATATCACAAAAATAGAAATAATTTACCAATGTTAAGAAGATCAATTGTCTCAATTTCTTTTAAAAACACGACATTCAGACATGGATAGAGGTCCTTGGTGACTGCGTCAATCGTTTTTCTTATGAGTTGATAAGAAGTTTCCCTTAAACAATAGCAGTTGAGTTGTATTTTACAGTTATTGTCCATCACAAACTGGAAAAGAAGAAAAAGAACAAAAAGACAAAAGTATGAAAGGCATTTGTTTGCGTAAGTTAATTGTAAGGACATAGCTTGTTATGTATTTATGATGCTTCACGCCTACGAACGATCGATTTAACTCAGGGGCCCATTGAAGGATCATAAGACCAAATGATTAACAGCTTATAAATAAAGATGTTACACATTATTTACGTATTGTCTATATTTTTCTGCTCTTCCTAAAGGAAAAAATCAACTTATCATGAAAAGTCTATCACATGATCTGTTGTATTGTCGAGGTCATAAGTTGTTGACACCTCCTTGATATTTACCTAGTATCTGTTTTGTGTAGACTGTCTATTTGAAACTATTCAATAAATTGTTCAAGATAAATGCAACTTATGATATATAACATCTACATTTACCACTTCAATTATTCAACATATTTACACATTCAAGTTAAATTATTGATCATTTATCACATTTAAGCAAATATTCAAGTCTGGAATAATTATTTCTCTTCATAATTATATTAATATTCTTATAATTATCAGAGTATAATTTCAATATAATTAACAAACATATGTTTTATTATATTATTGATGATAGAAATCTTTATGAAATGATATCAAAGATCACGTACTTGAAAATTCTCGAACGAGGGCACTCGATCATTTGGATTACGTTGAAAGTCGATTATGTAGTAATCATTTATCTGTTAATTCTATTAATTATAAAATATTTGTTAATACTTTTTCTATTTGTATCACATGTTATACCAAGCAAGTAACATACAAATAAGTGTTTAACCGCAATAGTTAATATTTTCCACTTGGCGACGCCATCAAGGCAACCCTTTAGTCATCATTTGATCAGTAAACGCAAGATAATAGACTGCCTTTACTGAGGAAGTGACAATGGTGATAGTTTAAATGTGCGTGAAAATGACATTTGACCAAAAGCACTTTGTCCTAAATATATTACAAAACACTAGATGCAAAAATATAAATAGTTCGTTCTCATTAGATTAATTTACATTAATTTAGTTAATTGTTTACTAAGTCAATGCGTAAACTTGTGAGAATTGCTGATGAACTCTTTATAAACAGTTATATACATTTATCTCTGACGTAAATTATTGAAAATACATAAGAATTTGTTTATAATAATAAATCAGTAAGAATTTTTTTTTTATTAATAATCATTCAATTTTTTATTTTATCAAGGAATCATTTGTTATTATTGTTAATTACTATTTTAATAATAAAGTAATAATACTTGATAATCAATGCCTTTTCACTCAAATTCTTTATCTACATCTTCCCTTTTTTTTAATACTTACAATCAGTAGCTGATCTTTTTCATCGACAATGGCTTATCTTCTTTATACACCGTTGACTTCTAAGCTAGATAGCAACACTTTGGATTATCCTTTACAGACAGTTATATTTTTTTTAATAACTGTAAAATTACACGTGGAATATCTTTATAAGATTGGTTTTGTATCTTTTATATCCATTTAATCACTTAATAGTTAAATATCGATTAGATTTTCTATTTTTTCTACTACTTAAAATATTTTTTTCTTTTTTCAACAATTTATTTGTTTATTGATTTTTTTCATCGCATAATCTCGGTGTTTCTAATAAAAAATATTACAAAAGATTTAATAAAATGTGCAATAATTGAGATCAATTGGTAGAGATTTGTATCTCATACATGATTACTAATAGTAAAAAATATTAGTTCTTTGTTCTACTATTTTTATGTAAATATACATGTTAAAAAATTAAGTGCTATATTAGTTGAGTGATTTTATAAACAGTGGGAGGTACCGGAACCGGATGTCCAATAATCTGTTAATTAAATACCCATAAATTAAGTGATAAATTATGTAAAACACTTGTAGAATTGATTTATCTATTAATATCAAAGATATTGAAGTGTCATTGAAAAATTGTTAATAATCTGTTTATTTATCTTTGTTAATAATTGGAATTAAAAGATAAATTCAACATTGATGATACAACATAAAATAATCGACTTATTCTCTTGTGATTTAATGGTATCATGCAGTCTCTTATTATTTTTTTATCGACTAATTTAACTTTCTATTAATCTTAATTATCAAAATATTATAGACACAATGAATTTAGAAACAATAAATTCAAACTTAAAAATTTTAAAGATAATTTTGTAGTTAAATTTGAAAATTAATGGACTCTATATTAATATAAATTTCAAAATGTCGAATATTTTAATGATATATTTTGAAGACCTCCCACGAATTACTTGAATGTTAATGATAATAAGAAATCAAAAAACAAATATTATTATCACATAGTTCACACATAGTGTGAGATATTAATATTAGATAATTTTACAATAATTCTTAATAATGGCGATTACTTTTAAAAAGTAGAATTTGAGCTAATTATGTATATATATATTTATATTATGTATCACATAGTAAAATATTGACAAAGTCTTTTTTTAAAATTCTTTATAAACTCTATTAAAAACGAGCTTATAGTAATAAAAAAAACTTTAACCTCATTTTAAAATATTATTTATTTCTTTGTTATCTAGCTCCATCCAAACTCCATATCTTCAATTTTGATATTAAGCCCTTCAAGTGGAATATCAATTTCTGGTTCCTCTAAATTTTCTTCTAAACTCATTTGCTAGAAACAAATAGTACCAATAAATTTAAGTAAATAGAAAACATTCTGGTACTAAATTAGTGTCATATCTTACTGTAATTGATGGAATTATTAGATAAATGAACTCTTTATTGTGAAATAGTATGAAATGTAGGTCAAAATTTTAGATTATTTATCATTCAAATACTAACCTGTAAAGCAGCTATTTGAGATGGATCACCAACCAGAAGAATCTGTGTCTCATTTTCATCAGCAGAATCTTCGGTTGTTTCTGATATTTGCAATTGCCCATTATTGTTGACAGTAAACATCTAAAGAAAAGAAATAAAGATAATTTATTACAGTAATTTTAATCTAATATATATTATATTATTTATATTTCTTAAGAAATAAATTAATAATTTCATTAAAAAAAAACTTACATTTTGTTTTATGATGCATTGCCGTTTGTTTTTAACTTGTGTAGCTTCACTAGTTTTTTGTAGGAAAATTCCATCCATACCATCATCACTTTCAATCAAAGCATGTGCAGTTCTTTTATGCATAACGAGCGTGCTGTTTTGTCTATATCTCTTGAGACATAAATTACATTCAAATGGTTTCTGTTGAGTATGAACCAAATGATGTTTATAAAGACTAGAATATTCCGTAAACCGTTTGTCACAATTTTCCATCATACATACATATGGTTTTTCACCTGAGTGAATTCTCACATGATTTTTATAATTAGTAGCACTCGCAAAAGCCTTCTCACATTCAGAACACTTGTAAGGTCGTTCACCAGTGTGAGTTCTAATGTGAACTTTTCTAATGTTACTAGTAGTAAATGATCTACCACATCCATCAAAAGGACATACAAAAGGACGTTCTCCAGTATGTGTTCTCATATGTTTTAATAAATCTCCAGAAGTTTTAAAGCATTTTGTGCATGATTCTGCCGTACATTTGTAAGGTTTTTCACCAGTATGAGTTCGAAGATGAGCTTTCAAGCTATAACCAGTTGAAAAACTTTTTTTACAATTTGGATGTGTACATTCATAAGGTCGTTGACCTGTATGAGATCGTTCGTGAACCTTTAAATGATGAGGAGTACTATATACTTTGGAACATCCTAATCTAGGACATTGATATTGAGCTTTAGGAGTGTCATTAAGTTTCTTAATAATTATTTTACCATCTTTTGATTTGACTTTACCATCTTGAATTTCCCAAAATTCATTAGTCACATGACGAGTAACCATATAGGTAGTTCCATTAAAAAATTCTACTTCAGAATAAATACCATCATCATTTTTTGACGATCCTGCTTGAGCTTGTACAATTGTTGGAGCTTCTAAATGAAATTCAAGTGTTTTTTCATTTCCTAATTCTGATAAATCTCTTACTACAATAGTTCTCCCATCATTTTCTAAATTAACAGCTGAATCTTTCTCTTCTAAATCATCATTTTCAACATCGTTCGTTACAAAAGCTTGAGTACCATCAGGAAGCGTAATTGCTGTCAATGTAGTACCAAGCAATTGATGATTATCAACAATAATACCTTGAACTTCATCAGTTTCGGTGTCTTCATTTCTCATTACCACTGAAAGACAACTTACATCACTAGTACTTTCCTATAAACATGTGTAGTAGAATATCATTATTATTTGGAGGTTATAAATAAAATTTTTGTGCATTCATTGATAATGCATTTAAATTTTACTTACTTTTAAATCATGAAATAAAGAAAAGTCTTTATGTATCTGAATTAAATTTTCAGTGAGTTCTGTATCCACTACAGACATGTCACTGAAAAGAATGAAAACATTAAAATTCGAGTTTCAATCGGAGTAAACAATATTTAGTTGATATATTTAGATTGTTTTTAGTAACAATTTTTTCATACATCACGTGTAATCATATAAACTGTCTTTTTGTATTTTATTGACTGATTTATATAAATGAATGATCAGAATTTGAAAGTTCAACAATAGATTTACTTTTCAGCAATCAGATCATAATTTACAACAAAAAATCGCCATATTAGTTAAAAGTTAACCACAAAGTTATCTAAATTACATTTGATAGTATATGTTTTGAACTCATTTTGATAATTGTAAACTAATATTCAGTATTTTTTATAGCAAAAAGTTTGAATTTTAGTTTAACATATCAAAAATTTTAATGTTTTGCACAGATCTACAAAGAATCTTGGGAAATATTACCCATAAACTCGCCCGCGCGCTATTCACTCAGAATACGACCGACATAACCAACAATCGTTTGGCTGTGGAGCGACAGTAGCGCCACCATTTCGCTGATTGGCTACAAATACAAACTAATTACTGACTTTTAAATTCTTGTGTGAGTCGACTTTTTGATTTTATTATAATTTTCTTTTAAATTCATACTTTATGGATATTTATTATATACGCAGTAACCTTACAATAATAATATCAATTATTTAAACAAAAATATGAATTAAATCAATACTTTTTCTCTAAGTATTTCAAGTAATTTGCAACATTTATTTTTTATATTTCTTATTATTATAACTTTTTATCATTTATAACTTCAATTGATCTCAACAAAAAGGTCAAAAATTGAGATAAGTGTATTTAACTTTTTGATAAATAATTCCATATGTTGTAATAAATATATAAATCAATAAAATGATGATAGGTTAGTATGTTGACAACAATAAAAAATCATTGATGGTTAAGATCTGAATGATAGAAAAGATTTAATATTATTATAATTGGCATAGATAAATTGATTATATCTAAAAATAGATTAGAATAATAATAATAATACATAGTATTTGTCTTCGAAAATGAAAGTATCCTCTCATCATTATCCTCACGTGATGGTCCTTCTTCTTTCAGTGTTTTATATACCCTGTTACTCAGGTGGGGTATTTCCTAAGAAGGGAGATGTAGACTATTCATAGATTACATTCTCTTGGTACATCCAAACTAGATCAGTTCCTGTCCACATGAGTTTGTGATTTAGTATTCATTTAAACTTATTAATAAATAGACAAATTCACCTGATCACATCAATATTGTCTCACCACTTTTCTTGATCAGTACTTTTATTTAAACAAAAACTGTGTTGACATAAAAATTTATTATAAAATCTATCGAGTGATTTTAAATAATTAACTTATTAATGAAAAATGTTGATGGTAAGTTTCTTAATTGATGTAAATAAACAACATTTGTTGGTACATTCTTTTGCGTAAAATCTTGATTTTTTATTCAATTATTAAAATATGATGAAAACGTCTAAACTAGATTATCTCTGATATTTGCACATTTATTAATATATTTTTATTTATACTGCAAAAAGTCTTTCTATTATTTTCATTAATAATCAAATGATTGTATGATGGTTACCAATATTAATTAAAATTTTTGGAGTTATTTAATTTTTATCATTCATGGTACAATATTTATTGTAAATAATCAACAATCATCAAGAAATCTAATTTTTTACGATAGTTATACCAACACAGATGTTGGAAGCAATTTTTTTTGATCAACTATAAACAGATTTTGTATTTTTTTTATTTTAGATTTCTTTAAAATGTATTTTTTTTTTATAAAGAAATAGTCTATTATATATAACTACAAACTACTAAATGCGCAACCTGGTTTAATTTTTTTATCTCTACCTAGATATTAACATCTCCACCATGATTTTACTTAGATTGTAGACTTTTATAAGATTCAGCTAAATTTCTACTTCATATTTATGAGTATCTATGTAACATTTGAAATTTTTCCTAACATTATTTTTTTGTTACATAAACCATATAATACTTCCTTTGTAAAATGACTTTTATTTTAATTACAATATTTATCAAAATTTCTAGAACGAACTAGAACTTAACCGACAATAGATTGCGATTAAAAAAAAAATATATAAACAGATTGTATAGAAGATACTGATGTGATTTAAGCGTAGATGCTACCACTTGTGGTTGCTGTACATATAAGGGATTAAAGCAATACCTTAGTACTTATGACCATAGATTTATGCATGTATATAACGACATCCGACTTTACTGGATTTGCGATGAGGTTCTATACGGGGTAAAGGGGTATGGTAGTGAATTGCCTCTAGAATCCCGTGACTTGGTTGCTTCACATCAGGCTCCAATAAATTTAATCGCCTTTTGAAAGTGTATACCAGTAACTTGATATCAATTGTAACAAAATGTGAATTTCTATTAAGAGATGATTGATCTATCAATCTTCAATAATCATTCAATGGAATGTGAATTAAAATAAGATACAAAATTATATAGCAGTGATATTTTTTATTTTGTTAATTCTATATGATTCAACAAAGCCTTGATTTAAAAAGTTAAAAATTCTTTCATGAAATAAAGATGATTAGCCAATTTCTTGTATAAATGATCAGAATAGTAGTCAGGTCATTAAAGTGAATAAAACAAAAGGCATGAAGAATAGAAATGAATCTGAAGAGAATATGAATATATTTTTTTTTACTAGTTACATAATAGTCTAGATGGAATGCGTAATAAGCATTCATAATTAATATCTTAGAGAGTTATTCGAGATGTTCTATTGATCAACATAATGAATAATGAATCTCAAAGTAACAATTCTGCTATGATAAAATATATTTGTAAATTTACGTCATTTAATTTCGTTTAATTTAATTATTATTTCGTTATAATTTTCAGTCAAACATTTTAGGACTACTGCTTTCAGGAGTTGTAATTATAGCAGCACCTTTGTCCAGTGTTCATGTCAAAATATTTTCTCCTCCTCATGTCTACGAACACCAATTTACCACTAATGGTTTTGTGTTTATTGATCAGTTAATTTTATAATTATTGTAAAGAAATTTCTTTCATCATCAATAACTCTGAGTATCTTTTTGTAGGTCAAACTACTGTCAGCCAGAATGCTTTTTTAGCTATAGGACGTCAAGTAGCAAAGTTTGGGAATACAATATCACCATTTGGATCATCTCAAGGTGTACAACAGTTTTGGCCAGCTGGAGTTTTTGTTGTACCAGGAAATGATAATAATTATGGATATAAATCTCGAATTATCACGGATAGAACTTTTGATTCTGACAATCGTTTAGGTAATTTTTTATTATCTTATAATTCTTAAAAATAAAATCATGAATGAAATAATCCATATATCATTGGTATTCTAGATAACTCTGATCCATTTTTACTGACTGGACCAGCAGCTATGCTTGCAGTTGCATATCTCTATGGTCGAGGAGGACCATTTTTCCATGAAATACCACATGAAAAATCTTTACTTGAAAAACAAAAAGACCGAGAAATCAATGGACTTCCTGGTAATATACTCGGTAGTATTAGATTTGGACATCCTTTTTGTAGAGATTGTGAATAATAATGTATATTTAGTAGCATCAATTCAATTTATTTGACAGTTAATTATTTAGTCTATCAATAATTATAGTAAATTCATTTTATATTTATAAAACTTTTTCCATTTTTTTCAATCATGGTTTCTAATAAATTATCGATACTTTAACGTTTCATTGACAATAATGTACACACAGGTGACAGATTTTATTGTTCATTAATGACGTATCGCTAACAAGTTTGCAATTAAAATAAGAAAGCTAGAAGCAACCAAAGAATCTGTATGATTGCATAAATCGCCTTTACAAAAACACATGTATACCTTTAAATTATTTATCATTGTGTATGCACATCTTTCTTCATCATCATCTGGTCCTCTTTGAAGACACTTTCTTTCAGTTGCTTCTCCGTATTCTTGAAAAAAAAATCAATGTTTAATTGTTAAACGTTATTGTGAGTGATAAATAAATGATTGAATCAATTTATAAATATTCAAAAGTTTCAATTGTTTACATTGGACTTTACCATTATTTAAATTTGGAGACTCAATTATTTTACTGCACCATCCTGACCCACAAACACGTGCTTCGACTCCATGCTCACTGTCAATTTGAGTTGAATTCATTGTGAAAGGATCTTTACATGACCCCAATTCTCCTCTTGACCTGCAGCTAACGCATCTTCTGAGTACACCTATAAAAATGTTTTGTTATTTAGGAATGTTGTTGAAAGAATGAAAATAATTAATTAATTGTTTTCATTATTAAAGCTGAATAACTGATTTATCAAAATTATATTTTTTTTCATGGTTTCAAATTGTTTCTAATATTTAACAAGTTTAATTGTAAGGCTTATTCAATAGTTTGGTATTTAATAATGAGATCGAACTGTCAGTGAACTAAACAAGGAAGTGAAAGTGTTTGAATTAAACTCACCTGAAGCACCATCAAATAATAAAACAACCAAGATTAAGAGTAAACCAAGAATAAATTTGATATCCATAGTAAAATAATTTTTCTTTATCTTGAAAATGTGTTGTAAATAGATGACAGAGAATGTATCATTCAACTTACAGCCATGTTGAAATACAGACTAAACTTCTTTGAAACTGGACATGCATAAAACCTTTCACTCTGAAGCGCCGTTGGTGTGTCAAATCTGGTTGCTTTATACTGAGTTATTTCATTGTGTACAAAGATAGTTAATTTAACTCCGCTTTTTCATCGTTCCAAGTATTTTGAAATTGAACCATTTTTTTCTTCTCTTTATCTTGTAATATTGATTCATAATTTTTATTTTGATATTTGTGAGGGTTTTTACATATTGCTATCAGCCCAGCACAATAACAGAAGAAACAAAAAAGAAGAATGTATCCTAGATACTTTAGGTGTCTTGAAAATGCTGGAAAAAAATTATATTTTCCGGTGTTAAATATTTCAATCAATAATTATTTATCATAATTATCACATTTATTTATTCTACGAATGATGTGTTATTAATTAATTAATGTATGTTTCTTATGCGAATGGTATTCAGTTAAAATATTTGCCACTAGATGGCCTAGCTCTAAAACAATCTTTCTCGCATGTAGTCATGTGCAAGGTTATAGAAATATATATAAACTGAAGCGATCAAGTTTTCGTACTTGCTTCGGCAGTACATATACTAAAATTGGAACGATACAGAGAAGATTAGCATGGCCCCTGCGCAAGGATGACACGCAAAATCGTGAAGCGTTCCACATTTTTTGGCATTTTATTTTAACTCTGTATACAATCATTCAATATCTTATAGAACATTTAAAAATGATGTTGTTATGCAAAATGAACATACCTGCATTAAATAAACGACTCTTTGAGACTACTCTAATTTTCACTTGCATCATTTTAATGTCATTAACGTAACACGTATAATTTCCTTCTTCTTCGATAGTTACTTCATTAAGATATAATGTAGAAAATGCATCAACTAATATCCGGGATTCTTGAATATCTTTCTTTTTTCTAAATAATGATGTAAATGATGTTTTTAGTATTTTTTCATTCCGTTTCCATATAATTATTGAATTTAAATCAGACTCTGGGCAAGTTATTGCTAAATGAGCTCCTTCAAGTAATATAAATCTCTTTTTATATTTAAATTTGTCCTTTTTTGATGGTTTTTTTTGTTTTTTACAGCTTTTGCATTTTTTTTCAATGAGAAATTCAGGAAGGTGTCTAATAATTTTGCTAATAACAGGAAAATAGTCATTCAAAATATGAGATCGACATGGAAGTAATGGAGAATTGTCGAAAAATTTTACAATTTTATTTGTATCAAATGCCTATGTAAAAAAATAAAGATAATATTGGAATAAAATTGAATTAAAAAAGAATAAATTGTAAATGATAATTTTAAATAAAGTTTATTAATAATTTTAAACTTGTTTTAACTTACATCTTCATTTATAGTAGCTTTCAGTCGACATTGAGCTTTACTTGTTTTTAATCCATGTTTATTAATACATTTTTCGCAAGGACTCCAAGCACTCAATTCTGAGATTACTTCTAAAGTTACACCAGCCTCTCTTACTAAAGCTAAATCTGGCATTCTTGATACCTTAATCAATCATGAAAAAATTTAAAAACATCTTGAAAATTACGAAGTGGAAGATTAATGATGATATTTACAGCAAATCTTTCAGTGACCGGAATCAAATTAATTTCCATATAACCCTTCAAATCAGATAGATTACCTTTTGGTATAGATTCAGCATCATTGTCTTGAAAAACAGCTATTATTATTTTTTTGTAATTAATAAAATCAATATATTATTTCATCTCTTACGTTCTAGTCGATAATTATATCTCTTCTCAGAATCTTCTCCTAATTTTCCATGACATTTATAAATTCCTGCATCTTTGATATCAAAGTCTTTAATGATCAAATCAAAATCTGGATTTAAGTAAATTTTATTCTCTAAATTATTATTATTCATATCAAATTCTACTTCACGTTCATTAGTTTCTTGAAAACGATCTTGAAAATACCAAAGTCTTGGTTGATGATAATTAGATTCTCCACTAGAATAATCATTCAATTAATGAACAGTAATATAATAATTAGCATAGCTTACGTGATTAAATTGTTAAATGTTTTTGTACCAAAAATGACAATTCAGTAATAGAGTTGTATTTAGTTCAACATCGATTAATAAATATTTATCCAATTTGTTGGTAACAATTAACCTATCACTATCCCTACAATACGTTTTAATTAAAGAAGATTCATAAATAGATATGGTAAGTGGATAATATAAAATGTTTAAAATAATAATAAGAAAAAGCATAACCTATGATTAATTTTTTTTTTCAAAGCATCAGTTCTTTACATTCTAAAAATATAATTTCAAATGATGTTGATTTAGAAATGAAATGTTTGTAGTGGGGGTAGATGATTATGGCGGTAAAATTTCACTTATACAAAGATAAATTCTAAAATTTTACAAGAGATGAAATATTTAGTACGCTAGTTTACTATAAATAATGTTAAAATAAAATACAACTAAATTTACTGAACTTTTTTTTCTCTCTCTACTACGGTAATTACTGTGCATAAATTAATTATGCGTATTTAGGAATTTAAGAATAATAATATTTCTGCTCTAAAAAGTTGGCTTACATGTTGTTTGGAGTTGGAAGTTAAGGAGGGAGAATTAGGTATTTATTCCAAAATGTTTCAAATATTGTACTCCAAAAATATGTTCTCCGAAATGCATCCGCGCATGCGCTCAATACTTTGGAGCGGTTACCGCCCCCTTAATTGTAACTAGCGACAACTATCAGCTCGTGACAGAAGCTCTCTTCATACCGACATGTTATTCGAATTACATTCTGAACCAATACTGGCCCTCTGTTCTTATCTCTGCTCTGAACTTGATGTTTAACCTTCTACATGTGTTTATATTTTCTGACGCGCAGACAGTGAGAGGGGATTGAAGCGCTTGGCGGAAACTTATACCCAGAATGCCTTAGTGAATGTAGCAACATGGCAGACACAATTGAAAGTAAGTGAATTCAATAATTTTCATCAAATTTAATATAAATAAATGTTGAACATTTAAAGAATAAATCATTTTGATTCATTTCTGATATTGTTGTATTTAAAAATGACTTATTACAACGTTTCTAGTTAGTTTGGTAATTACAAAGTTCAGATTTTAATTTACTCAACATCGTATAGGTTTGAAATTTCAAAAATGACCAATGCACAATTCAAGCGGGACCGTCGAGATACTCGTCAACTTGAACAAAACTTCGATTTATCAGTTTATCGTTTTAGGTCTTTATGACGATTCGAGGTTAATTAACAAAAATGATGATTCAAATTGATTTTTGAACCAATTATAATTAATGAATCTTATGTTAAAATTTTTTTTGGTTAGGTTGTAATTTTATGTTCAGAAACATAATGTTTTGATTTTCCAAAGCTCGAATTTCTATGAGTACTTATTTAGTATTACTATTTTAAAACTAATTATTATTTATGAAACAAAGTTAAGATAGTTCATTTTTCATTTCAGACGAGTCAGCTGAAACATTATTATCATTTAAAAATGGAGGATATCCCAGTACAACCGAAATTAAACAAGAATTAGCTGATGATGATGAAATGGATATAGAAGAACATCAAATTCTTTCAAGTATGGAAATGGATGAAGAAGATTCTGAATCTATGACTGAGTTAGGGCCTGCTGCTTTAGGTTTACAAAGAGTTGGTACTAAACCACCACCAAAACCTAATCAGACATCTCAACAACTTCCAACTTTAAATCGTCGCGGAATGCCTGCAAGAATAAGAAAGAAAAATAAATTATTCTATGATGATATTCTTGTTAATCATCCACATCATCGGTAAGTTAATAGATTTATTAATTATATAACAGTTTTGGAGTAGATTTTTAATTTACATGATTTTATTCAACAGGATTAAAAAGGAGCCAGGGACCGTAGAGTTGAAACCATCTCCAAAGAAAATTCCTAAACCATCTCCAGCTAAAAAAATATTAAGAAGTGCAGAGAAAGAAGATAAAAAAAAATCTCCTGTTACACCACCTCCACCGCCACCACCAATAACACCCGCCAAAAAAGAAAAATTACCTGAAAAACCTCAAGCTCCAAGTTCACCAGATCGAAAAATTGGTCAGAAGATTGGTATGAGGTTGAGAAACTTATTAAAATTGCCTAAAGCTCATAAATGGGTTTGCTATGAGTGGTTTTATAGCAACATTGATAAAACTCTTTTTGATGGTGACAACGATTTTATGATTTGTTTAAAAGAATCATTTCCTCAATTAAAAACACGAAAATTAACCAGAGTTGAATGGTGTAAAATAAGAAGAATGATGGGTAAACCACGTCGTTGTTCGCAATCATTTTTTGAAGAAGAACGACGAGAATTGGAAAGAAAAAGACAAAAAATCCGTATGCTCCAACAACGAAAAACTGCTGATGTAAATAGTTTTAAAGATTTACCTCCAGAAATTCCACTCCAATTAGTAATTGGGCAAAAAGTTACAGCTAGATTGAGGAAACCTCAGGATGGATTATTTACTGGTAGCATTGATGCCGTTGACACAAGTAATAACACTTATCGAATTACATTTGAAAGAGCTGGTTTAGGCACTCATAGTGTTCCAGATTATGAAGTTCTATCGAATGAACCACCAGAGACTATTAGTGTAGCTTCATTTGCCCAAAAATTCCGACCTCGTCATATTCAATATGTTCCATCACCGCCTTATGCTTTGAAGTTAAGATCGCCACGACTCAACAATGATCCTTTAATATCAAATGCTTCTATTCAAAAGAAGACTTACAGTGGAGGAACAATGAATGGCTTTCCAATGAGATTACTTGAATTCATGGTCAAAATTAATAAAATATTAGTGATGAAAAAAACTAAAATCCAAAAATTGAAAAGTATGAATACAGAAGCAGAAAAATGTAGATCATTTGGTGCAGATCTATCTTCAGATTTTGAAAGAAAATATGCAGCTACTGTAGTTGAATTGGAAAAAATGAATGCAGCGCTTCAAGATTTTTTGAATGAAGTTCAAGAATTATGTCAAGAAATTGCACCCGAACCTAGTGTTGCAGCAATGCTTGCACCATCTCATCTTAGAGAAAAATGTAGACAAGAAGCTGCTGATATGGTTGCTAGAAATCATATAATTACCGAAAAAGCTCCCACGAAAATGAATCAATTGGTTACCGATTTAACAGCTCTTATGCTTCAAGTTAAAGTGAGTATCAATTATCTAATTTTTAAAGCTTTTTAATAAATTATGCAACAAAATATTTCATTGATTTTTCAAAATTAATTTCAATTAATTATATTAATATTCTAAATAATTTTTTCTTTTTTAGTGCCTTTCAGATTCAGATCGTAATGCATATGAACTAAAAGTTCTTCAAGGTACAATGGAACAGATTAGATCACGACTAAGTCCTCAAAATAAGCTAACGTTCCAAAATTGTGTCGAAATTCATATGCAACATATTCAACTTGGTCTTGGGCAAGTAGGTGTTTCAGCCCCATTTATGGCTCCAAAAGCTTAAGAATAAAAAATCTATTACTGCCGGATAAAAATTTTTATTCGATTGAATTTATACATATTTACATAATATTTAACAAATTACGTGAAAAAGAATTGTTCTAATTTAATTGATTACATTTATTGTTGTTATAATTTATGTAAAAAATTCATATATTTATAGTTTAATACTGAAATCATAAAAATTAAGTTGACAATTTTTTTTTCAAATTCATGCAATTGTGACTGTAATTTCATTACAAAAGTCAAATTTTAAAATAATACATTTATAAAATCGATTTGAATTTTTAAATCTATTGCAAATCTTATAAACAATTATAAATACTTAATGTTAATAGTATTTGGGTTTTGAATGAATATATAACACATATTGTATAGTCTTATTCAATAGTGTAGATTGATTAACACATTTTATTGACGTTTAATTATCAAAGTATAGTGAAATACATATTATTATCATTATTTAAGTTCGCTTATTCTATTAATTATGCATTATTCTTAAGGTCTATTTACATAAGTAACTTGACAGTTAATTTACTTTATTACACATCTTTTCACTCATGAAAAGTCTTACAAAATATGTCAAGACTTACAATTGTAAAATTACCTATTTTTCATTGAAATATAATATAATTGAATTTATTTTGCTGTATAAGTGTTTATTTTTTATATAAATGTATACCTTTCAATAATCAATCAGAATTATTGAATGTTGCATAAAATCTAATCAACTTTTCATTCACAAAAAATTTCTTTATTTATCTTTTGTTTATGGTTTCGAACAATAAATTGTAGGTACCGATTCATTATTTATCGATAAGAGTATAATTTTTTTATACAATTAACTTATTACTTATTATTTTTTATTTTTTTCTAAAGCTTCAAGTAAGCTGTCTGCATCTTCACTAGATTTAACTCTTAAGAATATTGAAGTTGGTGGAGGTTCTGAGTCAGGGAGAGGTAAGCACATTATCATAACAGTATTTTTATTAGCTCGTTTTGTAGGTACTGACTCAGTTAAAAGAGTGTTTATTAGTAGATTACCTAAAGAAGTTTCAGCGCGAACAATTAATTGAGTTTTTCCTGTTGGAGTTGGTTTTAAAAATAAAACTCCAATCCCTCTATCACTGAAACCTTGATCTTTTTTAAAGAATACTTTGCATCGTTTTTCGTATACCGCACCTTCCTCAGTTATCGGTTTAATTTCTACCTTAGGTGGCTCGTCATCTTCATCTTTATCTTCACTATCTCCCTTTGAAGCTTCTGATTCTTGTGCTGTTGCACTATTACCAAACATAACTGTTCCTCTAGCAAAACAAAAACCAGCTGAAGAACTTGTATAAGAATTAGAACCAAAACTAAATGTTGGTGCAGTTGTTCCACTCGTTTGGGGAAACGTTAAAGATTTGCTCTCCGTTTTATTTTCTTCTGATTTTTGTGTACGATCAACCGGATTTGATTTTAGAAAAGGATTGTCTTCTCCGCTTGCTGAAATTCCTTGAAAAATATTTTTGTTTGTATTACTGAAAATTGATGGTAATGATGTTGCATTGTTAGAAGTTGGAGATTTCTTGATTGTCTCTGAGGAAGATAATGGCTTTACTGAAGGAGTGATTGTCGAATTTTTTGATTCTTCTACTTTATCTACATTAGTTGTTGATGAAGTTGCAGATTTATCTTGTCCATATTGAGATTCGATTTCTTTTAAATATCTTTCATAATCACGAAAAATTGGAGTCAAAATACAGAATGGGTTTGAGCTAACATGAGTTTTTATCCATTCAGTTACACTTTCATTTAATCCTTTTAATTTTGAAAAGTATTCTGATGAAGTTTCAAATATTTTTTCTTTATTTTCTTCAGACATATCTGTTGTTTTAAGTTCTGTTGACGGTTTATTTTGATTAATTGAAACAGAGGTATCAGTTGACTTCATTTCTCCTGTCATTCCATTCCCTGAAGTTTTGGCGGCTCCGTTGCTTGTAGTAATTATGTTTGAAAATATGCTTGAAGTTGGTGTTGACGCTGATGATGAAGTATTCGATTTTAAAAAACTAAATGCTGATGTTGCTGGAGCTGATGATACTTTAAAACCGGAAAATCCTTTAAATACGCTTTTTTGAGCTCCCTAAAATTAAAAAAAAACTATTTAATTACTCTACTTAAAAAAGTTATTGTTACTTTAAATTAATGTCTTAGTTTTTTCAATTGAAATTCAATATTCAAAACCTTTATTCCAATTAAGTGAATATTATTTATGTACGATATTAAAATTTTGGTAGGTTAGAATTCTACTGTATTCTTAATTTCCTTTGATATAAAGATATATAATATTTGTGAAATTATCACAAATTATATTGAAAGCTAATAAACAGATGCGTTGTAATATTTCGATATTTCTAGTAAAATATAAATGAATTACCTCTTCGCCAGCTGGTAATCGTCGTCTGGCTGTTTTTACGACTCGCTTTTCTAAAATTTCTTGTGGCGCTACTGCAAATGTTCCTGGTTCTTCAGGTTCATCTTCTTGATCCCAATTTTCGTGATTTAATTCAGTTGTAGCAGTACGTTTACGAGCCATCGCTGTAAAGAAAAAAAAATAGAAGCCAATATTTTGACTTATAGATTTCTAGAAAATATGACATTTTCATCCTATTACGCTAAATAAATAATAAAATGCAAGTGTAATATAAATTAATGATCATATTTCAAGTATTATAATTGCTATAAATTTTAATAATACTAAATATTCAACAATTCATAACCTCGAAATGGAGTGTTAACCGACTCAATGTATTACAAATAAAATACGTTATAAAATATCTTATAAATGTACTCGATCTACTGGATATCAATATGAATAATTAGTTAATTAAAAATTTGTTATTATACAACAGTTTTTAGTTACCATGAAAATATTAAAAGTGAATATTTTGTCCAAGTTTGGTATTCAAGCCTTGCGCGTGTGTCAACGGTGATAGAATGTCACTACATAAAGTATGTACCATTAAATGTACATCAAATAAACATTTCTATAAAACAAATTAAATTTTCAATATCATAATAAATACTATATTTTTCATATAAATAATAACAAAACTTATTAATATCTAATTTTGAGAAATTATAAATTTTTAACTTTTAAATTTACCGCTTTATTACTATTATAACTTGCATCGTTTACTTTAGTTCTTTTTTTGTCCACTAAATAAATTAATGGTGTTAGTATTATTGCATTGAATGCACTTACCTTTTCCGGTAATACTATGAATGTAATAAAAACAATATTTACTGTATTAAAGAAACAGTTTCAATATCATTTAATTTATATAAAACAGTTACAGTGAATTTACTGAATTTGTTGAAAAGAAATTCTTCCGAGATAATAATAGTTTACACATCTAACCTTAAGTTATAATAAATGTGATATTAATACGTCAGTTGATTAAAATACTTTAACATTATTAAAAAAATTAAGTTAAATAAAAATTTGATTGCTAAATATTTCGAAGATTCTCTAAAATTGTTGTAAATATAAAAAAAAAAACTCAGTCGGTGTAAATGCGATAGTGTGCATTTGAAGTTTTAGTTCAACTTAGCGCCGGTAGTGTCGCTAGTGTTTCGATGTAGAGACTCAATTGTTACGGTTTGCGCATGCGCGCATACACAGATATTCCCGGGTGTGTAGAGGTGTGTGTGGAAGCAAAAGAGCACGGACAAGTGCCTGTGGGCCACCGTGGTGGGTTGTTCGTGGTGCGCGCCGAGACTTATCCGGCGGAGGATCACGGAGATTCGTCTTCGGCGGCCCCTGACCAATTTTCATTACTTTTCGTACATTTTCTAAGCGTCGTCTGAATCGTAAACGTAAGAATAACAGTGCGTGAGTACTTGTAAACCATTAAAATTTACATCTTTTTAACTTCCACCGGTTTATAAGTGTGGTGAGTGTGTGCGTGTACGTGTCTCTCACTGTGCGCGCGAGTACACGCGTTTTCCTAATAAACCGCGGATTAAAAACGCCGCGAGTATAAGCGAAAAATGATGGAGATATCTAAAGGACTGCGAAAAGAAATCATTCTTGTACAAAATAAACTCAAGGACGCCATTCGGGATCATCAGGTAAGCTATTTCCCACTAAAACTTTATCTTTTCCTTTGCTTTATATACCTTCAACATTTACTTCTAAATTCTCAAGGCTGTTTGACAAACTTTTCTCACCTTTTCAAACATCATAAATCCTTGAAAAAATTTCCCTTTTATTTAATAATACTTTATTCTATTAACATTTTCTTTATTAATAACCTAATAGTGAATATAAATATGAAATATAATTCATTATGATAATCATTAATATTATTAAACATGCCTCCATTTGTCATTATACAGATTTGCTTCCTAGAAACTAAACAGAAAACAATATAGTTAGCTAATTTCTAACATTGTTTGTTTTTTTTGCCAAATTGTTGATTATTTAATATTAATTATCAATTTTAAAACTTTATTCTTCTTCATAATAAAAATTTGAACAAAAATCAGTAAACGTAATTTTTTGTTTGAATAAGTCAAAAATACATTATACAGTTTGAGTCTTATTTTTAGGAAATTTTGGTCATTTTTTATATTGACATGAAGTTGAGACAAATGGGGAAGAAAATGGATTTTTTCCGAGTTAGTAGTAATATTACATACTTGGAGATTCTCAATTGATAAATTGACGCGCGAAAACAAATCAATGATTATTTCAATGTCTTTCTTTTAGCTTTTAAAATGGTTAGTTAGAGTCCAATTGAAACTTAGAGGTATTTAAATGAATGAAAGTGATTGCAGAAAGGTTAGTTTAGTTGTTATGACTCGTAAAGTAGAAAAGAAGAGCTGCATTAATGTTAGAAGGATGCAACGACCTCGAGGCATCAACGAAACCAAATTCCCCCTGCCACTAAATTAATTGTATCGCACATGAGTCTCTGCGCATCCATTTGTACACGGCCATTACCATTGCTAGAGCAAAATATCTTGCGTCCTTCACTCAATTCATCGAACCTAACCTACCCGACAAGATTTTTCTTTTTTCATTTATATTTTCTGGATTATCGATAGCATCTCCTAAACTTAATGAAACTCTCATTGACCAAAGAGTTTATATGAATTCTCTTCTTAAAAGTTTCATTCACTTTCTCTGCTTCTACTCTATTCCTATCCCAACTTCTTCTAAAGTATTCATTTGACAAGAGCTCGAGAAGTTTGTGTAAGATACTAGTGACTCATGACACATTTTTAATTTGTCTAAAGACTGATAAAGAAGTTGTAAATATTTTAAATCATCTATATATGAGCTTTAGGAGACAAACTTACTTTTTGGTAGGAAACATTTATAAAGTTCAAAACTCGAACTTTTTGGAAGTTAGTAAAGTTGTAAGGATGGACAGAAATTTTTTTTTCTTTCTTTTGTATTACGAATTCTTTCAAAATTTATATAATAAACAAACATTGATTTATAGTCTCTTGTTTTTTTACAATTGAAACAAACTTCTAATTAATTCAGTAACAAAAGAAAAGATGATTTTCGAAGAAAAAAGACTTATAGATTCTTCAAGTAGTATAGCATCTTTTATTTATATTATCTAATCCAATTAAAATAAAATATAATATTGTTTTCTTTGTTTCAAATATAATAAATGAAATTAACATATTATATTGTCTGGTTTAAAGAAAAATAATTGCTGATAAAATAATGAATTTAATTAAGTCTCAAGGATATTCATTATTTGAATTAATTGTCTATATAACACTGGTAATGATATAAATAACAATCCATGTTAAAAGTTTAAAATTACGTGGTTTCAGAGACAACAACAATGGCGGTAGATCAGTTTCGACTTGTGTCTTCCATCATTTGTCGCTCTATTTCTTGTTTCCATAAATTACATATTATATAAGTTAACATTACTTCAATAACTCTTGAATATGTTATTACTTATATACTTAATAAATTGAGTATTCTTTATTTAAACAGTATCTTTTTTATTTTTATTTTCAGATTTGCGTTGGTAAACTCAAGGACGATCCCAATGTAAGTATAAATTTATAAAAATTAATAAAATAAAACTGTTTTTAAAAGTGGGTAGAAAGTTTTCGAAATTTGTTTTAAAACTGATATGACGAAATTAATTGTATCTTTTCATATATTTCAGAATGCTGATATCCTTGCTCAAATACAGGAAATACAGCTTCATATCGTTTCCCTTGGGCGATGCCAGGTGAGACTAAGTTTTTCCCTTTTTTTCTTTTTTTTATTAACTTCTTTTCTTTTATAATTTTTTTTTAAAGCAGATGCTTTGAGAAAATGTTAAATATTTAAAAAATATGTAGTAAATAATTTAATGATTTTCTTAATGATATTAGTAATCAAATGAATTCATGGTATTCAATTATTTCTTTATTATTGAAAACATTTTAATAACACTCGAGTGAAGTTTTATCCTGAAGTTTCTGGACATTTTTCTATCACCAGTTGCGCATCAATTCGATTCGCTGTCGCTTCTTCTAAATTCTGCAGTGCTAGCGCGTCGGAAAACATTGATCGTTAAGGGAAACATTTAGACTATGAAACTTGAATTTTATCACTTATTTTGTTTTAAAACTTTTTTCGTAATAACATTATTGTTATCATCAAATTACTTTTTTTTTTTTTGATACTTGAGACAATGGTTTTTTTTGTCTTTTTTTTAATGTTATTGGGTTAATAATTTTTTTAAAATTAAAAGTTAAAATTAAAAATTAGATAAAAATACGTTGATAATAGAAATATTCTAAATGTCGAAAAAATACTATTGTTTAGTCAATGAAATAAAAATAGTAAGAAAATGAAACAATCATATGAAACATTAGTTTTCGTGTTATTGAGGGTAATTGGATTCGCTTCTTTTCAATGAGCAAAAAAGTTAGATGAAAGTATTAAACATAAAATGAGTTAACATAAAAAAAAAATACTAAAATAATTTTAAAACTCAACATTGATTAAATAACATTTAAATATGTATAAATATTTAATGGCTCTTATACAACAGTTAATGTTTTTCTATTGATATATATTTAACGTAATATCAGAAAAAAAAGAATTTATGAAATTGAAATGCAAAAAAGTTTTAATTAACTTTATACGTTTACAGAACGTATTAACATGATAACTATAAATGAAATAAATAAATATGTTATAACAAGTATGTAGTACTAAACTTGTTTTCAAGTTATACTCAATCAAATTAATTGAAATAAATTAAATTACAAATAATTTATAAAAGCATATGCAAATTATAATTAAAAATTTATCAAACATCACGTAATTAATTTTTTAAATATCTCTGTAATCAAAATTATATTTTTTTATAATTGATAATTATTTATAAATTATAATTTAATATCCAAGTCAGTATCATAATTTATATATATTAAAAAATAATGAAAACTCTTTTATTAAAAATTCCAACGAAATTGAGAAAAAAAAAAAAAGTAGCAAATGTTAAATGTCAAATATTTTTTAATTATCCTGGAAAAATTTAAAAGTAATAACTAGCAATATGATAGTAGCTTATAAATACATCAAAGATAATTTTAAATACTGACTATTAAGTTTAAATAATTATATCTGCAATACGTATAATTATTATTATATTTTTTTTTAAACAGAGATTTAAATTCTATTTCTTAGGTACTAAATTTCCTATAATTAGTAAATATAGTGACAGTAGAAATAAAAGGATACAAAGGAAGATGAGAGAGGTTACTTGGTGACTATGATAAGGGGTTATCGATTGTAATCGAATTACTTATGACCTCGGGGAATGCGGCATGAAGCCAACCTGATTTTATACTCAACATCGATTCTCTGTTGTTTCGCTTTTGCAAAAAAAAAAAAAAATGAAAATATAAATATCTTGTCTTCAATAACAGTGTGTACATTTAGTCGTGAAAAAAGTTTCTCACGTCAAAACTTTTGAACTCTGCATGCTCCAACAAGGTCGGCACGTCGATTCACAAACGTTTGAATTGGTTTTAAAGAAGATTTAGAGTTAGAAAAAGTTTGATTAAAGTTTATTTAGATTTCCTTATTTTAATCTGATTAAAATAATTTTCTATAATGAAAATGATTTAATAGTACTTTATATCGTAATTTGAAGTTTATTCATTATTCTATTAAAGAAACTTCACAAAGCGCGCCAATAACGCAGAAGATCTTACTACCGTTGTCCAATCGCTGTCGGCACGCGAATAGCAACCTGGTTCTTATTGATCTCCTGGCTCTCAGTGCCAACCGCATCAGAGAAGCAGTAGCAGCAGCCGTCTTTTACTCCATCTCTTCTTCTTTTTCTTCTTAGTTTCCTCATCTCCTTCTGCTTCTTCTTCTCCTAGATCAAAATGCCAAGTCTTATAGTTTAGTCTTCTTATCTTTCAAGTGAACAATAATTGAAAAGAAGTAACATTTTTCAGTATACAAAAGTAGACAAGAGATTCTTCAATTATATAGATGATTTATCAATCATTTTTTAAGTACAAAAGATAATGAAAGAAAAAATGAAATTGTCATTATAATTTTCATTTTAAAACTATTTCATAATAAATTATGTTTATTAATTTAATTTAAATCATTTTAATTTTCATAAATTAAGTATCTTTTATTTAAATAAACGAGCTTACATTTATATTTAATTATAGATATTAAACTGCAGTTACATTAAAATACTTCTTGAAACAATTTATGAACGTTTTATAGATAAAGTTTGATTTAAATAAGTTTTACTAAACGATTAAATATTAAATGATTAGAAGATAGATAATAGAATAATTCTCTAAAGTATATTCAAAGATTTAAAAGTAATAAATGACGTGAATTTTTTAAGGAATTACTTTGCAAAGTTTATTCCACGTGATTATGTTTGAAATAACGAGGGTTAGTAAAGTACCAACATAACAAAGCAACTCGTGCAAGACGACGTTTAATAATCCTTCAGGACGCAATTTATCGAGTGAAAGAACATGAGAAATAAACACTTGATTTACATTACAACATGAGAAAACAATCAAAGTTATCATTCATTCCAAGATTAATTTCACTTATAAATAACATAACTGTATCTATATATCTATTGAACACAAAATAAAATTATTTCAAAGATTGAAAGTTTGCTATAAAAGCTATCGTGGCTTTTAGATCTAATATCGATCGATCGATAATACCATTAGGTAATTAAATTATTGGTAATATTTGTTTTACGAACGCAGAATAAGATTTTTATGTATCAGTTTGACATGTTGATCATTTTAGATGCAAATATTTTCAAAGTTATGTTTAGAATTAATTTTTTAATTTATATTAGTTTAATATCAATTTAAATGATTAATTGTTAGTTTTTATCAATGATAATGACAACTTTCTTGTAGTATATTTATTTTATCTTCTTTTAATTTTACTTCTATTAGTCTCTGAAGAGTTCAGTCAATATGAAAACCTAGAGAAAGCACGACATTGTGATGTCACGGCGCAGCTAGCTTAAAAATCGTTATATCAGTCACTTTACCATGATGCTTTAAGCTTAATAGTATTATCTTCTTTTTTTTTTTTATTATTTCGTCTGCATCAAATATTATTATTTACATGTTTGTTTTTTTTATCACTTTTATACAACTTTTTTATTTTTTTAATACAAGCTTTTACCTTTAATTTGTGTTTGCTTTATTTTTTTTTGATAAACTTAGATTTTTTTACGTTGACTGAAAGATAATAATTTTATTAGAATATTTTTTGGATAAAATAAAAATGTCAATGAATAACAAAGAAATTTTCAAGATAGACAAAAGAAATAAAATGCATAGAAAGTTTTCGATGAAGTTTTGATGAATATTTTAACGTGAACAAAAAAAAAATAACAAATAGACAAATGAGATATTAGTTGCATAAATTTTCTTTGTCTGTATTTAATTTAATTAAAAATATAACATTAAAGAGTTTAAAATAATTCATTTTTATCTTAAGTTAAATTAAATTAATAAAGATAAAATTTATCAAATTGAAATAAAAGTATTTTAAACAAATAAAAAATATTTTATAATAATTAATTTATTTAAAAATTATTATAATTATTAACAAGTACTCTAGAGATAAAGTAGGCTATTCCCATTGGTATCTGGCAGTGTCTAAAATTTGCTCAGAATTTCTCTAATATAGCGCAGTTATCGAAGACAGGATCGATCATGGAAACAACTAAATGGGTAGGGATGATGCAGGCTTCTCTCGTTCAAATCATGGAGAGACCTGTAGAATCTTAAGAGTTATGTTAATCGATATTGCTAAAGTATCAAAATCGATTTTGAACATACAATATTGTTGAATTATTTAAAATTTTATATTATTATGATAATAATTATTAATATTAACTGATAAGATAAAAGAGTTAACGATAAAAAGTTTTGAAAATTTTTTTTTTTTTCGAATAAGAACATTAACACTTATATTAACTTTATTACTAATTCTTGTGGGTAGAAACTTCTACAATATCCATTATAAGCAATGAGTAAAGTTTTGGGATTTGTTGATTTGCGCAGAAGCAAGTGGTCCAACGCCTGCGTAAAGAGGTGGAAGCATTCAAAGCGGAGAATGCAAACGGAGCAAAACTTTCTGTTGCATCGCTTCTTGGTTTAAACAACAACAATCACATCACACCTGGTAATGAACAGAGGGATGAAGTTGTCCAGGTCAAGGTGCAAACCAATGGAATATCAGAAAGTCGAAGATCTTCCAAAGATGATTATGAGGAAGTTGTACACAATGGTGATGTTTCAGTCACCAGAGATATTTGTGCCAAGTTAGTATTCATAGTTTGATTAATAAGAATACAATAAAAATAATTTCTCGACAAATTCATTTATTGATATACAATTATAAAAATATTTTATATTTTTTTAATCAAATATTCTATCAGTATTATTGATAGTTATTAAATAAGGGATAATTATAAATCATTAATTTGTTGTTTATAGTGTTAATAATTAATTGTATCTTTTACAGAGAACGTTCTATATCAGTGGAAACAGTATCAATTGATGAGGAAATCATTGAACTTTCAAATGATGAGAGTTCTAGAGAAAAGCATGAAGATACTGAAGACATAGATTCTAGAGAATGCAGTGCATTTGAGGAATGTAAAACAGTCTCAAAGCAAATAAAGTTTTTAGACAACCTTGGACTCATCACGGTTTCCAAGTTTGATAAATTACAGAACAAGAAAGCTGAACGGAAACGCAGGAGTACTGCGAATCCACAATTTGTATACTCAAACTGGGATATACCTACGGTAAGTAGTTAATCAAGTTTATATTAATTGTTTGCCATTTGGAATTTTTATTGTGCTATTATTTAATTAATGTTATTTATGAATATTTTTTAGAAAAAGAAGAAGTATTCTTATCTTCAATCTGCTGGAAATGGTCCTCAAACTCGTCAAACAACTCGTCTCAATGGACCTTCACCACCACCACCAAGTAAATGCACTTCAAAATCTACATCTCCACCGATAAAAACCACCCCTAAGTCACTAATGTTGGTACAGAAATCTTTAGCAAAACCAGCGATTCTCAAGAATATTCCGGAAAGCCGATTAATTTCAAATAAAACTCAAGCAGAAAATGGAGTAAATCAAACGTCAATATCTAATTTTAAAAGTTCGGAGACGAAGGCAGCAAATATACCAACACTTTCATCGGATTCAACTGTTGAAAAGATTGAAAAGATCGAAAAGACTGAAAATTTGGAGAAGGTCAAAAATGAATCTGTTTGCATACACTGCAGATCACCAGGTGGGCTTTGATAAAAAATCATCATAATAAATATATAATAAGTATTAAAAGTTTTATTTCTTAAAAATTTTAAAAGCTTGATAATTCTAAAGGATCTGTTGATATGAAAATTTAAAGAATTGTTTTATTAAAGAATGTTTTAAAAATAAATTAGGGATTATCAGAAATTAATTTAATTTTTGATTGGTGTTTTTTCCTTATATTTATACAGTTTCTATAAATAATTTTATATAAAAAAAAATGAATCTGTTAGAAAATGAGAATAAGTTTATACATAAATTATATAAAAATAATATTTATTTTAGGAAATTTGACCATTTGTGACAATTGCTCATCAAGTTATCATACTTTTTGTCATTCAACGGTATCACCGCCACCTTCAAGACTGTGTCCTTTATGTGCTCAAAAAAAATTAGAAGAAATAGAAGAAGAAAAACCGATTGCAGTAGTTAAGAAGAATGATGAACTCCGTAAGTTTTTTCATGATTATTATTAAATTGAGTTTGTAAAGACTGACAACAGTTTTTGCGGTTGAAAAGAATTTTTTGGATCGTAAGGATACGCGATTAAGAGGCTGCAACAGAAGAATCTAGTATTGAACGCGAAATATCGTTGCAGAGGAAAAAGCGAGAGAAAGATACGAGCAGCGAGAGCGAAACGCGGATCTGAGATTGCAGGTTTACGAGTTGGAAAAACGATCCCAGCTGCTCGGCCAATCAATTCAGGTTCGTCCTGTGGCCTACGTAGACAAAAAATAATAAAGTTAAGATATTTGTTTTGTTGGAATGCTCATTTTCGTCTATATTTTCAAAACAACCTATTTTATTTGAAAACAAAAACCTGCAAGCTCTTTCAATATATTGTTTTTATTTTAAATTATTCAATGTATTTCATGTATTTACTTTCGATTTTATGCTTATTTCGATTTGTAGATTTAAATCCTTAGGGTTTTTTGTTTTATTATATTTTAGACTGCACTCAGGGCATGAACGTCGATGTAAATTTTTAAATAATCGTTATCTCATTTATTTATTTGTTTTTGTTATTATTCTGATAGCACGTTAAAAAAAAATTTTTTAATTAATTATTCAATATTTCTTCAATAGCTCCAGAATCGGTTGCGTCAGGAATTGCTGGGCAAACAGGAGAAGACTCAGAAGTTAATAAAGCGACTGGTGGATTTTATAAAATTGATGCAACTACACCCAAATTCAACGTCAGCTTCAACCAGTTCCCATCCTCAACCTACCTCATCCCAATCGCATCTAATCCAATCGTCCCAACCACCACTATCACTGCACCAGAACAAACTATCATCTCCACTCCCATCACCTTCACCAACCAGTTCATCAGTCCCGTCAACAATTCCATCACCTATCCACCTTTCATCATCAACCAATTCCCCCCACAACCCTGTATCACCCCATTCATTCAATCAGAACCCAGAATCTCCTTCAACTATTCACTGCCAGTTATCAACACACAACCAGAAAAACAACAATACCTCATCGTCAAAAAAATTTCCGACCCCTGCGTTGGTGGTATCGTCAGCTTCTCTAACCAACAGCAAGTTCAACCAACTCTTAGCTACAAATTACCATCAATCACCCAGGAATCAGGTGTCGTTGAGTCCAAAGAAGGCCAATCAAACTTTATCGACGGTTCCACATTCTTCTATGATCAACTTGCAGGCTGTCAGTCTGAGCCAGCCATTCGAAATAACGGGAAGTCCACCACCCGCGAGATTCCCGGACTCAACCGTATTACAACAGTGGAAAAGTCAGAAAACGTCGTCGGTAACTTGGAACCATCATCACCGTCTCCAACATCAGTCGATGAACGAAAGCAACGTAAAAGTGACATTAGAGCACGAGCTAAATCAACAGAAGTTCGACTCTCCATCAACGATAATCTCGAGTCAACAGCCAAGTTGGAAGCTTCCGAACAATTCAAGGTCTCCTCCTCTCCTAAACCAGAGACAGGTTCACTCAACTCATTGTTCTCAAGCGATCAAAAGTCCGATTTCATCACCAGCAGTGTTGATAAATCACAACAAAAAGATTTCTCTGATCTCAAGTGCGGATCCATCTCAAATAGACTCTTCAGAAGAATCGTTAAAGACCAGTCGAGCTTGCGAACGGGACAGTCCACCTCCGAATACTTGAAATTGGAAGAAGCGCATTTATCAGCGCCATCTTCAACAAATTTAGTAAATACGGTTGATATCGTTTGCAAGAGTGATACTCTTATTCGATCCAGGTCTTGTCCAAGTGTAGAGATAATTAATAAAGAAAATGATCCAAAACAAACTCAGAAAAGTTTTATTCGAAGAAAAAGAAGAAGTTTGGATTCTCTACCGTATGAAAATCAGACAAATATGAAATTGGGGGAACGACGAAAAAAATATTCCCGAGAATCATCTGAAAAAGATACAGATGATGAAATGAGAGAGGATTCAATGTCTTTTGAGGCCAATATTCTTGAAGACACTCTGACTGCTGATGAAGGCGAGAGTGAAATATCAGATACTCCGGATGACATTGATAATGAGAGAATAGCATCTTCAATCGACATGCAAGTCTTAGAAGATTTTGAGACTGCAATGAGAGAAGCTGAGACGAGTGATACTGCCAATATAAAATAGCAAAAGTCTAGTAGCCGAAGGGAATTTTTGGATTTTATCTATGAAAGTTTCCTAAGCAATTTGATCTCTAGATATTGGTGCCTGAACAAAGATATTATAATTTAATTTACAAAAAGCATGATTCTTTATTTATTGATATTTGACATTGATGGAAGAACTATTTTGGTTAATTTCAACTAAATGAAAAATACAATTATTGAGTTGTAGTCTCACCAAAGTTATAAGAAAACTTTTAAAGTCTCTCTACAGCATAATATTATTTATGTGAAAGAAAATGCAGTGTTAATAAGAGATAAATTGATCGGCATGTAAACTTATAAAGAGAAAAGTGAAAGAAACACGCACATATCTTGTGAATGAATTTTAACAAAAGTGATTAATTGTGAATATTTCCATGTTTTAATTAAGAAAAAAGGATTATGTTGGTAATACCACGTAAATCCAAGCCATATTACTACCATAACTGCCTTAATAGTCATTAATATATGGTTTTAAAATAAACCAGTTCCAATTGCCCAAAACCCTTTAATTGATAGTTTAATTTATTGAAAAGTTAGATTAATTTTTAATAATCAAATTTATAGAAACACAAGTTTCTAAAAAAGTATTAATAAATGAATAAATAAATGAATAATTAATAGTAATATTGATATTAATAGTAATAATAATAATAAAGCACATGAAGATAGTAATAATATAATAATCAAATGAAAAATAAATAAAAGGCATGTACATAAATTTAAAGTGAAAATTGTAGATGTCCCTTTTAAATTAATTCTTCGTATCATAATATTTTTTTATTCTAAAATCGATTGATAGTAATTACTGAAGTTCAATTCAGTACAAAATAAATTCATCATATTTGTTAAATATCATCATTGTTTATAATCAAATTGATATTTTAATTAGATTAATAATCATATATGTATATTCTGGTTTTATATTCGATCAAAATTATAATATATTTATTTTTTAAAGATTCAATTTAGTCGAAATTAATTGTTTAATTACATAAATAATATAATTTTATGATCAAAATTCATATATTTACAAATAAAAATCTAAAAATAACATTTTTCATTTTCAAAATTATTTCTAACCTGTTTTATCAATCAATGATTATTAGCTCTCTGTCGGTAAAATGAATGTTTATGCGTACTTATGAATTGTTAAATATCTACGCATTATTTTTATTCTTCAAAAGATGATTCTATCACTGTTATATTATTTTTATATAATTCATTTAATTTTTAGTGAGTAATTTGTCTTTATATTCTATAATAATTGAGGTAATTTACAAAGGATGAAAGAAACAAGTGATAGAGAATGTACATACAAGTATGCATAGCAACTGAAATTTCTGCTCGCATACAAACAGCTGCCTAATGATATGTAAATATGACGGAGCTAATCAAGCGGCTGTGCTAACAGGAAGAGATGAGTGCATTGCGTGTGAGTTTGATCTCTATTTGTATCACAGACAAAATTTGAGTGAGAGAATGAGATAGAATCAAACTGCACGTTAATTGTAGTTTGTTTATCTCTCATTTAACCTTACAAAATTAATTATCATTTCATCTTTAATTTTAACTCATCATTTTATTCTTTTTATCCAACAGGTATTTTATTTGTATTATCTTTTCTCACTCGACCATTTTTATTTTTTGATTATATACAATCTACAATATTGAAAAATGAATGGTGTGTTTGTAAAGTATTGAAAATTAACACAATATTTATAATGGTTCATTGAACATGGCAAAATAATATTTTTTTTTAGATATAAACAAAGATGAATTATTTTAGTGTATAGTTGATAGTATTGAAATAATGTCGTTATCAGAATTTTTTGAAATGCTAGAACTCATGGCTATGATCCTTCAGGAATGGGAAAGGCAACGAAATAAGGCTAGAGTGAGGGTGCTAAGACGTCTGACAGTTGTATAAGGATAAAGTCGCTCACGCTGAGTGCTTTTATTTGTCACGCGCTCAACTCTTACTTTCGCGAGCAGTTTTACCATTATTTCAAATCGATTCATTTTTGTTTGTTGACTCCATTAGAGCATCAGAGAATAGGTAGCTTTATACCATTTATTGTCTCTCTCACTTCTACTTTGTACTTCTTACTTCCGGTTCTGATGTGTTACTTGCGTCCTTTAACTCATCATCTTCAATGTGACATTATATTGCGGTTTGTTATGTTACAAAAAGTAAAACCCTGTTTTCATTCATCACTTTATTTTATTTTATTTTCTTTAGGACAAAAAAATAGACACTTTATCTTGAGTTGATGGCATCGAGTGCTGCTTTGAGAGCTACTCTACCAGGGAGACTACCTAATCGCCTAGGGCTGTCCGGGGAGCACTAACGCAATCTATCCTAAAGTTGAGTCGAAGAGATGCCCACGGGACGTTTCTTGTTGGTGATCCATCGCTTAACTTTACCGTTGGTTTTGCAATACGAGTGTTTTGCAAAAGTTATGCGTAAACGCAATGTCAAAATTGATCGAATTACTCCCAAAAGAATTTTTTTCACATCAGGTTCTTTTTTCGATTTCTTATTATTAATTTTTTTATGCTTATAATTATGTTTAAAAATGATTCAGTAATATATATAATTGAAGTGGAAATTTTTCTATAAAATGTCTGAAAGATGTTATGATTTCTTCATAATATTTTTTTTTTTTTTTAGTTTCTTTTTCATTTTCTCTGGAGAGTGGAGAAAAGCAAATTACCGTAGCAGTAAACAAATATTGGCAGTCTGACGCACCTGGAAATGGTTTGAAGATGAAGATACAAGGTGGTGGAACGATATCCGCGGTCGGAAACGACTTGGATAGATTTTTTTTTTTCATTTACTTCTGTTAAAAGAAGCCTGAGAAGTAGTATTCGACCAAGTAAAAGTAAACGATTAGCTGTCACGTGTCTCTTGGTTTCTCACTCGATTGCTATCAACGTAGTTCGATTAAAAAGGCTGAAATAACGTCAGGAAAAAGGTACGACGGATCAATTACGTTTTTACGCTTACTCCTTACTTCACTGAGTGAGTTAATTACTTTTCAGCATTGGTCACACGGGACTTGATCAGGCTTTGGCTTATCGTCGCAATGAATTGAGTCAATAATAAAGTGAAAAATTTCGGAAAGAAAATACTGGCACATATTGAACATCGTTAGAATTCGTGAGAGCATTTAACGATCGTTTTATGCAGTATTGGCGTATTTACTTTTACCCTACTACTACTACTACCAATCGTTTGAGTATGGACGAATAAATTCACAAGAGAGAGTGAGAGAGAAGAAGACAAAAATTCGGATGGCTTCAGCCGTGCGACCAATTAAAACTCTTCACCGTCTCTGGAATTGATATTGGAAACAAAAACTCCAATTTCAAGTGCGTCACGTAACGGTACCAGCCGCGTGTTAATTGACCACCAGCTATTACATGCCCGATTGCTATTGGTTGCAACATTTTTTAATTCATCATCCTTTACATCTTTAAATCATTCTTTCGAAATTTTTATATATAATAGGTGAGTAATTGATCGAATATTTACAATTTAACATCAAATAAATCATCAAATTATCCAATACTAATAATGATAAAATTTTTACTGATATATTTTTCAGGATTTAAAGTGATTTATTATTGAAAAATAAGCCTCTAATTGGACTTACTGAGAAGCCATATAATATTCACTGGTTTGAATAATAAATTTTAATAGTGAAATCTGTATAAAATGCAAATTAATGACATATACAGTGACCATTATATCAAGCATTAAATTGCAAAATGCAATTAGTTGATCATTGTGGTCTGTATAGTAATGAAACAGTTTGAAATGAGACGATTGGAGGGAAAGGAATAAATATATCCAGTAAGTTCTTTGCATATTCTAATTATAGTGGTATATTATTGCCGACTAGCGAGATATTTTCGTTAAGTACAGAGTATGTGACACGACTCGTAATCTATGTTAAGCCCCTTGGGCTAGCAATACATAGCCTCTATTTTACGCTTCGTCGATCTAATTAACGCGACGACATCGATAGAGATGCTACAGTAATATCCTAGTTACCCACATTGATTTGTACAGCTGTGGTTTATTATCGTTTTATATAGTGATGTTTTGTTTAATTGGTCCAAAATAAAATGACCACGTAAATAATTGGATATTATGCAAACATGATTGAGTTGCCCGTAGGCTCGACAGATGGGCACGACATGTGGCTTAGTTGCCATCGTCGTTTTGAGCCTTATAAATTTAATCGTTGAAAAAAAAAACAAGTTCAAGTTCAATGAAACTATTCTGAATGTTTGATTTCAATTAGTACTATACAAATGAATGTTATTCAAGAGTTTTATCATTATTTATTTTACTTGAATTATTTTTATTTCACTATAGAACTTAAGCTTGCAATTAGTCTGTAAGCTGAAAATTTATTCACTTCATTTAATTTATTGATAATCATTTGAATTCTCTATTAATTCAAATATTCAATTTTATTCAAAATAAATGAATTATTAATCCTTTATTCATTAGTAAATTATTTTCATTACGTAGCATTATAATTTTCATCATTAACTCCAAATTCGTTTAAATATTCATCTTTTCACGTTTTTTTTCTACAGCTATTTGAGTTTTGTGAGATTATTAGAAATTAAAATCTAATAGAAGAATAGACATTCATTGTTGAGATAAAAAATAACTTGATTGATATTTAATAATAAAAATCTGATATTGTATGGAATGATGATAAAAGATTATTTTCAAATTTGCATTATAATACAGTAATAATTGATCATTCAATTAACTATAAAGTTAGCTGAAATAATGGCACATCCTCAAGTCAATAACTGAACGATTATCGATTAGAACTAGAGCCAATTGAGAAGACCATTCTCACGGGCCGGTACATTAATCGCAGTTGCTATCGATCTCGTAATCATTCTAGGGCTACACGAGCCTTGTCTCGTCTCTCTTCTTCGTCTACAGTAGAGACTGGCTCTACTCAGAGCCTCTAATTAGTTAGCAACGAGGACATACTGTGGCTGACTGGGACGTGGACATAACAAGTACCTTGATATCGAGTTGTCGAAGTTGCAGTCCCTCACCTAAAATTTTCCTATTAGCTGCCACGTGCCACCATTCGCTTCTCTTATCTTCCTTCTCACTTACACTACCATTCTCACAATCTCTTCCTCGCTCTCTCAGTCTTCTTTACCACCAAAGAGCTTCTGCGTAATGCATGCTAAATATGCGGATTAATTACCATATGTATTACATGTCATCTTCTATACACAAACTCTCATAAATCAGTCATTATTTATTTTTCTAAAAATCTTTCTTTATAAACTAATTACAATTTATAATGTATTTTTAAAAATTGATAGTTAAAGGGTTGCAATGAAATATTATTATTGAATTATCATTTATAATTGAATTTAATTATTTCTTCAATAGTGATTGAATAAATATTTAATACAATTGATGAACATATATTATTATGGTTTCATATATTAGATTTGAACGTTCGATCAACCCGCATTATGGTCAAGTATGAAGACATGAGGGCTTAGAGGAATTATAATCTAAAATTGAGACATATACGGGTATTCTCTCCCATTTGTCTGAATTAAGTACATCACGCCCGTATATTTCATACGCATGAACTTACACATGCACAATTTAATTTGCCAAACTCGTTCTTTAAGTCTATAAATTTCTTTTGGATTTTTTTTTTTTTATCTCTTTTAGAAATACATACTTTGATTCTTGTAAATTGACACTGTCATTGGCTATATATGACTTTTTTTATTTTTTTCAAGTTATTTGCGAAGAAGATCGAAGGACTGAGGCCAAGAGAAAAGACGACTAGTGAGTTAAGGAACACGGAAAAGCACTTCTGGACTCCTGACGTGTCCCGACGTTTCTATCTCACTGCTATGTTACCTCGTTTGGATCGTCCAGACATCGTTGGACCACCTTGGGAAGATAATACATTAATTTTCAATTGTCATAGTCGCATTCAACACAAGACAGATCGATGTGGAAATACATTCTACTGTAAGGTAAGATATTTAAGCTGATTATGTTTTATATCTCGAGGAAATTATTTTGATAAATTTCATTTTAGGAGACAGGAAAGAGAAAAATCTTTATTATCAAAGAATATAATTAATTCTTTGATTATTTTAAATATTATCATAAAAACAAACTGAAAATATGGTGAATATTTTTTAATATTCATGATAAACTAACAAGTTTATATATTATATAAGTCCGAATTATCCTAAAACTGTAAAAGGGGGAACAGAGGATAGGATTTTTTTCAAACTCAAAGTATGAAACGATGTGTCATAATCAGACGGTCAAGTTACTTAGCCCGAGGAGAATCCTGGTGCTTAAGTTAATTAACTAATTAGTAAACTTAATCGGATGACGCATGCGCATCTCAAGGGATACAAGCAAACCCTCTTAAGCAAGAGAATGAAAAGAAGGGGTGGGCAGAGGGGATTGCTAGAGTCACGCTGTCGCTCGCGGGTAAAAGCCGCGCACTCCAATCCTATTCTCAGAAAAAAAGTCTATCTAATTGTGTTTAATTAATTTAATGAGAAACTCTTTGCCATGCATTTTTTTTATTATGCTATTATTCATTGCAATGCGTCATATTCATCTTTCTTTTATCTCCTTTCTTTTATATACCATTGAATTATAATTGCTCTTGGTGTCATCATTAAACCAAATTTGATTTTTTTTTTTATTTGAATCTTTTTCATGATCTTTCTTCTGTCATTGAAAATTGAAAGACATTTGAAAATTATTTAACTAAGATAAGAATAGTTTTTGTTATCAAAAACCAATTATTTAGTAATCTTTTTTTACATAATAAGAAACGGATATCACTCTACTTTTGATGAATGTTAAAGTGAAAAAGAGAAAAGGGAGTTCCCATAGCATGTTCAGTCATGCAAAACACACTCTGTCGACGCATCATTTCCCGTCGTAAAAATGATTCGTTTAAGGCAATGCCACGTGCTGTGAGCTTTAACTCAATTTCTTGTAATTCTTGAAAAATCTCATTGAACAATCAAACAAAATAGTTACTCGATTATTTCACTATTGTTATTTTTTATTGTTGACCATAAAATCGTGGGGTAATACATAAATTAATCATTATCGTTAATAATTTTTTTTCACATTCAAATATAAATAAAATTTAATTATTGGTAAATTTTCGTTCAAATATCTACCACTGATTTTTTTAATTGCAGCAATTAACTTATTGACTTATTCCTCTTTTTATATAATTAAAAGTATAAAATTTAAATCTATCCACTAATTAAATTTTAGTTCTCCAATCTTTTATTCAGTTCATTTATTTTCAATTTATTATTATTCTTATCTAAATAAATTATTATCACAGCTTAATTACTGATGCTTTCCTTTGGATATTTTTATCACATCCACTGTCAGCTCACAATTTAGATAAATTTTTAACTGAACTGAATGTACATAAGATTAAATAATTAATTTTTTGTCATTATTATAAACTAACAAAATTTTCACAGTATCAAGTTTAAAAAAGTATTTTTATTAATTAAAGTAATATTTTTTCTGACTTTTGTCTTCGACAAAAAAAGGAAATAAAATCAACAAAAAAAAAAATAATAAAAAGTTGTATAAACAAAATGAATATGAAAAATTAAAAAGCATGTTCTGTAAATAATGGTTTAAATTCATTTGTTATCGAGTAACATCAATAATCAATAAATTTCTAATAAAGTTTGACAAGTTTTGAATAGATCTATTTGAATGAAAAAAAAATTTTTCATCATATTTATTGAAGCTTTTCATTAATCAATTTGTATCATAAAAATTATTTTCTATCAAATTATTTATAAAATAGCTATTGATTTAGTATAAGTCAAACTTTTGACATTGTCAGTATTATTGATGCATTTTGTGTGTATATATTTTAATAAAATTATATTTGATAAATTTTTTTAAACGAATGATTTACGGTTATGAAAAAGAAAAAAAATCTAACTTGCAAGTAAATTGAATTTAAATTAATTCTAACATTTAAAAGTAATAATGTATTATTAATAATCACGTGACATCAATTGCAATTGTAATAAGAAAGTTATTCACGAAATTGAAAAACGATAATCATGGTTGGGCCTGTGAAGAGAATGCGCGGTTTGGTTTTGCTGTTAATGAGGTAGGAATTAATTAACCGAAGCTATTGGCGTAAGGGAAGTATGAGAGGGAAACAAGGGGGTGTAATTAGGGGTCTATAATTGCATTGAGTCAGCAAGTAACTAGAGTATGAGTGACAGATCGAGTTAACAATACAACTACAAAACCATTTTACGTCTCTAATACTCTCTTATACTTGTTATAATTTATTTGCATTTAATAAACAAATAAAATAAAAAATTTCTTCAAGATATATCTTATGTTTTCAATCGTTTTAACGACTGAAAAATTCAACAAATTTTACATAGTTTGAATGAAGGTATTTTTTAGTTTCTATTTCTGTAAGTTAGACTGACATTTTGGCAAGCATTGCGTGCATTTCCGTTCAGACCGTGAGATTCGTCTCGCGTGTTGGTTCCAGCAATTTAGTCACCCTGCTTGCCTGATTATGACTAATGTGACAGTCAAGGATCGAGTGTCATTTTCCCTATGTCAGATTCTCTCAACTGAGTTTGAATTATTTCAACAAAAGGATCAATGTGGTCATCTACTACCATCATGCAAGATGTTTTTAGATATCCCATTAATTATAATATTAAATCCTCAGTGTATCTCATTTGTGTGGGAATATACCATGGGTTGTATTTTTTTCTTAACTTGGATTTAACAGATACATATACATGTGTCGATAGTTACTATAGAATTGTACGTCATCATAATTATCATATTGATATACTGTTATATTGTCACTGTATGATGACGAAAATTATATTGGCATAGCCTCTCACATCTCTGCTGACTATTCTCGACTCTATTGGTTTGCGAAATTTCAATTTAATTAATTCGGTTATGGAATTCAAGCCAATTCCCATTGGGATATAAACTTTCATCATCTTTTATAGATGGATGTATGTGCATATATAAATATATATAAAATGTTTGAGTATAGATTGATAAAAGAGTCTTATTGAGACATTTTTAATTGCATATAATATAAAATAAAATCAATGGTTAAAAACTTTTATAAAGATTAACTATAAAATTATTTTATTTAAAAAAGGTACAATGCTTTCAGCTGCAGCATTTTATTGATATTTGGTTATTGAATAAAAAAATTGATATGATTTACATAAATGATTTGTAATAGATATTGTATTAACGGTTGAGTGATAGGTGTACAGAGAGACAAAGATGGGAGGGAGAGTCTTAGAGAGTCATAGTTGACGGACGGGTGTGCTTAATGCGAATCACATCCGGGAGAACGAGCGCATTCATGAGACATGGCAATTACATCCTCAGGCGTAACTGACGCACGCGACCGCGTTTACGCATTAGATATATTGTATTCTGTACGTAAAAATATCTTCCACCTCTCTAATACATTTTGTTAATTATTTTATTACATTTTATTTTTCAATTTACACACTTCCAAAGCAATTGTAGATATTACCGATTGTAAAAAAAAAATTTCTTCCAGAAGATAATTACTTTTTTTTCTTTTTTCCAGTTCTCACTCTCTTTTTATATAGTTCGATTGACTCCGGAAACGGAAGCGTCCCGGAGAATCCAACGAGCCTGGCGAAACGCACCATCAACTTTTTCCGGACAAATTGTTATTAGTTAATCGAAAAGGAAATCAAGCAATGCTTGAGGTTTCTATATAGCAAAGAAATATTTTAATGTCACAACAGATTAGAAACCAAGTATCTTTCCAAGCTTGATGCTTTACTGGATACATTTTTATCATCATAAAGTCATGTACCATATTTTATTCGAGTAGCAATGAAATATGGTCATAGCCCAGCAGAAAGCAACTCTGGTTCATTCATAGCTATGTTTAGCTTAATATTGGGCCAGAGGTAGCTGAAGCTGGTTCAGTGTTGGGTCAAAGATATGGACCCCTTTCCTGCTAAGGTATCACCAAGAAAATGATATTCTTGGATCAAGAATAATTTTGTGATCATAACATTCTTAAATAAAGCAATAATGTTGCTTACACATATTGTTTACACATTTCTGGATTCAATTTTATTGTTTTATTTAAGAATACTATGATCAAGAATGAAATTATTCTTGATCCCAGAATATAATGTTGTCAAAATATATGGATCTGATTAAGTTTTGCTACGAAATACCGTATTAGAATATTTTCTAATTATTCTTCAGCTAATATTTCTTGCTTTCAGATCAAACTTTCAGCAAGTTTCAATGAAACATTTCTTTTAATAGAAAATATCATCCAAACTAGCATAAAAAGAGATTTAAATTTAGAAATATAACCATTGAATTAAATTATCAGTTATTAGAATGATGTTAAACAGGAATATTCCATCATATTTTTAATTAATAATGCAAATATTTCATTGTCTATTATTCTTGGTACTGTAGAAAAACATGATTAGATCCATGGCTCTATTTTAGTGCTACTTAGAAAAGTACACAAGATTTGAATCAATCAGATATTAAAGAAAAATCTCTGTTTAAAGTTATATAAATTTTAAACGTAGAATAGAAAATAGCTTTAGTGAACAGAGATCTAGCAAATCATCTAAAAAACATTAAGATGAATGAAAAAAGCAATCAGGATATAACGTTTATAGTGAAGCCGCGTGCTTGTTATTTGATAGCATGCCAGTCCCTTGTATTAAATGCGTTTTTCGTAATATACGTTCAGATGCATTTGGCAGATAAAAGAGAGCAAAATGTAAAAATGAATGAGGGGTGGATTATCGTATTGTGTCATGGTCGTCGTTAACACCATCATCATTCCCTATATACCCGTCAGAATGTTCGAAAGCTGATGCTCATTTATCAGGACTCCAAACCTATACTGTACTTTATCACCAGCATGTTCTGGAACTGAATAATA